CATTGGAAGCGATAATGACGCTGAGATCAACGACGAGGCTGACGCTGCGAGAGAGGTTATCGCTGCTGAAGATAACGGTATAGCTGGAGTGGGTGTCGCAGCTGAGGAAAACGACGCTGATGAAAACAACGATGATAGCGGAGCTGAGACTGGACCGGATAGCGAGGAAGAATGGGCGGCTCGACCAAAATCGCAAAAAAATCAACTCTGGACCCAAACGACCTGGGACATGTGCCAACCTTCCACAAGCCGAGCTTCGATGTACACGCCACCGCCGACGCCTCCTCCATTTGACTCTCCTCGTCCTTCACCATTTGAGTTTCCTTCTCCGGCTGGACGGTCATCTGTTATTCGATCACCTACGGTTCCCGAATTCCGACCAATTACCATTCAACAAATGATGGCTTCAGCAATCACAACAAGTAAATCTTTTTTATTGAAGCTTATGTTAACTTTAATCAAGTTGATTTGACCGGAGATTCTTCCTCTGACGAGGATGATCAAGTTGTCCCAGGTAGTTTGAATTTTTAAATCCTTGTCTAACAATAATTTAGCAATCGACATTGCGTACGCTGATGAAACCTTTGGCTCCTTGGACGCCGAACAATTCCAGCAGATCGTCGATGAAAACGACGCGCAAGCGAGAGCAGAAGAAATCCGACAGCTGCAATCGGAGCTGGAGAATCCGTCAAGAGGAGGTACTCCTGATACCATAATCGATGCCTGTTTATCGCCGTACCTTTTAGGGGAGACCCTGGATACAGCACTCTCAATGGGACTGATCACGCGAGAAACTGCTGAATTCATCGATGAAACCGCCGAGATGATGGAAGACGAAGAAGATCCTCCCGCCAACGTGACGCCAGAAAAAACCTTTACCGAACTTTAAATTTCTTCCTCTTAGCAAACTTTCCTGTTTACTTACTGTTTACTTACTGTTAACTTCCGGTGATTATTTCTTTCAATAAACATGCTTTGGTGAACTTCCGTTGTTTTTCCTAGCACTGGTTTGAAGCATTGATCTAGGGCATAAAAATAAGCTTGATAGCTCGAAAATATCATTCTTAAAAAATGAATCGCAGCGCACCAGTCTCAGATGAATTTACTTTTCTCGACTTGATTTGCAAAATCAAGGAAGAAATTATCAGACAGAACAAAGCTGCTACAACCCTAGTTGTACTCGCGCTTGCTGGTTACTGCTGGATGGTAATTAAGATTTGGAAGATGAAAGCAAAGAAGAAATCGACTGCGAAGAGAGCCTCGATCGTTGTTACTGATTCTGATCCTGCTTTGTCTCCTCAAGATTCTTGGGTTTGATTTGCTCTATCTCCTGCAGATGTTTAATAAAACACAATGGATTGATATTTTACGAGTTTTATTTTGTCAGTTATTATCGGCAGGTTAGATTTGGAACTGTTGCGAAATAGAGCGCAAAAATTTGAAGCTTGAACAAAATTTGGCACTTGAAGTGGGATAAAAGGCAGGTTATCAGTCATGGCTAGTTTTGAGACGGTAGAAATACATTATCAATGAGAATTTATCTATCAAAGAGTTTCTATCAATAAAAGAAAGTTTTCAATAAGGCTTTATCAATCAAAAGGTGGAGTTATCTGTGAATAAATTACTCTTCCATCGCGTCCATCTGATCGTATTCCATAGTTTCGTCCTCGCTATCGATCTCCATTTTCTCAGGAAGACTCGTCCATTCCATTGTTCCTTCGCTTATCGTCATCTGCTTCATCATTTTCGTTGCTTTTTCGACGTCCTTCTTGAATTCTTCTGCTAGAAAAGTCATTAATTCATTAAAGCCGGAAGTAAAACTACCTTTGATGAATTCCAAAAGAAAGGATCGAGTTTCAACTTCCATTGCTTCGTCGGTAATTTTCATCTTCAACATCATTCGCGTGGCTAAGTTCACATCCTTTTCGTATTCTTTCTTTGCTAAAAAATGATGAGCTTATGAAATTCCAAGGAGTAAAATACCTTTGATAAGGTCGGAAACTGAGTCGAGATTTGCGTCGATAGCGACTTTGATGGTCGCGCGCTCCCACGAGGTCAAGGGGCGCTCGGATTTGAATTCTCTCATTCTGCTTTGATTGCGCTTTTTTTTTGGCGCCAGCGTGGCTAGACCTGCGGTGAGCGCGCCTCTCTCAGGCTAGGTTCTCGCGGGCGGGGGTTGAACGGGCGAATCAGTGAGGCGCCTGCTCAGGGGCACGCTCATTTCAAGCACACACTTCGCTCGCTGCAAGTTCATGCACAAGACTTTTAATAGAATTCGAAAACAGAGAAAAATATTGAAGATAAGAGAAAACTAAGAGAAATCAGCTTGAATTTTCAATTATATTACTTATAAGAAACCTAGTCGTTTACGGCTATCTATAATCAAAAGTTTCTTTCTGATTAAAATCTCTTATTCTGCTTTCAACTCCAATTTTTTGAATCTTCAAGTGTTTTTTTTAATTATTTCTAGCTTATCGAGATATATTATTTTTGAAATTCAGATGACTCGATTTCGCGTAAAGCTCTCCGGAGGAGAAATTGCTTCGACAAAAATTCCGATCACAAAGACGAGCACATCCTCTCTCTCCCCTTGTGAGCTGGTCACCGAGTTAACAACTGTGAGCAATCAAGCGGACCCAATTGAAGCAACCAATTGGTTGAAACAAGCCGTTTTTACAGGTAATGAAGAACATTTAATTATCAATTCCAAATATTTAAATATAATTTCTAGCGGCAGTTACTTCTACGCTTTGGTTTTTCTTCATGATTTACAAGAAATACGAAATGCGAGTAAGGAGATCAATCACAGACTGCCGCAGATCGACTTTTTCTCGAGAAAGGAAAGATCCCAAAGGTAATCTTAGACAATTTGACTCAAACTAATAATTTTACAAAGATAACAGAAGCGAAGAAGAGATACAGACAAAAGAGAAGAAGCCTGATGTCAAAAATGAGGGTTCAAAGAACGACGAATCGACAAAGAAGAAGAAAGATGAGAATTGGACTCCTGGACCGGACTGGATGCGATTGAATCGTCTCTGGCGAGCAAAGAAGAAGGAAGACCAATCCCGGATAGAAGAAGTTTAGGACAAGAAAGAAATTTAATTGTTGATTAGAACGATAATTGACGGAATAGAGAAACTTCTAATTTTCTTTCAATTCTAAGACTGAACCTCGAATCATGGAAAACTGCGACTTTTACGCTCAATACAGATTCGATTACGTTTCTGAAGAAGAAGTTGGCGCCCTCTGTGCCTGTCGAGGTAACTTAGAGATCACAAGAGAATATACTTTACTTATTTTCTCAAGAGTCGATGGAAGAAAAAGTCGACGTGGACTCCATTCTCCAGATCGCAAGCTTGTCCGCTGTCGGAGCTTGCTTTCTTCTGATGGTAATTCTCATTGCTTTGATCACCAAAAAGAAGCCAGCCACTCCAAAGCGAAGTAAGTCATCCAAATCAATCAAACCATTTTACTAAAACTTAACACAGACCTGCTCATCTCACGACCTACTCATCTTCCAGAAGACATCTAGACCTCAATAACTCATGTAAGCTTCCAAAATCATAAACAATCAGTCTGATATCATCTTCAGCCTCCTGTGTGCCTTCTTCCTAGTTGCCAGCGCTTCCACTCATCTCTTCCGTCCGCCAGCGCTTCTACCGTGTGCCATCCTTTCAATCCTCCAAGTTACCAGCGTTTCTACTCATCTGACTATCTGCCAGCGCTTCGATCGTGTGCCTTTCTTCCAAGTTCTTCATATCTGCTAAAAAGGACACTCTCTAAAAGTTTATTTTCTTTTAATTTTAAGAGAGAGACAAAAGAATGATGGGTCGAAGACCACCAACAACGATGTCGCCTAAACCAACGATGCCAACAGGTCTGGAAACGACAACAAGTCCTCAGGGAAACGACGGCGATAGAGACATGATTTTTTGTGTCTCGTACTCAGGATAAGGGTTCAAAAATCTATTAGAATCTTTATTAGACAATTTTTTGAGCCAAGTAAAGACTGTTTAATCAAGTTCTTTTCTAAAGAAGTTGCGATAATTGTAATCATCCTCATCTGGCTTTATTTCGTCTTTCGTCTTATTATTCAAGGTATTTGATTTCATACAAAATAAATATAATTTGCTATCGTGTTATTGACATTATTATTCAGCCATCGTCGTCGTGAAAACCTCAACAAGACCTGCTACTCATCAACCAGAAGCACAGCATTCCAGCGCTACCCAACAAGAAGCTCATCGACAAGAAGCTCTGCGTCCTTCTTCTCAGCAAACGATCTCCCAGCAACCACAAGGTTTGAGATATTTTTTCGAACCAGCTCATAATAATTCTTATTTTTAGCGCAAACTCAGACTGGCGTGCCTGAACTTGAGTGGGACAACTCCTTCGACTTACCAATTGACCTCTCCACGACCGGTCCACGAGCAAATGCTTCTGCTGCGTCTTCGACTGGAACTACCTCGCAAACTTCCGCAGCATGCAACTCTACGCCAATCTCTCTCGCTGGAACATCTTCCACATCACGAAATATGACTACTCCTCGCATTCAAACTACCGCACGCGCACTTCCTTCCGCTTCCGCACAAAAAAAATCTTCCGCTCGCTTGTCCCAACCGAAAGCATCACAAATCGCCTGCCGACCTCCGTGGAACGCTTCAGTTCGAACGTCCACACCCGCGTCAACAAACACTCGCGCCCAGCCATCCGTTGAGCAGCAAGGTAGAAAAACACAAGAAAAGGAAATTGAACTAACAAACATTCTAGCTCGAGCAGTTCGCCAACGAAAACAACCGACTACCCTGTCCATCAATCACAGCCTTAAAAAATATTGACTGCCCATCCACTTTGCCTCAAAAGAAAAATAAACAGTTATTGCAGTGAAAAAAGGACTTTTATTTCAATAAAGATTGTTTGCATGAGTCAAAACAAAGAAAGAAAATGAAAGAGCAGGAAAAATTCTCAACAATCGAGAATAAACAGTAGTGAAAGAGTTACAGAGTAATTGAGTAGATTCGTACCATGTGGTAATGAAGTTCTCCGTCGTCGTCCATTTTAATCGCAAGCTGAGTTCCTTGATTCTCAAGCTCCATTGTTTGGAAAAGCCTATCGTCGGTGATTGCAATGAAGTCGTCAACACTGACGATATTCATTTGTCGAGCATCTGGCAGCGATCCCATTGCAAAAACTGGCGTCCCAGAAATGTCGATGTCGGCATCTGACCCGATCGTCGCTGTCATCATGCGCGAATTTTGCAGTCCTTCCAAAAACTGCAACAACTGGACAGTACCATTCTCAGACCGTCCGACAATAATATATCCTCTGTAGTCGTAGAGCCATGGAACTGTGACGCTTTTTCTTGCAAATTTCTTCATTTTTCGTTTTAAGCCGGGGATTTGAAATAATGCAAATTCATTTTCTCGCTGCTGGGCCTCATATTCTTCATTCAGAACGTCATCATAAGAAGGGGCCAACTCGTTTTGATTGTTGATTTCCATTTCGAAAAAGACTTATTTCTATTTTTGATGATTCTTGTTTCAAACCTTCGCTTATATCAGAGCTTGAGTTCTAGCGCCTCACTAAGGTCATATGTCACCTGCAAATTACACGCACCTTCAATTTCATGCACTTTCTTTTATTGAAAACAGATTGCCTAGGTGCACATGGACAGAAAAGTGAAAGCGAAAAGATCTTTTAGTCGTTTCTCCTTTTTTCAGCGACAATGTCGGAGAATCGGGTGTATTGAAATGGAATTCTGCAGAAAGCACAGTCGTCTTTTCGTGGAGATATTTCGCGATGTTTCGCATAGCATTTTTCACAATAAAAATGCTTGCAGGGACTAGAAATCTTAAAATAATTAGAAGAATGCTGAAAATCGGAAGACATACCATTTTGACATCATCTTCATGGCAAAAGATACAATTCTTTTCTTCATCTTTGTTAATTTCTCGTCGAGCCATTTTTCGTTGTTGAGCTTTGATAAACAAGTCACCGTAGCAATCCGAAAGCAAATAGGTTTTGCAAAATGCGACTGCTGAAACTCTCGAAAAGTATTGGTCTTCTTGTTTGTCAGCCTGACTGGCGAAAAGGTTCCATTCCTCAGGAGTAAAGGCGATTGTTATTTCCTTCGCGCAGAATTCGCATACAAGCCAAACGCTAAAAGCTTTGTCTTCTATGTCATCATCGGGCTCCAGATAATCGACTTGGTAGTTGTCTGTATTTTTTCTGTCGCAGCCGAGACAAAAAAGAACAATTTCAGTCTCTGGGAGGGGTTTTAATTGATAGTCAATAGTTGACATTATCAATTATACTCACAATTCACCCTGATCCCGGATTTATCTCATTTCCCCGATGGCGCTCAGACTCGCGGCGCGCTTTTCAGAATTCGAGGCGCTAGAAATTGAGTTGAAAATAAAAAGGCTGAGCTGAAGGAAAAGAAGACAGCAAAACTTTTTTTCGAAAAGCTCAAAGACTTAGTCCGAAAATCGAGAAAGATTAAGAAGATGGATTCTGATAGCGATCTGGAAGTTGAGCAACCCGGTAACGATCAGCCTGACCTTGACTTTCGGATGGAAACGGCTCGAACACACCCCATTCCTCAGCTACGCTTTTTTCTGGAATTGATCTACACCGCTGCTGAGACACAGCCTTGGCTGACCAGCTACAAAGGTTATTTCTGCGTCAAGAACGATGATGGCGTTCTCCAGCTTGTCCGATTTAGACTTGGAGCTCTACATCCCTATACGATGGACGTCGTTATTGGTAGCGACGAGTTTAACGACCTGGACGGACGGCTTTGCACCCGCATCGCACAACAAGAAAATTTCACTCTTGCTGTCGTCGACTCCGCTGTTCTCCTTGTTGATCGAACTCCACGCCGCCGGTCCCGCCTGCGACGACAGGGCTACGAACTGGCCGTTTCTATCCAAACTGGTTACCCTGTTTTCATGCTTGTTTCATTCTACTCAGTTGAAATTCAATAGATTTCTAGAGACATAATTTTGTTTTGTTTATTTGCAGGAAATAAGCAAGTATCGCGAAATCGAGTTTGGTTGAGCTGGTGGCGCAAAATTGTCTTTTTAGAGTTTGGTTGAGCTGGTGGCGCAAGTCAACGTTGTTATAAAGAGAGTGGACGTCAAGTCTCAAGTATGAAAAGGTATAATCTCTTTTTTCCTGGGTTAAATCCATGGATAACTCTTGGAGAGCTTCAGCGATTCGCAGAGGATTACAGCAAACTTTTCAAGGACGGAAAATTAGCTAATCGACAGTTCATTTCGCATATTTACAATTTATCATTAGCGCACTCTTCTCTTGCCACGGAACATATTTTGGACTTTTATAAACTTGAAATCGTTAAAGTAAAGTCTAAAAGTAAAAAATCGATAAAACTTGTTTTAGTTGATGATGTGGTCGTTAAAAAGTCCCATAAATTTGTTGAAGAAGGTGATTCATATTTTTACCTTTATTCTCTCGACATTTTTCTCAGTAAATTGGACAAAAAAGGCCGACTCGAGAACATAAATGATTTTTCGTTTAAGGTTCAGGGATTGAGTTTATTTGATGGACCGGATCGAGTCTTTTCGAAAGAATTGTCAAAATATGCGAAAAAAATGAATGCGGAGACGAATTTTTTCTGTTTAGGCACATCTCATCTACCTGACCAGCGTTCACTAGTCAAATTGGAGCTCTTGCAAACATTTCGAACCGAAGACTCCACCCGAACTCTCAATTTTATTGTCGATAAAGACGAGCTTATGTCCGAAAACGCGCTAAATCTGAGATATATTTTCAACATGAATAATTTAGCAACAGTTTACAAATGTTTGAACCCGAAATGTGGATTTGAAACATATTTTGAGACGTTGTATAAAAAACATGATTTGAAATGTAAGGTTAATGTCAAAAAAATTACTCCAACCCAGCGGGCTTACGGAGTCTCAATAAACCCGATCGAGGAGGCAATTCAAGCTGGTTTCCTGTCTTCTGAGATGAGAAAATTCAGAAAGACAAGATTCGGTAAGCTTTATTTTGAAATTTTTTGAAAATTCGAAAATCTAGTTACGTTTGACATCGAAACAATGGAGAGACCGATTGAGGAAACCACCAAGTCAACAACTGTTCATTCTGAGCTTCGACTTCTTTCCATCGCAATCGGGAGTAATTTTGGATACCAGCGATTCTTGATAAGGCGAAGTGATGAAAATGATGCAGCCAAACAACTTGTTCAAAAATTTGTCGACGAAATTGAAGACCTTGCTGTCTCTGAAGAAACGTATCTTCCTTCAGAGCTAAAAGATGCAATCCAGAGTCTCGAAAACATCGATATCAACTCAGGTAATTTTGAAACATGAATATTGCTGACCAGTTTCTAGTCAATGCTGAGCGAAAGATGAAAGTTCGATATCTTCGACGAGAGCTAACAAACTACGCGAAAATGGACATTTTCGGTTTCAATAGTGCTAAATTTGATTTGAAAGTTTTAAGTCCCTACCTTATACCCATTCTTATGAAAAAGTATGGATCAAAATTCACTAGTATAAAAAAAGGCACTCATTATTTTTCAATGTCAACGCCAACATATCAATTCAAGGATGCCAAACTATTCAGCACTCCAACTGATTTGGCTGGATATCTCAAGCAAGGAGGAGTCGAGGAAAGAAAAGCGATTTGGCCTTATGAAAAATATCGTAGCGTCTTTGATATCATGAACGATAAAAATTTCCCTCCAAGAGAAGAATTTTTTTCTAGTCTCAAGAATAAGGAAATCTCAGAAGAAGACTATGAAATTTTCAGAGCGGAGTTTTATAGAAATCAAAGACGCGATCCAAATTACTCTATGGGTCATTGGCTCAAACACTACAATTTGGCAGATGTCACACCTTTTGCGAAAGCAATTGACAATCAGTTCAAATTATTCTTCGAGACTTTCAAAATTGACCCTTCTTTCTGTATGAGCTTGCCTAAATTTGCGATGGCGTGTGTTTTCGAAGGTTACTCGAAGAGTTCCCCGCTTACATGTAAGTTATTCTTGTTGATTTTCATGACATTTATATAGTTTCATTCCACCGAAATTATCACAAAGAACACAAACTCTTACGTGATAATATAATTGGTGGTCTGGTGAACGTCTACTCTCGCTACACCGAGCTTCGACCCGACGTAGACGCTCCGAGAAATGCAAAGTTTGCTCCAAATGGGGATCCGTTCACAAAGATAGTCTTTTTCGACTTCAATGCCTTGTACCTCTTCGCTCAAAAAATGTTGCTACCATCCACTCCAGGTAAGTCTTCTTTGATTTCTGACCTCACATTATAATCAGGTATAAGATGGCAGAAAATCGACAATTCAGTCTTCCGCAAATCGATCATGACGACGGATAACTCTCTTGCTGCGCTTCAGTGGCTGACGTACATCGACGAATTTAGTCCCTTGTTGGTTCAAGCTAATGGCGAGCGAGTCCGACTCGAACATCAATATTTCAGGGGAGAGCATCAAGTTCTCAATTATAAAATTGATGGCTACGCTTGTGTTGATGGAAAACATCACTATTTTGAGTTCTTAGGTTGTTATTTTCACCAATATTGCGTTGATTGCAACCCAGGTCAGGCTGACCATGAGTTTGAGAAGAAAAAGCGTATGTTGTCTCGAAAAGGGACTGTTCATATTATGCGCGAATGTGAATGGATCCATCGCCGAAATAGATATTATGTCGACCGTGTTTCAAAATATTGGGGTCATATATTTAAACTTAAAGAGTCCGAAAAGAGCATTCTTGACGGCATTCGAAATGACGAGATATATGGATTTATTGTAGCGGATGTTTCTTGTCCGAAAGAGGTCTTTGATCAAATCTCGTACATAAATTTTCCGCCAGTGATCCAGCGAATGAAAATCACAAACGAGCATTTAAGTCCTTATATGAAAGCTCAATTTGAAAAAACCGGAAGCAAATGCGATCAAGAAACGGTCGTACAAACATATAATGGTAAGAGTATGTTTCTCCTGACAACATTAGTGAAATTTTATCTTGACCTTGGCTTAGAAATAACTAATATTCAATCTTTCACCCAATTTCGAGCAACTAAGAGTCTAAGTGATTATGCTGATAATATTACTCACGGTCGTGTAAATGCTCTTGATGACAAGAACAGTGCTCTTGCTCTTGCATTTAAAACGATTGGCAATTGCGGCGGTTTCGGTAAAGCCATCGAGCAGGTCGACCGTCCGAATACCAAATTTAACAACGATAAGCAACTGAAAAAGTCAATTATAAAGCCAACATTTAAATCTCATGAGACACTCTCTCAAGAAAACGGTGAGTATGAAATTTCCGAAGTCATATTCGACAAGCTACGCATCAAAGATGACAAACCAACTGTTCTTGGTGTGGCTATTCTTCAAAACTCAAAACTTCACTTTCTCTCCTTTGTTTACAAATTTCTTCACAAATACCTGAGACCTGGATCCTACAAGCTGAACTATTGCGATACAGACAGTTTAGCAATATGTAAGTTTATACTTTCTGCCACTCATAAAAATATTTTAGCGTTCACTCGAAGCGGAACGGATGGACAAACAACAAGGTCACAGATGGAAGCCGCTTTGCTACCTTGTGTCCGGGAGGAACTCATGGACGAATTTCTACAAGTTTGGCATAAATGGATTGTCCTGGAAGATACAACTCTTAATCACAAAACTCCTGGACTTCTCAAAGGTTTGCTGATGTTTCGAATTGATACCAAGTTTTTAAAGCGGAATGGCAAACGAATAATGGCGCACTTGTCTGTCTTGGAAACAAGATGTACTTTGGCTACGATGAAGAAAATAAACAGACGAAGCGATCAACGAAAGGAGTTCCGCACAATCACGAGCTGAAACTTCAAGAATTTCTTGATTGTCTAAATGAAACTGTGACCAGTAGTAACACATGCAAAGTTCGCATGTTACGCTCGACTACCGACAATATTGTAAAACGAATTTCCATCGAAAAGAAAGTTCTCTCGAATATTTTTGTAAAGCTGCGAGTCATGGCGGACGGCGTCACATGTAAACCACTGACCCTTAACGGCGAAATCCTTTAATCTGTTCCATGTGAATAAATTTGGGTGAATATAAATCAACTTTTTTCGCTTCTTCCTTATAAAATGCCTTTTTATCCATCAGAAAGAGCAGATTTAGAAGCACTTCGTAAAGAATACGGCGGAAGTTATCTACCACTTGAAGAAGAGGAGCTTGATTACTTTAGGCAGTCAGAGAGAGTAGGTCAGCTACACAACAGGCTTATTATCCCTCCTCCTAAACCAGGACGAGTCGTCGAAACGGCTCATTTGAGATTGCTTATAAACAAAGATTTTGATTTGAACAATCTCATTGAAGATATCTTCGATGTGATGTCACCCGTCTTTCGGATCAAAATTGATTTTGGATTTCTCATGGAGAATATTTTGACTGAGGATCCTGACTCTCGATACAGATTTCACTGGCCTCAAATTTCGACTGGACTCCCGATTGAGCCACATTTGATAAAGAACAAGTCTACTAAAAAAGAGTTCCTGGAAAACATTCCAAACTGGTCCGATATTCCCAAACTGGTGGAAATCCAGCATGAAAATCAGAGTAGTTTCAGAAAGAGCGGATACAATCTAACTAAGCTCCTCACCTGCAGTGTTTACGTAACCAAGATGAAGTAAACTCTCAGTGGGAAACCTTCGTGCTCTCAACGCCCTCTTTTGGATACTGTCCTCAATTTAACTGTCACAGCTTCTCATTCCTCATCACAAATTGAAAATGAAACGACATTTAGGTTAAGCTTTCAAAGCCGAAGATTACTTGAAATTGGATTTTGAAATGAAACATATGTATTTTTATCTGTCGTATTGATCGTATCTACCTACTTCTTGATAAAATGAAACTCAATCATTTAGTATATTGTGATTGTCACTTCGGGTCTTTATTCTTTTAAAATGCCACAATTTTACCTGCAAAATTCGGTTTTTTCTCGTGAATATCAAATGAATTCCTTATTTACAACATCTTATTCTGTATCAACTGCATTGAAATTTTAATAAATCTTCGGAAATTGACTCAAAATTTGAAGGTTTTATTGCTATCGGACCGATCACTGAAGGTATTTTTGGGATCGGACCGATTTCTCAGGTATTTTTGGGATCGGGACCATTTCTGAGGTATTTTTGAGATCGGGTCGGTTCTTAGAGGTATTTTTCGGATCGGGCCGATTTCTGAGGTATTTTTGGGATCGGGACCATTTCTGAGGTATTTTCGGGATCGGGCCGGTTCTGAGAGGTATTTTTCGGATCGGGTTGATTTCTGAGGTATTTTTGGGATCGGGACCATTTTTGAGGTATTTTTGGGATCGGACCAGTTTCTAGAATTGTTTTTAACTGCTCAAGAGCCCCATCTTCATGATCAATCAGAAGAAAAATGCGAACTTGGGCCGAGAAAAAATACAAATGCAGTTTTTGCGAGACGGTGGTAGCCGCGCGGTCTCAAAAGGTGAATTTATTGAAATTTTCTTTTATATATTTTAGAACCACTTGAAAATTTGCGAGCGGGCGCCCAACAACGTGGACGTTGACGCGTACGGGCCTTATTTCCGTGAGGCTCGTCCTCGGGCTGAAAACTGGGACTCGTATCCTATAATAGGATACAAGGATTTGAACTTGGAGAAGGGGACACTTAGAGTGAAGTATAACAAAAATGGATCGCAGGTCGGTTCCATTTAATTTAAATGAAATTCTAACTTAAATACTTTGAAAAGAAATCGCGAGTGTTGCCGATTTATGAGGCGTGGCAGGAACAACAACGACGACGACAACTACAACAACGAAGGGAGGAAAGGATCGGGAGGGCAGACATCGCCCGTATAAACGAGGCGTTCGAAGACTGGGCTCGGCATCCTGTATAGAAAACCTGAGTCAGGGTCCTGAATAAGGTCAAATCTGAGACCATTTTCTTGTCGAGCCTAATTCCAGCTCGTCAAGAAATACCATCATTACTGGTATTTTTGGAGACAGCGAGAGATCGGGCGGAGCCAGAAAGAAAAATGCTCATCGCTCGACTTATTAATGGTAGGATCGTTTTTTTTTCGAAAATAAACTGTTTTCAGAACTTCAAGAAGATGAATAACTCCAAACCCAACCAGCGCTCTCACTACTTTCATCTTTACATGTATTCTGAAAACTGGAAATCTCTGTTCGATTTTGTTCAAAAGTGTCGCGTGAGTTTTTATTCTAAAAAATAAAAAAAAAATAAAAACAAACAACGCAGATTGGAAATGTGAACAAAGCGCGCTCTTCGCCCGATTAAGTTTGAAAATGAAGAGGGATGAGTGTTTCATGAGATAGGGAAGATAGCGATGAGGCATGAGAAACGATTTACGGTATAAGTAAGTCTGAGGCTGGGAGTAGAGGAAAGCAAGAAGTGAGTGTTGAATGCAAGAGAAGTTTATTGAGATTGTCCGCAAGACAGTTCGCTACGAGCCTCATTCCGCGCGCAAGGAACGCGATCAAACAGCCGTTGTTCTTTTTATCACCGGAAAGATTGTTTCCTTGTCAAAGACTCTACCTATCTCCAGTGTACATGCCGTTATTGGAGCTCGAAAGCCGGTTATTCGGATGAATCTGAGCGGGAAAAAGCTTGAGATCTCCATCGGAAATACTGCTGCTTCGGTGAATACGCGTTTCTTCGAAACCTGTTTTAGAGATCATCTTTTTCTTCATCTTGGAACGCTATCATTTTTTTGGCAAAGAAAAATTTTTGTTTTAGTGAAGATGACCAAGTTTATCTTTTCACACGGTGAGCTGAGCAAAGCTGGTCGATTGTCGACCTACTCTACTCTGATCGCCATGTACTCTTTTCTTTTTCGCATTGGCTCAGCTCAGTCGAGCCTGATATTGTCGTCAAAATAAGATCCGATGTCAATTCAAACATTTCGGATTTCTTCAGTTCCTACAATTAACGGAGCAACTATTCAAAGCTGCTGTTCTCAACATTGCGGATCCATTCGAAATGGAGCACAATACTGCCGGCCATATTACCGCGAAAACTCTTCACAAAATCTCGAAAGTATTGAAAAGCTTCACAATCAAAGGGAAAATGAAGGCTTGTTCATAAATAGTAAATGAATTCAATGGTCGGAGTGACTGAGGAATTTTAACAATCGACTCAACGCTTCAAATTCAGAGTTAAGAACTAGCTCAACAGTAAATCTATGTATTGTTTCATAATCGTTTCATGCGAGGGAGCTTCCACTGGATATTACATTCCTATTAGATTTTCCGTTTTTCTATTCAAGTAACTCGAATCAAATTAACTGGTGACGATGTTGAAGCCTACAAAGAGAGTCACAAATTTTATCGAGAACCAAAAGCAACAGCACACGACTCCAAAGATTGGACTATTTCGTTACTCATCGACACGGGCGAAAACCGAATGGATGCTGGGTAATCTTGTGGTTTAGTTACCTCTTCCCGCACTACAAAAGCTGCCAACGAGTTCAGTTTGAATGTAGATTCAACTAAAAAGTCAGAGTTCTTTGCGTTCCTGGACAAGGTATTGAGCGTTCAAATGTCGGAAAAGCTGATTAATGAAAGCATGGAAGATATGGAAATATCCCCTAAGAAGACAAAGATGAGTGAAGAGATGTCCTCGGATTCTTTCGACTCTGGTGAGCTTAAAGCTTTACTACTTTACCAAACATGTTCAACTTGTTTTAGGCCATGAAAGCATCGGTGAATGTTTCAACTGCTCGGTCGAGTTCAAGGGTGCCGAGGAACTAGAAGACAACTCGAGCGCGAGTACAAAAACGCAAAGCCGATCGATATTGAGGCTCAAGTTTCCGCTGGAATGAGTAATCGTTAATTCAAAAGGTAAAATCGAAGAAAGCCGTAATAAGCTGCCTGACCATCGATTGAGCTTTTGTTAGAGTTAAAAGCGCTGACTCTAGAACAATTTGTTGTTTTGACTGAAAGTTGGCTGGAAGAGATCCAGGAAGTGGTGAATAAGGCGCCTTGGTTGAGTTATCTCTTCAGTGAGAAGGTTATTGAGGCTGGAATTGATTACTTAGGGACTCAGAAGATTGAGTTAAAGATTCTCCTTCTAAATGACTAAATCAAAAAAACTTTAAAACTTTTCTTTCGACGCTAAAATGGCTTTGTAGGGACACGATGCTGGAAGACACTCTTCTTGAGAACTCCGAGCAAAAGAAGAAGATCGAAAAGCTCCAAGACAAGATCAGAAATCAAGAAGACAAAATCAAGTCCTTGGAAGAGAAGAAAGACAAGTACAAGAAGGAAGCTGCAGTCGCGAAAGGATTGAAAATCCGCGAAGGTTAGCTCGGTGAAATTCGAAAATTCGTTTCTATTTTCAGATAATTTTGATGAAAATCGTCAGAAAAGATACGAGTCGATTAGAACGAAGTATGGAATGAAAGACCCAAACGCAGCGAATCCTTTTGACAAGAGTTTAAAAGATTTAAAGCTTTTACTTTTCAGTAAAACAAATCTTTTAACTTTTTGCAGACGAATGTGTCCAAGAGAGCCCGAAGAAAAAGGGATTCTTTGGAGGTTTCTTTGGAAGTTCTTGATCTAACTGTTCAACCAAGCACGCAATATACCATTACATTTTTAAATTAATGATTTGATTTCATCTCTTTTTCAGAGAAAAAGCCAAAAAGCTCGGTTTTTGCTGTTTTCAAATTTGTTGTTTTGAAAATTCTAGGTCCGTGTTCTCGAGATCGAATGTAAAAATAACCACTTCGCAACCGATTATTTGGCAAAAAACGGACGAAAATCGTAATTACGAAACCTGTACCGGATAAAATCTCTTGTACTTTCTTGAGTAGCATAAGAACTACATGCTTTTCAAAGAGAGTTTTCAATTTTTCGAAAAGGCTAAAATTGCTCTCATTTTTCGAGGAAATAAGGTTTCAAATGTCTCTAGCTCGTCGAGTTTCTCTCCGATCAATTTTTAATTGACATGGCTAGAAAGCGCAGGCTCAAGTGCATCCATTACGCATTCAAGTCTACCGCTAGCATGCATTCCCTCATTTTCTCATTGAAAAATTATTGTTGTTGACGTGGAAGTTGTTTGTTCGATTGTTTGTATTTGTCTCTAGAACGTTTTCTTCTTCTTCCTTGTTATCCTTACTTGACTTCAAATCGTCAAATGGTCGACTCAAGCGATGATGACTTCTTCTTCTGTCAAATTTGTGGCAACGATGTTCCTAAACAAAATCGAATAATGCACCAAATGATGCACGCTAGAAAAGAAAGAAAAGAAAAGGTAAAATAAACCGTTAACGAATTCCATACAAAAATCTAGGACGCGACTTCTCTTAATGGACCTTCGAAGAAGAAACCAAAGAAGACGAATTACATGCGTGTGCGACCGTCTGCTCCGAAAAAGCAAGATAGAAAACCGAAAGAATCTACTCTGAAGAAGCCAAAGAAGCCCCGAACTCGAACAAAAAACTCTGCGAAAGAGAAGATGAAAAAGAAACAGGAGGAACAACCGCATTGTTCTCGAGATCAAGTTATAGTAATAAGCGACTCTGAAGGTATACCGTCGAACTCTAAATTTTCTTAACATTTTGTTTTTAGATGAAGACTCTTTCGCGAACACAGCATCCCGACAAGCTTCGAAACGAGTATTTCAAGAGACCATTCAAATCTCTTCTTCTTCTGAAGAGGAGAATTACGAGCCGGGGCCATTGATGGGGCGATGTTGGTGCTGCTGGACGCGAGATGCGACTTACGTCACAAGATGTTGTCGCAAGATGATCCTGTGCGAGGACTGTAGACAAGTCCTATACGCATGCCGCGACCTACGATTTTGTGTGAGATGCAGATCTCGTTATTTTTAAGCCTTTTATATTTATTATTTTTCTATTTTCCATTTCTATTTTTTATTTTTAATAAAATAACTTTTCTATATTCACGTATTTGTCACTATTCCTAAGCCATTGAAATTTTATTTCTTACTCTGAAAGAAATCTCGCGAATTCAGAAAAGCTTTTGAAAGAAAAAGGAATCGCTGCAGTTTTCCACTCCCAGCTTTGCACATGTCGCTCTCCGTAAATAATCTCACAATTTTCAGAAGAGAAAAACTCTTTAAGGGAAGAAATCCATTCTCAATATCATTCCATAAAGCCTTCCGACCGGAAGCATATTGTTTATATTAACTCCGCCATGTATCTTTTGGGTTTCTATTACGACGCAAGCATCTCTTAGCCAATCAGATTCGAGTATCTTCCCGCCTGGTTTCTGATTGGCTGTTGATTCGAACTGAGGTGGCGCTGTTTCATTATTGCTAACCAGTATAAAAACCGACCATGACAACCGTTTTTTTCGCCAAAAAGACCTTCTATAAAAAAGCTTACAATAGTGACTCAGCTAATCTTTTACGATTTCGCAAGAGGTGGCCAGCTCCACTCAATATTGGAGAGCGCGGTTGCGATAGAATGACGCTTAATCCGTTTTTAATAGTTCTTCAAAGGTTTACGTGAAGTAATCCGCTTTGCGTCCCACGTTCTTTGTCTATCTAGCCGCCTAACTTTTTATCTCGAAGCCGGTCATCTTAAAAAGGTCTTAAACAGGCCGGTATCAGGACTGGATGGTTTAAAATTCGGTATGAAATTCACATAAGCCACGTTTCTAGAGCAAACGCACCTGTACAACTCAAACCCCGTATCGTTATGAAAAGTATATGTACAAATTAACATAATGACCAAGCGGTTAGCACAGCGGGGGATAAACTCAAAAGTGATAAGACCAGCGGGTCGCCCTTGATAACAGCGGGAGAGCAAAAACTCGCTGCTTATTGTGCAATTAGCGGGCGATCAGGGTCGAGCTCTCTAATTGATAAAAAACGTGCACTCTAGACCGAAATTCTTGAATTAATTCTTACATGGATAATCTTAACTCCCTGGCGCGTAAGTGGCATAACAACGGATTCGTAAAAAGCTGATATTTCAAGCTGCAAATTTGCTGAATATTCAGGGCCATTTTTGACCTTTTGATTGGTCGATTTTTGTGGAAAAAGCGCCATCAATCGGCCAAATAAGAATCTTAGAAGATAATTTTTTGGGAGAAAATCTCCATTCCTTTCAATTTCCAGTTTTTCCAATTCATCCCTTCTTCTTACATAATTATCCTGACATTGCGGCTTTCTTTTTGACAAAATGTTGCTCGAAATAGAAAATACGGTAATAAAACTTTGTTCACTCGAGTGGTTGTTTAGAATGCCGCGCCTGGGACTCACGCTGCATGTCCAAGTACTCTTAGAGCGCGGCTCAAGAATCTTTAACTCATCCGAACTTATACAATAAACATCCTAGACTAAGGGCGCACAGCTGGTTGTTCTTGAGCCGGAAACTTGGCGTTGTTGTTCAATGAGGCTTTCTAACCGTTGTTCTTGTAGCTGATCTCGGATTTTCAAGTGATTTTTCGATTAAAAATTTTTTGATTGATTCTTTTTTTTTCAACTTGAAAATCCGTATTTCATTATTTCATTTTTCCGTTGATAATAACTGCCCTCCTTTTCCTTCATCACATCTAGCAGACTCTTTTTAATGTTATTGAGCTCCTCTTCTTGCTTTTCTTTGAGCTCAAGTTCGCGGGTTCTAAAATTAACACTGTGAAATCATTTGGGATAATATTATAAAACATTTGGCCCTTGAACGTGGCATCAAGTGGCTTCTAGCCATCAACCGAGAAAGAATTATTTTGCTGACCTGATATGAGCTTCTAGACGCCGTAGAGTTTCCTTTGTAAGATTGTTTTAACTTTCAATAGGACGAAGAGCATAATCTTATTGTTTTAAGAATCGATTTATAAATTAAATACTAATAGCCATCGATAAATATACTACAGTTTCTCTAATTGGGCTTATATGGACGTGGTTACGTAACATTTTAACAATATATCCGATAAAAGAATCTCTCCTGACTTCTACGATCCAACTCAGTCAGCTTTGTGCTATAAACATCAGGACTTCTCGGGGCTGTTAATTCCCAATTATATGCCGTTAATTCCCTTCTTCCAACATCCCCCCGCTTCAAGATGAAGAAACATGACGGCAATTAGCTAAAGAGTGTTCTTTAATCATCTCCATTTCCGGTACAGCCCCATCCTGACGGTGAAGATATCCTGCGATTTGGCTTGTTTCTGGTTTTGAAGTTTTGCCTGTGACCTGGATTTCCGAGGAGATTCGCTTCTCCCAGGACTGGTGAATTTCTTCGGCGCTCTGGAATTGACTGGAGGGACCAAATGGTTCGTCATTCTTGTGACTCTCATGTCTCGAGTAGGGTTGGTGATTTTTTGACCCCAGTGCTTTTCTGCGGCTTTGATTGCGCCCGAAGATGTTGGGTTCAGCTCCTATGGAAATAACAATTTAGTAAATTAGGATAAAAAGTATGAGAAAACACGTTTTAGCAACAGAAGAGTTTCTTAGTGCCTACTTGAATAGCGGTGGCGAGAATTGAATTGGTAACTTCGTCACGTCCGATCGCAATAAAGGCTGGTTCTAATTGCGGGACTTCACCAAAGCTTCAACTATAAATCCACTTTGCGGGTGGCAGTTTAGAAGTCCGTTCCCGGCGCGCGGAAGATATCCGCCAGCGTCTTGATTTCTTTCCCTCGAAGTGTGAACAGCTTTCTCACGTGGTCGTTGTGCTTTTAATCGACTTTTAAAATTCATGTTATACCTTGTTACTTGTTATAAAAATATGAAACCATAAAAATGAGAAAAGAAATTTAAATTTATATTAAAATTGAGCTGGAACAACCGGCAACATTCATTAATTCCAAGCAGTAACGTCCGCTGATATACGACACAAACTAGACACCATAAAAAGCAGAAAAACCTCTACAGTAAATATTTAAGCTATTATGGAGTTATGTCGAGGTCTCGCAACAATTATTTCAAGCTGTATCATCTGAACCGACTGCATTTGCATTATTTTAATAAAACAAAAGTGACAACTTTAGTTAGAGTTAACGCACAAGTCTCCGACTTCTAAGGCCTAGAGCTCATTTCGTAAAAACACTTTATCTAAAAACACTAATTAATTAGTGTGGATTTCCAAAAGCTTCGATTACATGAGCTCAGCCCTCTAAAGAATTTCTAGTAAAGCTGTATATCGATAAGGATGTCTTCCCTTATCATAAACCCTGATACAAGCCCTTCTCCAATAAGATGTTCCTTGATGACCCTTGGCTGCGGCAGTACTAAAGACAGACTTGAGTATATCCGGGTTTAATTAAACCAATGAAATCGAAATAGATAAGTTCAAGATCACTTGAAACTGGCTGGCAGCTTCGGACATTCAGTTGAGCTGGATTTCCGCCTTCAAGGCGCTTTTCTTGTCAAATCAGGCAAAATATTTTCTCAAAAGCGGATCAACTAACTAGTTAGTTTTTCTTTAAAGCCGTGGCCATCTTTGACTGGATGAAAAAACATCTTTTAAAAACCACAAAATTACTCAATTATATTTTTTCATCCCTTCTGCCTTGGAATCTGAAAAGCTTCAGTAATATCAATGAGTAATTGCTCCAAACTAGACGCGGATCTTCTGTTCAATAAAAGCGCAATTTTCTTGTAAGGCCGAGTTTTTGTCTTTTCCAAAGTTCAACCCTTTTTCTTGCTTTAGAAAGGAGGGTAGTCATGATTGAACTTTTCCGGCAGCAAGATTGTGACAACTCTAGGCTTTATAGGCTGCTCTAAGTATGTTGTTTTCGAAGTGTTTCCACTTAGCAAAGGGCGTTCGCGAATTCTACCCCCTTGTCGGTGCCGCTTCGGAAGGAGAGATTTCTTAGAGTGGTAACCTCCATCGTCGAAGCGAGCCTCGTTATCTGCTTAGCAAAAAAGTTGTCCCTAATTCTGTCTTTTTTGGAGTACCTGAGTGGACTTGTCTGATATTGCCCCAAACGTATCTTTTGTTTTGAGAATTGACGGACGCTCGATCGTCATCGGAAAAATACATCTCCCGACGGTTGGATTATTTTAATTCGGCGCACTCGTCAAGGACCTTCCAACGCAATAATAATGGGTGATAATCTCCCTGTTCACCAAAACCGCGCTGTTTGTAAATTATCCCCGCATCATTTTCATGAAGCCGACACCAAACGATCCAGTTTTCCTAAATTATCAAAAATCGGAAATTTTATAATGCTAATTATAATAAAATTAAAAATCTAGAGCGAATACTTTCATATCTATCAACCTCGATTGTCGATGGACGAAATATTGAGAAACACTTGGATCTTAGAGTTCTTCTCTTTTCTTCTTTTCTTTTTTCTATCTTGATATTTTTTAATTCTACGCAAATTGAAAAAGGATAGTAAAGAGTGCGGAATCGCACTTGGAGAGATTTTGGGGACAAAGCCAGATCACAGCAGCTTGTGTCCGTCAATGGATCAAGTGGTAGTTATCTTAACAGAGTATGGAGCGTAGTCCAGGAAACCAACCCAGATTTAAACAACATCTAACGAATTTGATGCCCTCAATCTTCCAAAAAAATCTGTGTTAAATTGCTCTCTAAAAGTTTCAGAGCATAAAGATTTTTATCGTCACTAATAAAACTGAAAAAAAAAACTAAAAATAGGAGAGCAAGCTGTTTTCTAAAAGCAAGAATGATAATGAAATGAAACTTATATATCAGTTGGTTTGTTACACCCTACATCAGACTGCATAGCAAAATAAAACTATCAACGAGAAAAGATGAAAAATGTTTATCTTTCCTTGCATCACGAACATCATACCACGGTCAGCTGGTGAGCAGATGTTGCATTTTAGGCGTCAGGTGTTGTCCGTGGCAATGAATATAAATGCAAAAATTGTCAACACCGTTCATGAAAAATAAAAAATCGTATTTTTTTTAAATGAAACGCAATCTTTCAAGGCTATTGCGATGCTAATGTGGTTTAAATTTATATTGTTTCTCGAGAAAGAAGATAATTTAATTGAAATCTGTCCTTTTGATTGAATAAAAGAATTGTAATCTTTATTACAGTTGAAAATTATAACTTTATCAGCTTTGTTTTGTTAGAGTCATTTTTGGCAGTCATGAATTCAAGTTATGTCTTCTGTTGTTTCGTTTTTTCGTTTCAGACAGGTTGAAGCATGTTTTTCGTGTGCTGTTTTTTTCGTATTTACAGTGTGGTTGTTTGCGTTTTTGTTTCAAATTACAGTTATGTACAGAATTTGTGTTTTTGTGGAAAGGAAGATACAAGTTGATCTTTTGCAATTTTCACCTCCTTTGACTTTTTTCTCGTTTATGACGTGTACCAAATAATTGGTTAATCTTAACCTACTTGCAGCTTCTTTTTGTTAATGTGAATTATCGCTGGGGAAGTCCTTAATTGACCGTTTTGAAAAAGAACGCAAAATGACGCTTATGGTTTTTGGTCTTGAAAAACTATTTCGCTCAACCGCTAGAATTTTTACAAAGATATTTTTCGACGAAAGTGAATAACGATGTATGTTTCTGAAAAAAAAGTAACGAGCTGAGGGACCGTTTCTGGAGTAAAGTGGAAATATCAAATTTTTGGCTCTCTAAATGGGCCACCCTTGAATCGGGGTTGAAAGTAGACTTGAGATCGTGTTGCTAATCCGCGACCATGACCGACCGGCGGAACTAGAACCGATCTCTTTTGCCCGGCAAAGGACACATTGAAAGATGACATTTCAAGGCACTCACAGACTGAAAGGGGAGTAAAACGGCTAAACTACGAAACTACGCCATCTTTCGGCGGAAACTCGTGAAAACTCATGTTTTCTTCAGCCCCTAAAATTATATTCCTAAGTAAGGAATGCTTACCCTAATCCAATTCTAATAAAAATTTTGATAAAACAAGAACAAAATCAAGAAGGGGTTAAAAAGCATCGGATCATAAAAAAATTAAGGAACATTTTTAGGGATTTCAAAATGTTGATTCCGTCGAAAATGATCCACAATTGTGTTGTAAGCAACGATCGCATTGAGTATTTGGCATACACTCATCTCGGCAATTCCTGAAGAATTTTTAGACTAATAAGGGTAGGGGCGATACTTACGTCGACATGCAAGAGAATTTGCAATCTTGATTTCTTCGCGAGTTAGTGAAGAAGCTTGGTCCTTCCTCTTCCTCTTCAAAAGAAGCAGTTTGAGAATCGATTTGAAATATTTAATCCTTACCGTTTCCACAGCAATCCTTTGAAATGGAGAGCTTGGCTCTTGCGCCCTTTGTCGTGCAAATCGCCAGATTCTGCAGCTTGGCGATGGTTGGATCGTCGATTAGAACCTCGAAGATCCTCTCCCGCGGCTCGGATGATCCCCGCATGCCAATTTCGACGGTGAGGACACCTAAAACCCGTTCATACAAAAAATCCCAGCCAGCTGATGATTATTTTCTAGTGCCGGCATTTTTCTCGTCAAATAAGCAAAAATTTCACGAAAATTTCAATTCTGAGAGGATAATCCGGGCCAGCTGCTGAATGGTGCCAATATGTGGCCGAGCAGAAAAGTGAAAAATGCGTGATTACTGTCACGCCCTGTCAAATTTTATTCACAACGTTACATCACGAACTTTTTTCTTGTAACTATCAGCTAAGCTGTTCATCTTCTGTTTTAGAATTTCTAACAGAGGGACATATCAAAAAATGAACTTTCGGTTTCTAAAATTAGTTTGAGAAATCAAACAGCTTCATTTTCTTGAAATAACTTACGGTCCAATCCTTCTCCATTAATAGCGACGCTAACTTCTTGTGGTATTTCTGGAGATAATACGGCTTTTAAGCGTTGTCTAAGCTATTCCCCAGGCACGTTTCTTTTTTTCCTTACGAGGTAATGATTTACGTTTTAAAAGTGTGCTTCGACTCTAATCGAGGCGCTCAAAGGAGTCCTAATGCGCCCCGCGTGCCGCTGTACGTTGCCGGGTTAATTAGCCACCGCCGACCTGAGAAGCGCTTTCGCAGGACGCCGATACATCGTTTGTAGCTGTCACGGTTAAATATGTGGTTGAATATATGCACATAAGCAAACGCAAAAAACAGTTCAAAAACTTGTAGAAACGTCGGGATGGAAATATTCAGAAACGTGAAATTGGTTTTGACTCGACAGGTAAGTGTCTTAAAATTCAAGACGACCTATTTAAAATAGGCTTTCTTGGAGCTTGTGCAATAAATGTTTCTTTGATTTTTGATCGTTTGATGGCGTTATTTTCGAAAAAGCGCCTTTTTTGCTGATCGTGAAAACTCATTTTTTGCTCTTTTTTGACGTGTTAATTTAACAGAAAACACGATGTATATGTTTAACCATTGGCTTGAGGCCTGGCAGGACTTGAGATCACAAGCAGTATTGTTTGCGCTGCCTAATCCGATTTGAATCCATCCGGATGTCAGAAGATTCTCATCAAGTCGTTCTTCGTCTGCGAATCCTTGCAGAGAGTTGTCCTCGCTCCTAGAATTTAAAAGACTTACCGATCGACACGTCTTGCATTTTTTCGCCTTTTCAAAGTTCTATATTTGTTTCAATACTTTCCTATTTGCTACAGTAACGTGAGAAAACGCCTGAAAAACTCAAGAAAAAGAAGAACCCGTGCCTGCTGCAGATGATTCTTGACGATGAGATTAGCCACATGGTCTGGGTTTACTCCGTGGAATTTGTTAGCACGGCTCCAGTCAGCTGAGTCGCGGGTTTTTCCCGAGCTTTTTCTATCCTTGAAGTCTTTGTAGGAATTTGTTACAGAAGTTGAGGACAGTTCAGCGGCGATTCCAAGCGATTCTGAATAAAGGAAATAAATTTCTACAACAAGAAATTGTAGGACGGGGTCGTTTTGGGCCAAGTGGATTTTGGATGGGATAAACCGACGCGGTGATCCTTGAGCGGATGAGACAATCAACGTGCGAAATTAAAAAGCACAGACAAAGGATTTGCCGATCTTTTCCCAGACGTCTAGTCCCAGCGAGAAATGTGCTTATTCGATGCCGTCTTTTTAGATTTTCACGGACGCGGCGTGATTACTGCATCGACTTATTGATCGCTATCGATCAAGATTGCATATAAAAAGGCATCGGAATCTCCAAAAACACAACAATAAAGATATGAAATGAAACTCTATTATATAGCGTAAAACTTTCGCCTGCGATTGTTTGATCTACTATTCGATGTGCCGGAAAATTAAGTAAAAACAAAGAGAAGGCACAATAATGAGAAAATGAAACTCCTTGGAACTCACATTTTGCACCTACTATTCGATGAGCAAACTTAATTAAAACTATTGCCAATACAAAATGATTACTGTAAAACAATTATGCAATCTGCTTTTACTTTCGATGCTGAAACTAAATTCGTTCAACTTTTGAAATGATGATCATGAGGCGTTAAACAAAACTTCAGCCACCAATAAACTTACGTAAAATGACGCTCAAACTTGCTTCTTCCGCAAAGTCAGCCGCCGATCCAATTCCCATATCCATCGCCATATCAGTTGCAACCTGTTCAGCCTGATTGACAACCTCAGGATTCTGCAGAGCTACATTAACCTTGCTCCACTGTTGTGAGAGCTCCTTAAGTTTTTTCTGCTCCTCTTTAAATTCCTTAATAATTTGTCTTTTCTCTTTTCTCAGAGCTTCTTTTTCAGCGCGTCTTTTCATTTTTTCATCTAAAAATTCAGCTTCTTCGTAGTACTCCGAGTATTCGGCTTCCTCCTCCTCCTCTTCCTCTTCTTCTTCTTCGTATTCAACAAAGTCGCCGAGCATTTCGACTTCTTTTCCCTCCTCTTCTTCTTCTGGTGCGTAATTTTCACGGATCATGTCCATCGCCAATTGTATATTTTCCTCGATTTCGCTTTGAGAATTGATCGAACCAAAGTTGAGCTTTTGGTCTTTTGCCGCTAATCGAGCTGCTTTTCGCTCAGCCTAAAAGTAGAGATATCAAAATTTGGAAATATCAAGAAGAGAATCTGCCTATTGCTTCATTTTCTTCGTTTTCCCTTTTAGTATTTTAAATAAAAAAGGAGGTATCGAAATTCAAGAAGGTCCTATCCTAGGAGAAAGCAAATCTGCAGTTTTCGGAGCAAGTAAGAACTAAGATTTAAAATCGTCAAAAATATAATAAGCAAATCTTTGTTTATCAAGTGCCAAATGACTGATCAAGAGAATGACTGCACGAGTATTTTCTGCTCAGAGAACATTATCTACGTAGTAATCGCTGTCATTGTTTTCTTCACAACTTTGATCGGGGGCTGCTGTTGCATCGTATCAAAAACTGCCCCAGGATCAACTGGCTGCGACTGTGGTGGTGGATGTGACTGCGGTGGTTGCGACTGTGCTGGGTGCGATTGTGGTGGCTGTTAAACAGTACCACCATTTATAAAAGAAAAGTAATTTGATCAGAGCAATTTATTTCCTAACAATATTTCCTGTTCTATCTTTTCACGCATCTAACACATACAATAAATCTATCTGCATTTGCTGCATTATTTTCATTTTTACCTTTCTGGCTTCTCGCCTGGCCTCTTGTTTTGCCAGTTTCTTTTCCTCCATCGCGTCTTAGATAGGATTTGTGGTTGAGCTGAGATTTGCAACAAACAAGAAATTTAGCTGAACGCATTAACTTTTCCCTTTGATGGCCAACTTGAGGTCGTCTAAGTCCGGAAACGACTTATCCAAAAGGTGAGATTTTCTCCTCACGTGACACAATAATTGTTCTAACAAATTCGCGAAAATTTGAGGTTTTTCGTTGAGGCGGAATTTGCTGCTTTTAAAAACATAATTCAACACCACGTTTATTCAAGAGCTGCTACAGGGCAATTAGTGTTCCCACTTTACCCTCCGAAAATCTGCCTTAGTTCAACTGTTACTGACTCGTTGAAATAATTTTCGAATGCTTCTAAGTGTCATTGATAAAATCTCCTCTTGCAAATGAAGTGTGAAGAGAACGAGGCTCTAAAAATCCGTTCCTTGGACTTGTCTTCTGAGTCTGGTGAAAACAGTCTGCAACACTTGAGAAGTACTTGGCCTGACAGGCTCATCTAAGACGTCAAAGTGAGCTCCGTTGAGTTCCATCTGCTCGCGCACGAATTCGCGCAGCTCTTCCGGAATCTCTTCCATCTCACTGAAAGTACCTGTAAGATACTATTGATAGGCCTCAATTGGCGATTGGCGCTCAGCGAAGGGATAATCACGATAAATAATGACACACATTTAATATTAATCTCACCATGAGGGAACAGATAAAATTGTAAAAATAATCCTGACATTCTCAATTTATGGTTTCTGAAACTTACGTATCTCTCCTTCTTCTATCTCCATGCTGTCTAACGATCGAAAGTGGCTTGTCGTAAAGAAAGATGCGCACATCGCGCTCTGCTTCGACGAGAAAGGTAACGTTTCCTTCAAAACCGGTCGAGTATTTATTGAAAAGGCCGCGGCAGCTTCTTGTGGTCGTAATTGATGTGTACTCTAAACAGCAAAACTGTTAAATTTTCGCTTACAAAATTATATCCATTATAAGATTTAAGTGTTTTTCGTATCTGAAATCGGGAGATAAAAGCTTTAAAAAGTAGTAACGTGAACAAAAACCGACCAAATCCACATTTTTTCAACCAAGATTACGGCTTCGGTGGCGTTTGTGGCTATTTCAGAGGATAATAAAATTTTTCTGAAGTTCTGTATGTCGACTTTAGAAATCGAGAACCGGCAGGTTCAAAATCGCATCTTATCAAATTATACAACAATTTTACGGGTGCTTGAGTTACGTTTTTTTCTGTCTTGTGTTGCTAAAATCCGATTTACTCCGATTTCTCCTCTTCCAAGATGACCCCGCAGAGGGGAATACTTTTTGGCAAAGATACTTGTCATACAGCCGCTAGAATTATCCGCTAAAGGCGCGAAGAAGTAAAAAATCAAGCAGAAACGTGGGAAAAAAGATCGGAAATACTGAGCTATCTATTGTCGACTTAAAGTTGCTATTTTCAGTTTTTCAAAATAAAAAGTTGGTTCGGAAATGAACTTTTCCACGGCGCTTGTCAGCCAGGGATAGATTTGACCTGAACGGAGGCAAAGCTTGTTGTTGGAAATGCTAAGGGCTTGTTAGATGGAGACCGGGGCATTATGCAACTTGTACTGCATTTACTGCATAAATGTGTTATCTTGGAAAGATAGAGTTAAAAAAGTGGAGTATAAAGGAAACCATAAATGCGGGAATAACGATAATTGTAGGGCTTTTAGCTTTGAAAGAATTAATGATGAAATAAAATGATTCTCGTCACAATATTCATACACAACTAGGCATTTGATCGGCTCTGACGTGCTTTTTTTAAGGTTAAGGAAGTTATTTCTCTTCGTACCTCTTTTTAGACCGGGAACACCATACATATTTGGAATCAGCAGGAAATTTTAAGAACTTTGACCGTTTTAGTTTCTCAAATTTCCACTTCCGGTCCGATTCTAGAGCCGGAAGTTGACGACATTTTTGAGTTTGGGCAATTTGTGACCCATCAAATTGATGCTCAGAAGATTTTGAGTCATCACATCTACAAATTATTCAAAAAGACCGTCCCAACCGCGGACAAACCGACCGGCAAAACAAGGAAAAAAGGCATAAATTTGTGATTTTTCTTTCAGTTTTTAGCGGTTGATTTGACCGCGGTCGGCATTGATTCTTATCTCAGATGATAGGAAATCTTCTGAGCATCAATTTGATAGGTCACAAGTTGCCCAAACTCAAAAATTTCGTCAACTTCCGGCTCTAGAATCGGACCGGAAGTGGAAATTTGAGAAACTAAAACGGTCAAAGTTCTTAAAATTTCCTGCTGATTCCAAATATGTATGGTGTTCCCGGTCTAAAAAGAGGTACGAAGAGAAATAACTTCCTTAACCTTAAAAAAAGCACGTCTCTAGAGTGAGTAACAATCGTGTGAGTAACAATCATTTAGTGGATTCAACTCATTTTTGTTTGTCCCAAAAACCATCCAGCGTCATGTTTAAATCACCTTCTTTGATGAAAGTACATCAATCGAGCACTCCACTAATTTATTTACATCAAAAATTCCACCCACTCCAAAACGTGTTGTTTTTATTCAATTACGGTTATTCCATTTCCGCACCATCTGGATCCATACCAAAAAAAAAAACTACATCAAACTTCAGTATTTGACCCTTCAACTTTCCCGTTTCTTTTCTTTTGAGTTACCTTTTGCAAAGTCGCACTTTTGTTCCATGCAAGCGCTGCACTGTTGAGTGGGAATGCGTCGGTTAAACTGCAACATACTAAAACATAAAGTTACTCAAGCTGTTTTGATGTTTGCACAGGTAATCGCCTTATTGTCATAACCAATTATCCTTCCGACGCTTATTTCACGAACGAAAAATAGAAATGGAAGTTTTATTCAGGAAGAGAAGATCCTCTTTTCGAGCGACTCTCCAGTATTATTTTTCAGGCGAAATGACGTGTTATTTACCTTTTAATTTCGGCACATTCACTTCCACAGCACTTTTGGCAAACATTTCTGTCGCAGGTTGAGACCCTCACTCCTGAAATTTTCAATGTAAAACTGGTTAAAAAAGAGCGTCATCCTTTGCGAAATAATGTTTTGGTTCCAAGTCATTCTTGGGCAAAATACAGGTGCGAGGATTCAGAAAGACACTCATGAAAGAATTATCACTTTTTTTCGGTTACTTTATTGAGTGAAAAAGAGGTTGAACATGGCTAGTTCAGAGGAGGAATCGTAAGAATCTTGAGAGGATACTCGGACTTTATCAAATGCTATAGAATGCGTTTATACAAATTTTAAGCAAAGTATCAGAGAATATGATTATTATTATTTTCCGTCTAGAAACCGCAATAATGTCAGAAGCAAATCAAATTTCATTTAACTAAATCTACAGTCCCTTTGGGAAACGAAACAAGTATCAGACTCTGAGACTCAGAGCGTTATAAAAAATCCATATTTCATAGAGATAATAATTTCACTCGTGATTTATTTATGAAGTAATTTTTAAAACTTATAGAATAGCATTACGTCAAAAGAGATTATCGCTAGACTCGCAAGAAAATCCGCTATTCGTGAGGACTCTTTTAACCCGTTTCCGCAAAGCTGCTCGTCTCAAGTTGCGCGCCGCGAGAGACATTTAGAAAAAAACAAAAAAAGAAAGAATAACACCTCTTTGCTCACGTTACGTGTGCGCGCGGATTTACCTGATTTCCTGCAGCAGTTCTTCCAGCATCTGAAGTTTTCATCGAATTCGTCTTCTGATAATCTGTAAATGCGGCTCTGTTCTTTCAGCGTCGCAAAGTCGAATTCTTCTACGCATGTCCATTTTGAGCACACGCACTTTTTGGATTGAGGAAGCTTTTTCGCATAAAAAAATGGGATTTCAATTTTTAAAGCAAATAGTTCGATAGTTTCAAGTCACGATTTCTAAATTTGATTTTTGACGAGTTCCAAGACTGAGTTGAGAAGAAGCTGCTTTGGCTCTTTTTGGGTAATTAATCGGGTTTGACACATCTGGACTCGTGGAACCAGCTTGGAAACATGAAGGAGGGGCTTTTTGAAAGGAGAATAAATTAATTTGTCTGGCCCAAATCACGGAGGGAAAAGTTCAACAAGTTGAAGACAGAGAGAGAAAGTAGAGTCTTATTTTTAGGGTTTGTTAATTAACCGCCCAGTCGTGACCAAGTGGTTGACTAGAACACGACCTCGTGTTCGCGTAAGCTCCTAAAAATTGCGAAGTGATGAAGAAATGAGGCAAAGTTCAGACGTTTACCACGTAAAATACAATTTATTTTTTCTAGCAATCTTGAAAAAATGAAAAAGAAAGAAGTTTCGCGATTAATTTTTTGATTAATTTATCATCGAAAAAATCAAAATTTTGACATAACCGGAAGAAGGAAAACTTGAACTTTTTCTTTCCGAAATTCCGCTCGGATATCTGACGACCTTCTACAATACGATGATTACTGGGCGAGCAATGACAGATCGATCTGGCAGATCAATCCATCTTGTGAGAAGAAATTGGAGCAATTTGAAATTTACTTCTTCTAGCTCTTTTCGTGTGAATTATAAAATTTAGAAATGCTTGTTTTAGAGTGAAAAAATGTGCCCAACGATTTTCGTCTCGAAATTTCAGTTTTGCGGCAAAATGGACTAAAGAATTTACGTCTCGATTTAAAATCTTCATTGAAAAAGGGCTATTCATTTCTGACTGGCTGTTTTATTATGAAAAAGACGCCACCAAGCGACGCTAAATTGAAAAAAAAAATAAGTTTGATTTGTGAATAAAGATGATGTAAGTCTGAGGTCGGTTAATTCCACCACTAACGCCACATGATTAAGGTAGCTTAATTTCCGGCGCCGGGACACGTGCTCAAATACTTATTTTAACTTTTAAAAGTGCCGGAAATGGCGGGAAGAGCGATCTTAGCAAGATGGAACGACAGTATTGAAGTTTTTGGCAAACCCAAAATTTTGATCAAACAAAGAAGATCTTCCTCAAATCCGCTAGTTTTTTAGAAACGTGTGAACGGCTTGGAAAAGGCGGAGATTACATAAAAACATTACAAATGCCAGAAACGGGTTGACCGCGAGTTTCGGCGCCGCGAGTGAAGCCCGCGGTCTCTTGAACTTTGAGGAAGCGATTGAATTGGCATTTTTGGAGAAGTTGTGTGGCATCTGCGGCGATATTAATGAAAAACACTAATTCTGAAGTGAACTTCTAAATAAATAACTCAATTTATATCCCGAGCTGCAATTAAAATTCCAATGCAGCGAGTCAAAACACCAATTTTAACTGAAATAAACGAAATAAAGCAATGTAAGATTAAAGAAGATGAAATATTTTTGAGGTTTACACACTGCAAAAACCATAATTGTTCAAATCTAAAGGCATTTTTATAGTTATTAGGATGGTCAAAATTGAAAAAATCTCCTAAAAAAGGGAAAACGATTAATGAAATAAATGAAAATCTATTATTCACATAATAATAATACCTAGTATCCTAGTGCCAATAAATAACCTTTCTTATTTTTTTAAAAAGTAATATCCGATAGCTACGGTACCTGAAATTTCTTGAATGGGGTCTGAATAAAAATAATTATCTTTCGCCTAAACAAATCAATCCAATCCTGAGGGGGCACTCTGGCTGATAGGCACTGGGTGCATTATTTGCGCCTATCCTTCCAATGTCGACTCTGGCTTTGGCCAGTGCGAGCACCAGTGCCCAAAATTTCATTTCTTCTGTTTCTCTCCTTCCTCTCTCTCTCTTTTATGACTTCTACTTCGTTCGTTCTCTCTCTTATTATACAATTACAATTATAAAAAACGGGGAAAAGTAGTAAATAGGTCCCTCAAAAGCGTAAAATACAAAAAACTTGGACCAGATGTTGACGGTTGCCGAGGTGGTGGGGTACCGCGGAAACAACGATGCTCCAGCGCCATCTGATGCGGCGGCGCTAGGGCGCGAAAATGAGCCTTCACGAAAAATGAGGAGAGAGAGGGAGCGAGAGATCGCTTGGGGGTGATGAAGAACTCGATAGATGGGGTTAAGGTTGACTGATAGATTTAATGATGAATCATTAATATTAAGAAGAGCGGCTCCTGTATTTCTGTGGATCTACAGAAAAAATACGTAATACCATGAAGTTGAGCTCAAAGGGGAGATCGAGAATCTGAGCTACTGAAAAATGCACTGACTTTTTCAGTAGCTCATTCTGGGCGCGCCTAATTTGGGTGAGAAGCCGCGCAAACTCTTGTTGGCTCTCTGATTGGTTCGGACTTTCCAGATTCTGTTCTTCAGAATCTCGAGATTCTTCTAAGCCGCTGATGAGATGTACGCTGATGTTCTTGTAAAAAGGGCCATAAATTATCTTTATATTCTCGTCAGTTAGTGGTACCCTTTTCAGTAAACGTAAAAGTATTAATTTCTCAAAATCCTACTGATCCAAGACTGTTACTGAAATAGGTAGACGGTGTTTACTGAAAATTTCAGACGTAGAAGCGTTATTGGAGAGACAAGCCTTCTAATGCTAATTTAACCGCATGTAGAATACGTTCAGTTTATTGTCAAAATGAAGCGATAAGGTCTTAACAGGGGTCTAAATTCGCAGTGCGAATTCGCTTTATTGCGAAGCGATGCGAAGCGAAGCGAATTCGCTTTCGCTTCGCTTCGCACTTGAGAGCAGAATTCGCTTCGCTTTCGCTTCGCAAAAATTCCAAAATTTTCGCGAAATCAAGGGCCAAGAGGATCAAAAGAGCAAAAATAGTTGTAAAGAATGCGAAATTTAGGAATTTTCCTCGCCGCGGGCTTGACCAACTGCCCGAAATCGCCGTATTGCCCGAAAGTGCCCAACTTGCCAAAATGCCCGAAATGCCCGCTTTTGCCCAGCCAAATTTAAGGGGCTGAGCCGTCCGAATGCCTGGCCGAAGTTCGGCCGCCGAACACATTTTGCCCGAAAATTGTCCGTTTTGCCCGACTGCCCGATGCGGCATCGGCGATGCTCAAATGGTCACCCCTGCTATAGTGTTTACTACTACCTTGGAATTATCAACAGTTAGACCCACCATTCGGCTTATATTGACGAGCTGAAAAAGTACAGTAACAGATTTTTTTGAAATTTTCTGCGCAAAAATAGGTTTTTGAAATCATCTTCGCTTTTGAGTTGCTGATTGCTGAAGATTCTTGCCAGAAAATGCGTATCAATTAAAGCGAAAAAATTTTCGCTTTTTTTTCGCAATTTTCAATGATATTTCGCTTCGCTTTCGCTTCGCACATGGACGAAGAATTCGCTTCGCTTTCGCTTCGCAAAAAAATTGAAAAAAACGTTCGCTTTCGCTTCGCTTTCGCACTAGGATTTCGGCTGATATTTAGACCCCTGGTCTTAACATATCCTGGGAGGAGCTCTTCCTTCCGATTTTTTCCTCGCGAATCTTTTGGACATAAGGTTTTCGTTTAAGGTATTTGACATCCTTTATTGTCAATAAATTATTGAACATAGACAGGGGCCAATCATTTCATAGAGAGATTATATTATTAATTTATCGCCAGTGTTAGGCAGTAAAAAAACTCCAAAATCATTAACAAAAATCTGAAGTATGGTTCTTCTTTCATAAAATTATTCATAAGCCGTGGAATTCTAGAGCTCGAATCCAAAAAAGACAATGATCATCTACCCTTTTTCGAAGGAGGCAATTTTCTCCAATAATTCGCCTCTTCAAATCGGCCTGTGAACGATTTGAGAACCGGTCGCTAAAATTATGGCCTTCAGGTGGTGATTTTGGATCGGTGATAGCGTTACATAACACAATTTGAGTTCAAGTTTTGACGGTGAATGTCTTATCCAAGCATGAACTTGTCTAGTCTCGTTTGATAGTTTGGCTACGTTCGAATCCAAATACAATTATTCGCGCTTGAATCTCGTCTCGTCATTCCCCCTGCTGACTTGCTGAAAATACAGATTTCGTGGAAAACGGAAATGATATGACGAAAATCAACGAAGAAGCCACAAAACGAATCAAGGAGCTGTCTCAAACCATCCATTTCACCTACCACCATTCTACCAATTACAGTTTCCACTAAAATAGAAATTTCCTGTTCGGAAGAGACTAGACTTTCGCAGAAAATTCTCAGTTTGAGACTCGTTTTTCTTGACTTTTGCCTTCAGAAACCAACTCCAGGGTTGGAAACCTGTGTGGATAATCTGAGTCAGAGTGCCTGAGTCAGCTATTATGAAAAGCCTTTCTTTTAAGAATAAGCCGCGGAGATCCCTGACTCAGGTTTTCTGCACAGGTTTCCCAGCCCAGAGCCAATTAAACCGACCAAAATTTAGCCATTTCTTAGTGACTATTCTTCCCTTTTAGATAAGTCCCTAAACTTGAGTGTCTCTCGTATCCTGGGCCGTAAAATTTGCCTTCCTAGAATTTCTCAAGTTTGACCTTCACCTGTTCCCAAATTATTTTCAAAATGAAATCAGAATTCCTGGCCAGGCAAGATCTCGCCCCCTGGAGATCGTGGCATTTCTAATATTTTAATAGCGCTACCAAAAATCAGAAATTTCAGAGGCACATTCAACTCAGTTCATTTCTTTTCTGTACTTACCTTGCTTTCTGTACATTTGATATGACTGAGGCTAAGAAAGGGGATTTAACCACATCGTTTGATGAGAAAAATGAGTTGTCCTAAACTAAACCCTTTTTATCCGTTTTTTGAGTTTATATCACAAGTTCAAAAAGTTAAAAAACGTGTAAAACTGGCTCAAAATTGTGCAAAAGAAAGGGCTTTGAAATCGGTCATTTAGAATTATTTTCTCAGCGCCCGAGGAACATTAAATGAGATGAATGTTTTTCTATTATCGAAACGGAGACTGCGAACCTGGGCTAAGCGACTTTCGAATAAAGAAACTTTTGCAGATTATTTAAAATCAATTTTATTACTGTTTTTATTGGAACATAAAAGTAGAATGAGGCAATACAAGTAAGAATAAACCAGCTTTTTGCTTTTCATTTTAATTCAGGACGAAATAATAACTAGACATTCTCTTCGAAACAGAAACGATTCCGCTGACGATGATAATTGACAACTGAAGCTTGAAATATCTGTGTGGTTGTTACCCCTAAATTTAAATCAGATTTTGATTAAACGAGTGCAAAATCATTATACAAATTAATACCAAAACTGGGAACTAGAACCCTTTTATATCATCCAGATTAAGCAACTGCCCGTGAGAGCGACACCAACTGATCTCTTATCTTACCCTCGATTCTCTTATAAAGAACTTCTATCTACCCGATCAGCCTGCCTAAATTCAACGCCCTAAATTCCAGCAGATGCCTTTTTTGTTCACAGTATTGCAGTAGGAAGAAAAGTCTCTTGAATCGAACGTGATGCTCTCAGACTTTCGCCAATTTGACAGAATTTCACAATCAATTGTCACCTAGCCGTATTTTCCCTTTACAATTGCCTCAAATGCCCGCTTTGCTGTTAAAAACTGTTGCAAAAGAAAGCTAGACAAAGCCGATTAACATGCACAAGAAATGAACGAAGCTTTTCTGCAATTTTTCATTTTTCTAACAAAATGTTACGAGCACGAAAATCAACAATTGGAGTTACATTCGTGAGCTCTGCGGATAATCCGTCTTTGGAATTAATGTTTATTGAACTGCACAGGAATTGTTTCACGAAGCGTATTTTCACGACTATCGCGGTTTTGGGTGAAAATTCCAGAGTTGAAAAATACAAGTACAAAGGCTATTTTTTTATTGTAGACTGTCCCTAGGTCTAGGATCGGGGGTGATCGCTGGAGATCCGAAATGAAGCGCTCGAGTTGAATCACCAATGAGTGGAGCGCGGGTTCTTTGGATCTCCAATTGCGTGGAGATCCGCGCGATCTCCACTCTGAAATTGCGGTGATCGATCACCACTCTCGATCTCCAGTTCTTAGAGATCCAAAAACCCCAAAGTCGATGAGTCACTTTGAAACAATCTTCTGTCAGCCTACTGATATCAGAAGCGACTGACCGGATAGCCTTGAAAATCTCAGAGAATACTAATTTTGCGCAGTAGATTTCAAATATTCTGTCAAAAAAGTGCATGGATTAATATTCAAGATAAAAATAAGTACTTTTTACTATCTCTGCTTGATTTTGGTTCGGTTTAAATTTCCAAAGGTTAAAGCGCCGACTTAGAGCTCGGCTGGTGAGCGATAATCTATCGCCGATTACTTCTTGAAAATAAGCAATACAAACTCATTTGTATTAGTACATTTTTGAGACACTGACCCGAAAAGTCCCTTTTTACTGAAAAATATGAATGCATTCGAGAAAAATCCATGGTCGAGAAAATTCGGGTCCCGATCACCGAAAATTGGAGATCGACAAAATCCCTGGGACTGATTTGGAGATCGAGCTTCGATCTCCACGCTCTGGAGATCCAAACAACCCGCGCTCCACTCATTGGTGATTTATCTCGAGCGCCTCATTTCGGATCTCCAACGATCACCCCCCATCCTAGACCTAGGACTGTCCTTTAAAAATATTTTTCTATTAATTTGGGCACAGAAAATAGATAAAAAAAAGGGTTATTTCAAAGTAATTTTCGGGCTATCCGTGAATTGAAAAAAAAAATAGAAGAATAATACATGATAATGTTGAGAGTATCAATTTAGGAGGTAGGTTTTGGGGGGCATTCAGGCCAAGTATTCATACATGTCTCGTTCTCCATCGACTCGGGCGATGTATTCTTTTTCGACGAGGATTTCGATTTGTTTCTAAAAGAAAAGTTCGTTCTTTTCGATTTTTTTCATTAGAGATGGTAAAATTTCGGCACCCGAATTACTCCTGTAAATATCTGTTGCAGGCTATAATTTACCTTGATTAGCGGAACCCTGGCCGTGAACCGTGCTTGTAGCTGCTCAACCACTGCGGTGACCAAGTTGTTGTGGTTCAATCGCTGCCGCATTTTCATAATTCTAACAATCGCCGCCTAAACAAACCGAGAAAAGACCGCAACTTCGCCGAATTTTACCTGCGTCGCAAGGCCGCGGTCTTCTTCAACCCTTTTCACCGTCAAGTCACTTTCGGATCGTTGTTCTTGCTTGATAGGCTGCGAGATGTTCATTTTCTTCTTTTTGCTAAAGGAGAAAATATTGAATTTTTCCGAAAAAAAGAAGCATGTAAGAATCGTAAGAAGTTCTATTCAGTCAAGTTGTTAAGAGCTTACCTCTTGTAAGCTTCATTAACAGAAATTGTGTGGCTTCCGCTGGGCAGCTCACTTCCTGCTGCTGAGGAAGTCAAGATCTTCGTTTTGAGCAATTGGGCAATTATCTTGTACAAATAGTCGTTCTCCGTTTCTATCTCAGTTAAAGATTGAATTTCGTCAACAGTATAGCTGGGCCGTTGATTGAAGATGCTCAAGATTGACAATTGATGCGTCGTTGTCTATATTTAAGTATTACGTTTCGACAAAAAAGTTACATGAAAGTAACACGACAGATGATGGATCATCGAGTTCCAGTAGTGCCATCAAACAAATAAAAACGACTAGGTGTTTTATATAAATTGAAAGCGTGGCCGTTGGTAATATCCAGGTGGGCGTTGTTGTATAAAAATCAACGGAGAAATGAACTCAAAGTGACTTTTTCAAGGAATTACTCAATAAAGAAGTTAAAATCATGATTTAACGAATTCTAAAATCTGATTGGCTGACAGTAAATTTTAGCCTTTCTTATTGGTCAAGAAATGCTTTCTTTCATTTTTGCATTTTGCTTACAGTAAAAATGAAGAAATTGGACTGGTCCAGCTTTGGGAAGAATTTGAGCTCACATCTCGAATGTGCAAGAATCCATGTTAGTTTTCGACCGCTATGTTTTTGGCTGTAGTGTTGAAGAAACTGTTCCTGGCAGGTTCGAATCTGCGGCGATGAGACAGTTAAATATTTATAAAAGCGTTAAAGCCACTGTACCTCGATAGGTAGAATAAAGGGATTGCTGGGCTTGTAATTCCAATGTCCAGTGGTTAACACTTTGATGGTGAAGTCCACTAAAAACGGGTTGGATGAATTACGCTAGAATGTGAAAAAACTATGTTTAGAACATTTTCTTCTAAACTTTATGTCTAACTCCGTTTGGTAAATAATCCCGGCCAGCTCCATGCAACAAGTTGGATAAATTTCGCCACGGAGCTATATATAAACCGCACCAATCCAAAATCACGACGCACCTTTTAGCGAGCCACTTTGGCGAGCGTGGTTTTTGAATTCTTCCGTGTGAGTTCTGCTCACCACGATGTCTTTGAACATCTTTTGGAGGCGGGAGGTGTACTCGTGGCCGCATTCTTCCTGAAAAAAAGAATTTATAGACGGGAATTAGAGCGGAAAAGCAGGTCAAGACTGATTAAAATCAAAGATTAAAATTTTCCGTGTGGTATATAAGGGGGAGCATCAGAGAATGAATCGTCAAATGAAAAGGTTCATGAAAATGAAATGATAACTAAAAATTTTTTTTTAGATTTAATTCGCTCAAACATCGGCTATAAATAAACAAGTTACCTTCAATTTCTTGATCATCGTTTCTTCATTGTCTTCACTGGCCGAAATCTCCTTGACCAATCTGTTGCCAAATAGCTTTGAGTAAAACTCCATGAAGACATCTTTTTCGTTGATAAACTTGAAGATTGTGATCTGAAAAATTAATAAATGCCAAGAACTCGCCCCTTGATATTTTCGCTTCAGACGACATTTTGCAAAGCAGGCCGTTTTTAGAGCTGTAATTGAGGATTTATAAAGTTTATGTTTTCAACTTTTTCGGCGACTTTGGCTTCGAAAAATTTTGAAATTGAATCGAAAAGTGATGACCTTGCCCTAGAAAGAAATATTTTAGCAAGCTCTAAACACACCGCGGTTCCCTTTTTAATACTCATCGACCTTGAGTTGTATTTCCAAAAAGACTTGAAGCGAGCCTTGAATACTTACAACTTCTGACATGGCCGCCTCCTTATCCGAGTCATCGGAGGCGACTTTTGCATTCTTCTTCAAGATAGAATCAGAGTATCGCGCAAGCAGTTCCGCACTTCGACTTGACCTCGTTTCGCAAACGGCGTTTCTAACATCAAAAGTTATCGCCTCATCTGCAATTTTACAGAAGATTTTTTCCTTTTAAAATCAATATCAACCCATCTGTAGGAGATATCAGTCGATAATATTGAACCAAAATTTAAAAACCTTTAATGTTTAAAGGTCCCAGCGTAACTGCGTTATTCTTAGAAAGAGAAAAATTTTCTCCAAGTTTGAACATGACCTAATTTGCATCTCAAAAGGGCAGAAATTCAATCAATCAATGAACTTCTTCTAGTTCCTCTAAGAACTCGTCTTCCATCGAAATTTTAATAGCATACACTTATTGCAACAGGGCGTGGAAGTGAGTCACTTGCTGGTGGAACCAGACACGAAATAATTTCCGAAATCGCGGTAAGCACTCCCTGCGCGGATATGAGCTGTGATAAGTTAATTTCGCCTCCCGAAAATGCCACAAGAATCCCAACTACCCACCACCTATCCTTATCGGCGAGCGTAATTTTGTCGTGAAGACTTACTAGCTTCTAAACTAAACCACGTTCTGTGGCAGCATTTTAGGATAATTCCTTGATAAATAGCAAAGTTTCATCTTCTCGCTGTTTTTATCAAAGAAAAAAATACTGTCCTCCGGAAGAGTCATACTCGCTCTTTTACGATAACAATTGTCTGTTGTTTTCATTTTCTTTTGCTCAACTTACTTGTTCACAAAATGCGAAGCCGCTCTATCTAGCTGCGTTGTGAAGCCAGAGTCATTTTCTGTTCAAGGGTTGAAAATTAATGTCGCGGTTTATTGCAACATTCAAAAAATCATGTCTTCTGAGAAAATTTCAAAAGGGAATTCATAAGACCTAATTTTCCAAATTAGCAAAACGTGAACATGTTCAACCCTGGACGCAAAGGCGTCGAGAACGACTTTTGAGTATTTTTTATACACAGTGAGGACGGCGTCGATGTAGTTTTTCGGGTCGACCAGGGCGGATTCTTTGATTGCGTCAACAGCAGCGATTCCTTCGGAAACTACGTGTTGGCGGAAAGCATCTCGCATCGGGTCTGAAAATTCGGATAAGACCGGCACGGGTTCGATTCCCACCAATAACATATAATTCGTCAGATGAAATATACTTATTATTTACCAAGAAAAGGGCTGACATTATTGCTCTTATCGCTTTCGCTCCTAAATTTGTCTGCTCTGTTGACAAGGGCGAAAACCCTCTTCAAGTCGTCGATCTTCTCGTGCTCGACCATGGGTTTGAATTCATCGTGAATTCTTGCGATGTGTGCTTCTATGAGCACTTTTACGAGCGTCTGCTCCACTTTCGGACCTGTCGAGCTGTCCAGATAGCTGAAAATAGGGATGATGATGATGAAGAGGTAAGCTGGAAAATTGGGGATGATAAGAGCGCGGCTGCGGACAAGTGCGGTTAAAAGACGAGTACTTAGCTGGACAAAATAATGGAAAGAGTATTTACTCAATAACAAACTATGACTTCGAATAAGATTTCTTGGAATAAGAAGGAAGAAACGTTGATTCATCACTACATAACTCGGGTCAATCATTATCGTTTTTAAATTTGCATTAAGGTGACACCAAATGCCACTGCCATTATCATAGTCAAATTAGAATCCACCGAGGTGTTCATGTACTGCGGTTTTCTCCGAAAATCTCCACTTAGATCCCTTTAGTAAGGGACCCTTACCCATGGCAAAACTTAAGGGACCAGCCTCTTACCTTCTGACGCGTCGATCCTCCTCTTCAAACCTCTTCTCAATCTTGACGAGATAATCGACCAGCGAGTGGCTGAAGAATGCAAATAAGAAACCCCTTTTTCAATTTTAAGTACTCAAAACAAATTTTCAAAAATGAATATGTTTCTAACCTCTCAATAAAACTTGACGACTCAGCTTGGTAATACTGGGTCGTCTCTTTCAAGAATCGGGTTTCAAAGGTTTCGCGGTAGACGCCGAGGTCGCGCTCCGGACGACCGGTAGCGTCTTTTTCGTTGTTTTTCTTCTCCAGGCCGAGTTCGCAGACGGACTCTTGCAGAATCGTTTTGAGCAGTAGATGATGGGAAGTGTCCGCTTTTTCGGAATTTTCATAATGCTTTTTGATGATCGGAAAATTTTAAAAATGGTACAAGCCCTAGGTATATAACCCTACTATATAGCCTATATAATATAGGCTGTGAAACCCTAGGATCGACAAATGCCCCCGAAATCCGGATCGGGTTTTCGTCGGATTTTCTTCAAGTCTGATTTTTCCGATCGGGTTTTTGTCGGGTTTTCGTCGGGTTTTTGTCGGGTTTTTATCGGATTTTCGTAGGCTATTTTTCGGGTTTTTGCAGGGTATTTTTCGGGTTTTTATCGGGTCTTTGTCGGGTTCTTGTCGGGTTCTCACAACACTGAAGTTAATTCTGAATTGACAAGTAAAATGAGTCCAAAATGGCGAAAATAGACATAATTTTTGGCTAACAGTATTTCGGGTACAATCTTTAATCAAACTGATGAGTAAACCCGAAGAGAAACCCGACGAAAATACCCTACAAAAATCCGATAATTGACCCTATAAAAACCCGATTTTATAGGGTCGCCAAAAATTCAGCGTCGGGTTTTTGTAGGGTCGGCAGAATCCAACAAAAACCCGACAAAAACGTCGGTTTTCGATCGGGTGTCGGGTGGGACTTGTCGATCCTAGGTGAAACCCTTAAGAAACTCCTTCCTTCATTTTCTCTTTCCTTCTCAATCACCCTCATAATTTGCTCCATCATCGGCTCCAGATTCTTTCTGTACATATTTTCCCTCCAGGCGACGATGCCCATGCTTCTGACATCGTGAACCGCGCTGTCTGGGCCGCCATGTTCTTCCTTTTCGCGTTGGACCCAATGCTTGTTTAAATATTGAGCGACGCCGTTTAAAACGCGAATCGAGAACTTGTAGTCTTTCCAGTTCTTGTGGTAGTCAGTTAGAATGTCCACTCCGCTGACCTTTTTCGCCTCGTTGTAGACACACGTGACCTTGTCGTCGATGACGCTGCGCAGTTTCTTGTAGAGTTCACCGCCTTCGATCAAGATTGAAAAATTGAAAAGATATGCTGAAAAGTTCGGGTGCGAAACGTCGGAATTTCAAGTGCACATATTTTAGGTTACTGCGCTCTAAAATTTTCTCCTTTTGGATGATTTTTGAGTACCGCGGAAAAGTACGGCACTTTGAAATTCAAAAATTTACATCATCCAGAACATGATAAGTATTTGTAGAGGAATGCGCCAGAAACATGGCTCAAATGTAGAATAATCGAAAGCTGGAAGTAAAAGAGTTAGAAAGAAATTTTGGAGAAGCCGTTTCGCCGCTCCATTTACAAAAAAGCCGCTACGGCTTTTCATAAAAACTGTTTAATGACCCTCCATCAGATAATTAGATTGCTGACGCTACTTTATAGAAAAATAAAATTAGTGTTAAGTAAATTTTAAGAGAAGTTTTAAATCTCGATCCTATAAACATATCATTTGAAGAGCTAACTCCATTTTCTCCGTTAGGTCTTCTGTTAATCCTTGAGCCAATTCTGTTCGTCGCGCTCCTGCCGATTGGGTTCGTTGAACTTCTTGAAGAAGTGCAATAATTGAAGATCTTTGTGTAAGCATGCATGTACGCCTGCTTCTCGAAATCATGGGCGAAAATTCGCTCGATTGAGTGCTCCAAACCGGGCTCTTTGTCTGTTCCTCTCCATACCTCATCCAGTGAGATCGGCTGTCTTGACATCTGAAAGTAAAACGATGCTAGAAATCTTTCGCTTTTGTGATTTGATAAATGGAAAATCTTATGTACAGCTTGGGTCGGCAGTTCTGCTAGAATTCAAACTTATGTCACTATTTTGAACTTTTCATGGCTTGTTTTTGAAGAAAAACTCCCAGCTTTTGCCCCGCCAGGTACCAGGATTGGCACATTTCTGCCAAATCGTCTGGCCAATCTGTCCTAATTTCACGTTCTTCTTTCCATGTGGCTCTCTGACTGTGCGTCTTTTCTACTGTCTGAAAATAGGGTAAACAAACGGCTCTCAAGATGATAATTACTTTTCGTGTCTTTGCTGGTGATTTTTCGTTGAAGTTCTCATCAATTTCTTCCTCGTCTTCTTCTACATCAAAATCTTCCTCTTTTTCTTCCCTGGATTATTCAACCATTCTTTCATAAGCCGAAAAAGCTACATTCAGATATGTTTCGAATCCTGTCCTTGATCGTCCTCAATGACTCGGAGTTCTTCTTTAATTTGCGATAAATTGAGGATCTCTCCTTGACTCGGACTTTCTGTGGCTGCCCCAACGACTTCCCACTCGCCGTAGACCTTATCGCTAGCGAACACTTTCCGAACTTGCTGGTTGGGGTTAACAAAACGACCAGGCGTACTTTCAAACGCTTGAAATGCGTCTTCCAAATCATCTGAAAAATGGTTGATCAAGATTCTCATTTTATTGCTTACCAAGTGAGTCACAAACATTCTCGTCCAAAGATATCGCCTTCCTGAAGAGAATCGATATCAAGTCGTCTTGCCAATCATCTGGCGCTCCAAGATTATCATAATTTCGCGATTCCAAGTTCACGCCTGCCGCACCACGGAAAATCCGCTTTTCACCTTTCACGAATGGCGAATTTGCGCTCGACATAAATTCAGATTATCTCTGAAAAGATGAAATGATTGCGCAAGTTAGAATCTGAATCTTTAGCTGAAATTAATTATAACTTTTGAAATTGCGGAAATTTAAAATTTTGAAATTAGAATTTTTTTGAATAAAGCATTTGAAAAATTTGAAACGAAAAAGCTTGAAGAAAGAATACAGAAGGAATTGAAAGCGAAGCGAAAAGTCTGTCTTATTTTTAGTAGTACAACTTTTTGGGGAAAAGATACTATCAGGGAAATTTTCGATAAGACAGGGACATGTACAGCGGGTGTTATTCTCTCTGATAAGAAGTGACAGAGAAGAGTTAGAAGATTCTGAATGATTTGGAGGAACATTTGTTTCTGAGTGGATAGTGCAGTGATAGGGGAAAACCGAGGGAAGGAAGGAAGGGTGAATCAATGTTTTTTAAGAGCAGTGATAGGTTTTTTTTCAGGAGGGTTTGTGACGTGAGGGCTTTTGGCCGTGCTTTTTAGTCTTTTAGCGAGAGCGATCTTGGACACTTGCGTAGCTGTAGCGGAGAAGAACGTAAGGGAAGCAGGTCTCGAGTTTGTCCATTGTCAGGTGCTAGAAAAATTGGTAATTTTAGATCTTCAGGAATCATTCAGGTTAATAAAAAGAAGTCATTTTCTCACCTTTGACTTTTTAACAATATCTCCGATAAGCAAATAGACAGCATCGCGATTTCTGGAAAGAACACCAGTTTCGTTTCCGATTCTCAACAAACTTGAACTCGCTAGCGCAAGAAACTCGACCATTCTAGCGCCGATTTCTTCCTCCCTGTTGGCATCTTGGGCCTTGACGTTGACCATAAAGAGCGCCGTCGCAACTACATTGATCGCCTTGGCAATACAGTGAGTGTTATTTTTGTGACCCCCCAAATCGGGATTATATTCCGAGTCCTGGTCTTTCGCCAAAAATGGAATCGTCACTGCGGCGAATACGAGGAGTAGGCAGCAGTTTTCGTATTCTTCATATTTTTTGCTTTCAAAGGATTGAAAAAATCGAAGCTAATAAGCAATTCGAAAAGCTTGATGTAAAATTGTCAACCCTTTCCTTGGATCAGCCGGAACATTTTGAAAAAGATGTCTACAAAGAGTCACATCGAAATCGGCGATAAGACCGGCCGCTCTGCAAAGCTCGACAAGTCTGAACTGCTTGTCCAAATCTTCAAAACTACTGATGCTCGAGTGCATTTCCTTGATCGGCGCCAACAGATACGGAACTCGATTTTCCATCACATATTCTAGCGCCCGCTGCAGCGAGTGTTGGAATTCAATGATGACTCCGATCACTTGCAATCGACTCAAGAACGTTTCTTTTTCCGTCAATTGAGCAGTCGTTTCATTCATTTTTTCATGATTTTCGAATGAAGTTCTGAGCATGCGAAGATGGTTGCGATTTTGCTTGACGAGCTGGAGGAGCTCCTTGATTTGTTGGGAAATCTGGATTGATAAGCTGTCCAAGATAAAACGAATTCCAAATGGGCCAAGTAGCTCCGCGAGGGCGCGCAGTTCCTGAGATAATATTTGACGGGTATTCCCGGGATTTTAGGAAATGACAATAAAATGAAGAGGAGATTATTTTTAAAATGAGAGCTTTGACAAAAACGTTGACTGGTTTCAGGTCAAAGTGAGAAACTGATCCTCTAAAATTTATAATGACAAAATGATGCCATAGACTCTCCATATCGCATATGCGGTGTCGTTTAATTTTGAACAGAACTCCTAATAAATACTAAAAATAAAGCAATATATCTATTTTTAAAAAATGTAGATAAATAATACCTGAGGATTGGTGTAATCTTCCGGATTCATCATTCCCATCATGTGTCTTTCTTGTTGATTAAAATTTGCAAAACTGTCTTTATTCGGCGAAAAGATGACTTCCCGCTGGAAATCCGTGGCTTTTCGGAGGAGAACTTCCCGATACCAGGATGCGTAGTAAGCGGTCATCGTTTTTTCGCCAGAAGCACTTGTTGTTTGTGTCTGTTGCAGGAGCACTTTTCAGGCAGGTTCAAGAAGATTGAAAGATTGGGCTCACCAAAGTTTATTCAAGCTTTAGCGTCATGCGAATAAAAACCCATTCGATAAGAAAAGTGCTTAGTAAATAGGCGATTGAACCGATCCTTCAGAGATTATGTGCCTAACGTCGGCGTCGATAAGGGTCCCTACTGATTGCATAACATCAACGAAGCCATAAAGTTTATTCAGCATCATCGACGGCTTCTCGATCGTTGATTTCTAGAGAAGTTTCATTACAGAGCTGAAAACAATCGCTAGTTGTAGGTGTATTTTGCTGCTTGTCTATGTTTTATGCAAAGTGGTGGAATACCTCGGGTTCGGCGTTGACCAGTTTTACAATAATTGCAGGAAAGGCACGCTCAAGACGCTCGTAAAAAAATTCCTTTTTCATGAGTTACGAAAATGATTCTAGCGGAAAAATCAAAAGCCAAATCATTCTCTAACTCATTCCTTTGGCGTGAAAATATGATTCCAGATCGTAATCGTTTGGAAATGAGTAAAAGCAAGCGCCATTTCCTAAAAAACCAAGTAAGAACCATAGCTGCGTCTTTTAGACATCATCTGATAAGATAAGAAAACCGAAAACTCATGTTCAAAAATACTAATTACGGAACTTTTATTCGTGCAAGGTCATTCAAAAACTCAGTTTAAAATTTTTAGAGCGTCACTTGTATTACTCACTTGTATGGCTCCGTCAATTTTATCCACCTCCGTAACGACCGTTCTATCCCTTCTATGCGATTCTGCTCCAGGCTCATTTCTATCCGGACTAGTAAGTCGTTGCTCTTTTCTCCGATTTTTCTTCTTCTTTGGAGTTTCATGGTCAGTCTTTCTAGCCGCCATGAACGGCAGGAGCTTATCGGACTGCGATGCATGCTGATTATACAACAGCACCATCAATCTCTTTGCCTCGTTGGCCATCTCGGATAAGAACTTCTTCGCAGGCTCGATCGAGAATTTTTTAAGGATTTGGAATTCTTCTGGGCACAGCTCATGCCGCTCGTGGGAGAAGTGAGAACAGATTGAAACCAAAGACACGCAAAATCGGCTGCGAGACTTTCTAGAGCTTTAAAAAGATTTCATCCAAAAAATACAATTTTCCCGATTTCTGATTGGATGGCGATCAAGCAAGTTTTGATTGTTGCGCGCTATTTTAAATTTAATTTTTAAATAAAAACAATGTTTTTTGATTGGCCGTACGAAAATTAGCTTGATTTTGATTGGATGATTGTTCATTTCGAGCTATTTCCTTGACAGCGTCCATAAAACTCTTCTGAAAAATATCCTGGTACCAACAAAACAACGACAAATTAGAAGTATACTCGAGCAACCCATGCAGATTGTCAATGAGTTCGGAGTGGAAGTAATTGTTATTCATAAATTTTGCGAATTTGTCCATTTCCATGAGATTCATGTTCGGCCTTGCCACTGACGTATAGCTTTGCAATCGGAACCAGTCTAACCGGAAGCCACGTAAATCTGGCATCTCTAAAACAGATTTAAATATTCAACTCAGAATACGACGGCTGCTTTTTTCCTAATAAAGTTTCTACTTACTGTTATCATCAATCGGTACTGGACTGAGCTGCGACATAATTTGAACAAAGGAGGAACAAATTTCCGCCTCTTCTTCTGGAGTCACGGAATAGTTCTAAATTAAAACTCTGGTTTCGCTTTGTTTTTCATTTTCCAGCGCCCGCCCGGGCAGTTGTTTCGATTTGAATTTACCTTCAAGTGTTCGTTGAGCGCAGGCGCGTTGAACTGATGCATGAGAGAGCAGTAATACTTTTGGATGATCTTCTGATGCGTCAGGATCAAATTGCGCAGGTCCTCGATGTAAAACAGTATCTCTACGAGCTGCTTGTCCTTGAATTCCTCCTCTTGCGTCTTTTTGTTTTGGTTATCACGTGGAAAATGCCGAATCGACTTTCCAGGGTTTAACCAAGTGTCGTATACAAGAGCAACGAAAAATACGAATGGAAGGCGAAATTACACATTTTTGATGACGTAAGAAACAGAGTTCATGAGAATTTTACCGAGTTTATCAAAAATAACAGGCGCTTTTGGCCAATAAGAGGGCCACTTTTTTGTGAAATACCCATTCTACATGGCCCCTACTATAAAAAAAAGTCTTTTAGTTTTACACAGCAGTTAATCCCTTTCCCATAAGACTTCATCCCTCGCCGTCGCCAACATTTGAAAGACATTCAACGCTCTTGGGCCCAACAAGCCAGGTTGATCCCTGAAAATGAGGCACGCCTCTTTTAGAACATTTCTAAGATATCTTCTGCGCTCGCGATGCGTGCCGGCGCAATTCTTGATCGCAGTTGACTCCATTTCCTTGATCAGCTTTTTCGCTTCTTTTGCTCGTTCTAGGGTGGATTCTGACATTTTGATCACGTCGATGACATCGTTTCGGAAGAGGGTTAGGGTAAAGTTCATCGACATGACGCGTTTCCACATCGCGGTGATTTCTTTTGAGCTGTTGAATTGAGAGTAGCAGAGAAGATAGGAGAAAAATATCCACTAAATTATTTTGTCAATTTGTCAATGTCTTGATTCACTCACCGTTTCTAGTGATTCCAGTGGAATGAGCTCACAAGTCGTCATATCAAAATGCGAATAACTCGGCGTCAAAAACGACTTCGCTGGTGCCGCGATCATCGACAAAAACTCCGTCTTATTCCACTTATCCACAAATGCCGATCTCTCATTGTACACATTGACGCAACTCTCGATCGCTTGCTTGAGCACGCGCTGGTGATCTCTGGTAAACTCATCGGAAAGCTTCTTGATAGGATCATAGTAGTCTTGGATGAATTCTGCTAACTCGACATAGTTTGCTTCGCAGCAGTTGTTTTGATGTTCGTACGCGTGGCTTGAGCAAAATATTATTCCACGGAGAGAAAAGAATTGAGCTACCTGTAAACTCCCATGATCATTTTTCGATCGTCCACTCTTGAAAGCATAATGCAGATCTTCACATAATTCTCCACCAATGTCAGGTAGCCAATCGTCAGATGTGAGTTTATCGAAATATTGAGCTGCATAAAAAGCTCGTCTATTATCCTCAGACATTCGTAAACATGGTCTCGGAACACTTTTATGTCCAGAAAAGTTGTGTAGTAGGGCTCCAGTTGTTTCACGATTTCATCAGCACCTGTAAAAATGAAAATTATCAGCAGTTACTGTAGATATGGGTCAAAGAGAAACACGTGAAAGTTTTGCGACATAACTGATTATGCTCAGCTTTGAAACTTTGAAGCTTTTCGAAAGCTTACGGGTTTAGATTGAATTTCAGCTCGTGTATAAATCTGGCGAACTTGGTTGTTCGTCTACTTTTAGCCGCGAAAAGAAAGTACTAAAGTAGCGTTCTACATTTCGTTACACAAATCGAAACCGATAGCCAAAAGCAATTGAAGTAAAGTTATCTAAGTTGAAATCAAGGAAGACTCACCTTGCTGGACTTGTGGAAAACTCATCTGACTTGGCCCTACATTAGGGAATTTCTTGCTGATTTGTTGGAGATACGGCTGAACATCTTTTCTTTTGAAAAACTCAGGCTTGTTTTTTGGCTCGTTGACTTGTTTCTTGAGGTTGAATAGTCTTGTAAGCATGCCTGGAGCGCGTTTGTTGAGAATTGTCAAGCGCTCGGCGATTTTGTGGTGCGACGGGGGTGCTCCACCGACATACCGACTTCGGGTCCCCCTTTCCAGGGACATCTGAGAAGAAAATGTCATAAGAAATGAGCAACTTTGAATTTATCGATAAAGGGAATAAGAAATAGAAATATCAAGGAAAAGTAAAAGAGTAAGTTGGTAAATGTGATAGTGAAAGACGCTGTTACAAAGAAGTCATACTGTTCTTTAAAGTTTTAATAACATAATAAGTTGATGGAATCGTCATTAGTAAGCAGCAATTATGAAACAGTGGCAACAGCATCATGATCAAAAAATAAATGAATAAAACAAAAAGTAAAAAGTAGAAAAAATTAACTACCAGCCAGATTTCTTCTGGGGCGAGCTATGAGGAGTACTCCACGGAGATCCTTTATAATTACTTGTTCCGTAAGACTCAAGAATGCGAATGAGGTTTTTGTTTGGATTTGGCGCTGTTTTTGCGATAGAAAGAGGAGTCTGACCGAAGTTGTTCATTATATGAACGTCGGCCCCCGCCTCCATGAAAGCTTCAACGATTCGAAGAGACTCTTTGAAAAGTTGGAACCAGCTAAGTGCGAGGCAATCAACGAAACATGCGATGAAGTAGTGGAGGACTGTGCATTTGTCGAGATCTTGAATGTTCACATCAATCCCTTCGACATCGATCATCATTTTACAGAGTTCAAGAATGCTCGCGGTTAGTTTTGAGTTAACAATAGCTATATTATTATCTACATTGCGAAGGGCATGAGCAGGAGTTGTGACAAAAAGGCGCATAATTGGAGTACAGCCGAAACAATCTGAAAGTATTTCTTCTGAAAATGAGAAAAGCTTTCTCTACTTACCTTTTGCATTGATTGTTACTTTGCCGAATTGTAAAATGGAGGGAGACAGCATATGTCTGACAGTATCATCTAATCGTAGCTCCGCAGCAAGGTGAAGAGGTGTTGCATAATTTTTCCAGTTTCTTGTATCCATCACAGAAGGCTTTTCAATAAGAATGCTCGTTACTGCCTCATGATTTTTCTTAAATATCTGCTCATGAATGCCTTTGGTAAGTGACATCGCTGGAATCGGACGCTCTTTGAAGGGGAGATTGCCATTTATTTGCAAGTTTCTTAGTTGTGCATTCAGATCGTCTCGAAGGAGGTATGCTTTCTGACCAGGTGTTTTCCAAAGCTTCTCATACAAATTTTCACCCCCGGAGACTTTTTTCTTCCATTCAATTCTTGTATCTTCGGCAATTAACTGCATGAATTCGAGATCTTCTTGGGTCCCGAATTCAAGCTCTTCAAGAAAGTACTCGACGATGTGACGTTTCTCGCAATCCAAAAAGTTGACATCAAATCCGTGGTCAATTAATGTCGCTAAAGGAAGAGTTTCTTTCCGATTTATATTAAACGAGCATACTTAAATATTCGTAACGCAAGGCCATTGGAGACTGAAGTACTTGAAAACCAAGCGGAGTTCCGTTATACGACATGTGTAGGTAAGAACTAAGACCTGGAAGCACCTGTTCGATTTCTTCAGAGTTTTTCATTGCTTCAACAAGCTGTGCAGCCTGGTTTTGCACATCCTTCGAATTCCAGTCGGAGTCAGCCTTGACCCAGCTGCTGTCAGTTTTTTCTAAAAATTGAAATCAACGAAGACTAACATTTTAGTTCTATTGTTTATGAAAACTATCGAATATAAATAAACAAAACATTCGCATGGTTAATATATTGGCAATGATGAGCCGGGAGTGAAGAGGTTGAACGGATCAAGTTTCGGAAATTTTGAAGTTTTTGCCTGAAGAGCCGTTCAGTGCTCGAAATGTAAGTCCGGACGGCGCAAATAGAACGTGACCTACCCGCGGCAACTGAGCAAGTGTCCCTCCACTAGAGATTAGACTACCGGCTAATCAGATTTGGCATAAAGTCTCAGCAGTTCCATCCGGCCGCAAAATCCCCAGTATTTCCCCCAGAGATTAAATACACCAAGATAATCAAAAGAGAGGTATTGAAGGTGGATGGAATATTCTATTCGGAGAACTCTTGAAGAAACATCATCGAATGCCTGGCCACTTTAGCTCTTGGGCGGACGATAACACAGAAGATCAGGACATCGATCTTGAAAGCCTCAAAATAGCGGGTGCACCTGATAATGGATTTGTCCTCAGGTAAGCATAATCAGACGCATGAAAACCGGTAATTTCTCTCATCAGTGCACCACTTGAGCCGGTAAAGGCATCTTCAGGGGTCTCACAAAAAGAAAACATCAAAATTGTAAATCAATCTACCGTTGTTGGGTAAGTCGAGGTTATAAAAATGAGCAGAAATCTTTGAATCAACTTGATAATCGGCGTGAATAAAATATTTATAGTTCGAGTTCAACTTCAAATGCAACGCGAAATCGGGATCATAATTTGAACCAGAAGACAATATCTGACGATGTCAACTCAAGGTAAAAATAATCATGACCTCAACCTACTAAATAGCCGTTGCCACGTAGCGCAGCAACACCTACACATACAACCCCGAAACTACCGAGGAGGAGCGCGCGTAAATTGAAGAGAGACGCGAAACCCCCATCGCCACCTAAGGGGGGTGAGCCCCGTCCAGCTCAATCACCGAAACTAGAAGCAGCTCCAGTAACGCCGATTGTTGAAAATGGTGACCATAAACCAATGAGTCAGCCGATACAGATAGCAAAAGTGCATAGCTACGTGAAGAACGGCACAACATTCTTTACGGCAATGCATGTCAACAATCCCAGTTCACCACAGCTCACTCCTTCTTCACCACCAATGCTGAGCCCGATCACACCAATACCACCACAGCTTCCTGTTGTTCCATTGGCACCAAACCAGACGATGACCATGAGTCCCATGATCCCTAATGGGATCGGACCACATTTGGGTCAACAACTAGACAATTGGTCAACCACACCGACGTCTACGTCGACATCTATCACAAACCAAACAAAACCATCTTTCAAAAAGTTCAAATGTCATTCCGTTCCAAATTTTAGGTGGGATTCCGGATACTCTTAAATTCTTCATTGTTCCTTCAGAAATTTCAGCCCAAGAAAATCGCCAAAGAAACCCGTTGTTCGCAATGATTTCGGGAAAACACCGTTGCAAGAGTTGAATGAATATACTCAACAGAGACTTTTGGCGGCGCCAACATTCGAAGAATTGCCAGCTGGTCCTCCTTTTCGCGTAATCTGCCATGTAAGGGAGCTCAGTCTCATCACAGAGGTAAGTCTCATACAGTGGTGTATATGAGTGACCCCTAAAAGGAAAAGAAAGCCGATCCACTACTGATAAGGGAAGCGCCACCAGGTGGCAGGCATCTTTGGAGTTCGCTTCAACGGTCTCCATTGTGATTTCATGTATATAAATAAAGAGGCCGGAATGTTTTAGCGGTTTAGAACGTGTCCGAGGCCTCTTCCGACGAGCATTGACACTTTGTTGTCATGAGCTCTTTTCGTGTACTCAGTCTTGCAGACTGATTAAACTGGAGTTAAAAAAATGATCATAAATCACGTGGGGGATACGGAATATATCCGGTATAATTTGTGGGCGGAAGGATTAATCTTAGGCTTTGTGAAAATATTTATAAATTTTATTTACAAACGCCGTCATCAATTGGTGATGCGGCGAACTTCGAAAAATCAAATTAGCCATATTCTGTCCTTATCATTCATATCTAGGGCACAGCGCTATCAAAGAAAGAGGCACGCCAGAATGCATCCGTTTCGATGCTTCAGCTGCTCAACAGTGACCCAGAAGTCAATCCTGAATCTGGCATCGCCTGTGATCTGCGAAAGGTCAACCTTGATGAGGTCAGAAATCCGATTGGATTTCTTCAGGAATATCTTCAGAAGAGAGGTGACTCCCTGCCCATATATTCGTCGAAAGAGGAGAGACGCCCGCCTTTTATCTGCAAAGTCAGAATTGATTCCTTAGGTAAGAAAATGTCTGGGAAATGAAATCTCAAGTTCATTAGCGAAACATGCCTCTGCGATGGGAATGAAAAAGTCTGAGGCGAAAACGAATGCCGCTATACGAATGATTCATTTGCTAAGAGGCGAGAAATTTATTCAAAGTGTCCAACCTCGTCATATTTTAACAGGAATGGTTTCCTTGTTTTTATATCAATTTTGATCACCAGCGTTTACTTCGTGGACATAGTCTATGTCACATAGATATATTAAAAAATGACTCTTATTATATGAGTTTCAAGGAGAATCGTATTTTCTGTCTTTGGAAAACCAAAAAAGCAAGCCTAAGCCCTCCGAGCGAGTCAGCCTCTGGAAGCACCAAGTCTCGCCATCAAGTGACACTGCTACAGGAATTCTGCCAGAAGCGCAAACTCTGGGCTCCACAGTACTCTTACTTTCAGACCGGCCTCACCCACGGCAAAGGAAAGAACAAGCAATTGGAAGTAACCTGCGTATGCAGCATCTCTGCCCTGAATTTGGAAACGAGAGAGACGCGCAAGAGCCAGAAAGAAGCCCGTCGCGCCGCTGCTGACCACATGCTGAACATATTATACAGAAATTATCCCCACGACGCATTTAGCTACTAAATATAGCTAAAAACATCTTGACAAGTGCATCTTAGTTTGATTTTATTATCAAGACAATACTTTACCCAGTCACCGAACTACTCAATTTCTACTTTCATCATACATTCGAGGAACACCGTCTACCCTTTTTCTATCAAAAAATGTCCCCTTTAGACGTTTCTGCAGTCATTAGTTACGATAAGATTATGGTCTTCTGAGCTTCACTTTCTTCTGAAAACAGGGAAGAGAATGGCCTTTTTGCGAAGATAACCCTAGTCTTATCGCTATTGATGTCTGTAGCACTAGAATTCCACCCGCGCAGGGCACAATTGCGCGCGTGTTCTTGTACAGGACATTAGATAGCGCCACAGCGCTATCCGAAAAGTCATGAAAACGCGCGTAGTGTGTCGCTGGCCTGAATTTTCGCGCAGAAGAAAACCAAACACAGTCACAATTATGAAAATTTTCACTCACGATTTCTTGAGAATCAAAATGAAGCTTACATGAACTGCGAGAGTTTTTACATAAAAATTTCAAGAATATAAAAATCCCCCAAACTAAAAATGTAATATCGCCGGTGCACTTATTTTTTAACCATCCACCTTTTCATTCTTTCCTTTCAAAAATGTTTTGCGAAAATGAAAATAAAAACTCAATACTCAAATACAAGCTAGAATTCATCAAAGCTAGAATTCTTTCAATATTAACCTGTATTAGCCGAGATCGAACGACTCTGTCGTTTTTCAAATTCTTCAATATCGACCTCCTCAAAACTTGTGTCTTCATTCTTAACTATTTCTTCTTCGTAAGGGTCGAAAGTATTGCCTTCATATTTATAACTGTAATTCGTAGATGGCACGGGCGTTTCACCAGCGTCTCGATAAGGGTCATTTTCTTCAAGTTTCAAGTTTTGCATTTTTTCTTCAATCTCGACTTTCGCCGAAGGGATCGGGATTTCTTCAAAATCAGTATCAGGGGGAGGATCTGAAAATCGATGGCTTTGTTCTTCAAGTTTTCTATCGAGCAGGGTGTGGAAGAAGTCAATGCCATTTCTCGTTGCATGATCAGTAGCGGTTAACTTATACTTGTCTTTGTGGTCGACATCAGTCCCGGCGTCCAGGAGGGTTTTGATGCATTTCATTTGCTTTCTGTGAAAAGGCTTTGACCAAACTTGCCCTGAGATAGGAACTTCTAGTTAGGAAACCTGGATCGATAGCCATTCCTTTGGGCATCCTTATTCAAAGGCTTGAACCTCAAGGCCTTCATCAACGGCGTCTGCCCCACTTGATCCAATGCATCCACTTTCGCTCCCAATTGAATAAGGTAGCGAAGAGTCTTGTAGTTCCTACTTATTGCCGCAAAGTGCGTAGAAATGAACCCCGAGTTTGGATGCTTCTCGTTGACAATCATTCTCAGTTGTGTTTCGTCGAGAATAAGCTCTTCACCGCCCCTGGGTCGAAGAATATGAAGCTGAGAAGGAGGTCGATCGAAGCAATTCATCTGCCACGCTAGAAATCGAGGCGGAACGGAGACAAAACTCATCTATTGAATTTTTATTGATGAAAATGGGGAATAGAGTTTTGGAACTGAGAATATATCCACACAACAGTGAATAAATATATATTTTAAGGGTAGTATAAGATTGAGAAAGGAGAAAAATGAATGAAGAATTTATCAGACGGTGTTTGTTGCAGGTTGGAAAGTTAGATTGAATCTTTATTTATTCCTTGGAAATCAAGGAAAAGAAACTAATGAACATGAGGTTTTAAAAATAAGATTAAATCTATGTTCTTTATCTTTTGACATGAAGAATTTCCTCGGAGCATGGATTTCGCTCGATGGGCAAGTTGTTTAAAATCAATATAATAGGCTATTGGGACAGGTACTACTGTTTAATGTCATCATCTGATGCCACTATTGCTGACAACAATGATATGCTGGGCTAGAGTTAGCGGAACTTCAGAATCATCAAGTGTTACAGTAAATTTGGAGAGATCATAAGTCCCGGGCGTAGTAAAGACGACTTCGTTCTTGACATCGGCAGTTTTTTGCGACTTGAGGGTTAGTCTCTTCTCAGAATAGCCGACCCACGCGTAGGAGACGTTGTTGTTCACACCTGAAGGGAGTTAAAAAATAAATAAGGATCAAACCACCTGTAGCGGAATCGATCGCCTGCGAAAACGACATTTTGACATCAATGTTTTTGTCCTTGTAGCTGTTCTCGAGGATGATTTTGCAGCGGACTTTCGCGGGGCCAGTGGAAAAGTCATGTTCTACTCTACTAGGGGCATCTAGGTAAGCTCGTACTGGAGCAGCCACGGGCGAGGCGAGTTCTTCTTGATTGGCAAAAGCGAAAATATCATCGAGATGGATGATGCTCTGGCCGATGCATTGGCGGCTTCCTTGAGTCACAATCAGTTCTGCAGACCACTAGAGATTGGGTTGGAGATCTAAGTATTTAATTTGAGAGCTTATTACCTGCAAGACTATCGAAATCCTCTCACTGGCGAAGGTATCAAGCCAGTGATGTTTGATCACATCATCTTCCGGAGTCGGTTCAGGGACTGTGTAGCTGACACTTTCAGATAAAAACTGTCTTGCAAGATCACACGTTCCTGTTTCACTAAAATGAACCTTCTTCGTCATTTGTCGTCGATAAGCTCGTCGACCATCGACTGCTTCTGTGACTGAAGTTACGATAGGCACTGATTGTTGGTCGACGAAACAGAGGAACGAGGATCGCTGGCCTTGCATCCAGCTTATTCCGGTACAAGGCTGTTTTGTGTCAGAGAGAGTCCATTGATTGCTAAATAATTTCAACGCTCGTGTTTGTGATTTTGAATTTTTATTATAAGATTTGCAGAAATTGCAATTTTTAAAAGCAGAAATCGTTGGAAAATGATGTGAACATGCGTTGAAGTTTTCTGTTTCTATTTTCATGACTTGCTCCAATCTTGAAAATGATGCATCTTGCTCTCGGAGTCAATCGACCGAGCGTAAAAGATGCATGAAAAGAAGCTTCAATATGAACGAGCAAAGATGCTAACATAAAAATATTGATCATCATTTTTATTATTTATTTTTTTATCAGGGGGATTTCGTTTTTATACACCGCGCACTCAATGGAAAATGATAATTTCAAGGGCTATTGTCCAGTAGCCCCGCCTTCCTCAAAAGATGTTATTCCATACACATCTGCTTCAAACGCACAAATCTTGAAGATTCCATAGTCATGTGCGTCAAAATATGATTTCCATGGGAGGTATTCTCACGTGGATTTATTTGTTCTGGATATAAATGTACGAGGATGAAACGGAAAGATGTTCATCCGACATGTCAGCCTATCACAACAACTTTCTTACCTAATTATTCCAAGTCCAGAAGTAGTAAACCTACAAGTCGCTGTAAAATTCTCCGCGGCAGTGTCCAAATGAATCTGCAGGACCCTCTTTCTAGCTCCAATTGGCGCTGGAAGGACATGAACAGTAGGCGAAATCATTCCAATAACTTCAATTTTCCTAGACATTGTGACAGAAAGCGATTCCTTCGTTGCGCTTTCTTTTGAGCCATTTGAGTAAAGAACGATGTCGAGCGAATTGAGTTGCTGCGAGGCGGGAGCTTTGAGGAAGAAAGAAAGGGTTTTTGAGGAATTCGCGGGAATGTCACCGAGTGAGACAAGGGATGGATAACTGGAAAGTTCGATGGTCGAAGGATCAGTGGAGTTTGCTCCTTCGGAGATTTTTAAAAGGCGATCTTGATTGTGATTCAGCCAACAGTTCTCAGCATTCTTTATGCCCCTGTTTTCGATAGAAATCTTCGTCTCATAGATTTCTCCACTTATTAACCTTTCCGGCAAGTTCTCCACGCTCATGCTCAATAGTGGCATTTCTTTCTCAACTTTGAAGGTAAGCCGATGGTCTTCAGCGTAAAACGTGCCTTTGCGATGCTTCTGGAGCTTGTTTAGTCGTTCTCCTTGAATGTGAAATTCTTGAGAAGACTCGACGACGGCCGTTCCTTCTGCATCCGCCGTTGTGATTTTGTAAGAGATGGACTTGATCTTGATCGTTTCTGCGTTTTCGCCGGGAATGATGGTGAAAGGGACGGTGAATGTCTGCTTTGGATCGATGATGACTTCTTTTTCGGTGCATTCTGAGGTAAAATCACCCTCTCCGATTAGCTGGACGTCGGTAAGAAGCAGCGAATTATTCAGCGTGTTCTCGATCGGCACTGAAATCAGGACTCTATCGGTGCTAGAAATTCCCAGCGGCCTTTCATTAAAAGTACTTCGGTTTCTTCTTTCGGTGGGAATCGATGTTTTAAAAGTGATAGGAGCGATTCCATCATTAGCCGCTTTTAAACACATTTCTTCGAGTTCTCGCATTCGAAGCACCTCAGATCTTAAGCTTTCTCCCTCTTCCGTCGCATCATTTGAGAAGCGCTCGAGAACGACTCCGATCTTGCTTCCGTCTATCTTCGGGAAGGGCAAATTGACCTTCGTCCCTTTGTATTGCTGGTTGTATTGCACCATCGCCAAGTAATTCGTAAAAACCGCCGCGTTCTGTCCACAACCAAGTGACAAGGCAGAAGCGTATGACCTCTCCGCTTCAACACTTTGCCCGAGAAATTGAGATAGCTCGCCAGCGAGTTCGTGGACATGAAGTTCAGCAGCGTCCCATCCTCGGCCTTCGTAAACGTCGACAGCATTTTTGTAGTTTCTTAGAGCGAGAGTTCGGATTCCGGAGAGTTTGTACTGGAAACCGGCAAGGACGGATTGAAATCCGAATTGTCTGATCAAGGGTAAAAATATGACCTACTGAGCTGAATTAGATTATCGATAAGGATATCCTTTTAGGGCGTGAAATTGAAGGAGTATAAATAAGAGTCCCCTTTTGTAATCATGTCAGTAAATATACGAAAAGATCTCTAGTGAAATGTTATAACTTCCTAACCTACATTCTATCAAAGTATTACCCCTTGGTGGGGCTCTACACGAATAAACTTTTTTAACAAATACTTTTATCCCGATCCTTATATGTCCGGCCTTCAAATAACACAACGCAGCTTGCTCCGTAAACATGGCAATTTGATTCGCAGAGAATCCCTTCGAAAAACGCAGGTAGTCCTTCGCAGTATCAACCCAAGCACCAACTCCTTTTCCAGCTTCAAGAGTAGTAAAGGCACTCCGCAGGGCGAGGTCTTTCTTCTCCAAGTTAAGGAACGAATTGATTGCGAAGGCAGCGGCTTGTTTTGGAAAAGCAGCGCGTAGATTTCCACCAGACATGAATTGTGCTTTCCAGGATTTGAAATCGTTTCGAAGTTTATAAAAACTGATATGTCTACCGCGATTTCATTTTACAATATACAACTATTTACAATACGCATCTTTTATTTGATTATATTTTTCAAAAGCCCTTCCTATTGCGACAAATTCAGAAGCGGAAGTGGCCTCAACCCAGTTTTGCTCGTTGGACAAGTCCCTCTTCGCCGTCGAAAAATACTGCGCGGCTGTTTCGTAAAGCTGAAGCATGAAGCATAAATCGCCAAATCTTCTGATTTGAACTTCGACTGTTTCCGTGAACTTTTCTTGAACTGATGATTTGCTACTGCTCCCCCCGAAAAGCTTCTTCGTCGCGGAAAAGAGAGAGCGATGAAGAGCGCGGCGATTTTGGATGATTTCGTAGAGCTTTTTTGACTCGTGTTCCAAATGAGGGATGATCGCACCTAAGTTAGAGTCAGCGAAATGGAGAAAATTGGTGATTGATACCTGTAGAAAGATCTTTGACAAAAGTCCTAATCGAATCCTGATCTTTTCCATCGCAAAGCCTCAACTTCTGATTCTCCGAAAACTGCCCCCACGGATCAGTAGACGCCTCTCCATTATTTCCACCAGAGTTCACTCTCAACAAGTAAGCATTTGAAGCTCCAAATGTCTGCTTTAAATTCGCGAAAACTTCTTGCGCCTTTGCTTCTGATCCTTTTTGAACATCGTGGAGAAGAAGAAAACAGATTTTCGTCGATTCAGAGAACCAGAAATTTTGAGCCGGGTCTTTGTGGTTGTATTCGATCGCTTTTTGGGATTCTAGTTGACGCTGGCGGTGGATTTCTGCGAGGGAACGGAATTCGCCCATTGGGTCGGCGTTTTCAGATGATACGACCAGAATAGAACCTGAATACCGGTAGTCGTTAATAGAAAAGCGTTGATCACTTAATTTTAGGGCTTCTAATACGCCTCATTTTAGCCAAGAGAAAAAGGCCTATCTTTCTAACACTTACTTATCACGTGACGGATTCTTTCATGAGGATAAATGAGCGAATGAGCAAGATAGGTGTCTCTATATTTCTGATACCAGGGAGTTGCCACATTTATGTTCAAGTTGTAGGACTCGTTCTCGAATCTGTGTTGCTCTCTTCTGATTTCTTTCGCGCTGTTTTGAAGAATATCGTCCAACTTTGCTTTTAGCTTTTCTACAAAGAAAATGAATTATGCATAGGTTGTTAATAATGTTACCTTCGGGAATAGGCTCATTTTTGATATTTCGAAAGTTGAGGGTAAAGTTCGAGAGACCATGAAGCTGACCATTTGGATCACGAGATGTCAGTTCTGTATTTACACAAGCAAAAGGCTAGAATTTATTAGTAATACTAATTTAGTATGATTATTGTCTCCTTCTGTTATCGTAGGAGCGGATACGATACCTGAAAGAACTCGGTAATTGAAAGGCCATTTCGACCGACGACTTCCTCGCTATCGTTTGAACAGAGCAGTCCGACTGACGGGCCGAACAGCTGGCGAAAGTACCTTTCGCCCTCACTGCCCATTCTCAAATTGAAGAAAGATTAAAAAAATATCCTTGCTTACTGATTTTTCCGTTAAAAAATAAAGAGTTGAAATAATCTAGTTAGTACAGGTCGAAATATTAAGTTTTTCAATAGGTCAATCGTCAAAAGAGAAATAATTACTTTCCAGGGGTTCTTTCAATAATTAAATCTAGCATGGGTTTAATACCAATCGTTTCAATAAACTTCTCAAAGGCTGGCTGAGGCAAAAGGTTGAAAAAGAAATCAAATATTTGAACATTATCGTTGATGATCATCGAACAAACTGGCTCGACAAACAGGACGTACATAGCGTTGATATAAACCGTCTGCCAAATTCCAGGGGGAATAAACTTAACAGGAGATTAATTCATTTACTTGGGCATTTGAGTCACCTTAAAATTGCTGTAGCAGATTGGCAAGAAAAGGAGAAGATCCAATTTTATAAGCTCGATCATATTTTCTACCCCGCGCTCGTAGTCGATTATCTTTTTCTCGTGTATAAGGACGTAGAATGCCAGGAAAGTAAAATGAAGAAATGGAGCTGTGGAAAGATCGAATCCTGTTTTCATCAACTGAAAAGCTCTTCTGACCGAGTGGTCCTGGAAATAAGCCTTACCGGAGTCAAATTCGGTCGTTTATTCAACACTCCATACCACCACTTGTACCAGGGCCCTAGAAACGTCCCTGCCAAAGTCATATCAACCAGCCTCTTCAAATCCCGTTCATTTTGATAAATCTGCGCCAAGGCATCTCCTACTCCAACCAGGCCCGCACAAATTACCGTCTGCCTCGCCAAATCTGACTTTATCAATCGCCTGGCTGGAGTCGCCAACAAAGATCTGCTTTGAGAGTGAAGAATTATTCGATTCATTCTGCGAAAGATGCGATCAGAAATCAACAAATAGCTGCGCGTTTTTTGGGGATAATTTATTTTTAACGGGCAGGAGTAAAAAGTCCTAGAAGAGAGGATTTATGAGAGGGACAGTAATACTTATGTAGGGAAATCGGCAGCGTGTGTCTTTAAAATTTCATCTCAGATTTTAAGGGACATGTGAGGAAATGAAAAAGGGAGGAGAAAAAAACTTTTTTTTTGGTGTCCTGGGACGCGATTTATGCATCGACCATCGAACAATTTTTTTCTTTTTTTGTTTGCGTTAAAACAGTTTTTAAAAAGGGGCTGGAAGAGAAATTCTTCAAGTAGGGAGGATCTTCTCAAGCTGGGGAAGAAAGGCTCTATCGCGAGCCAGAGCGAGATCGAGAGCGTCGGGCAGAGCGGGATCGAGAACGAGATCGATCTCTTCGGGCGGATCGCGATCGGGATCGTCGGTCTCGATCTCGGGAGGCGGATCGCGATCGGCTGCGGGTATCCCTTCGGTTAGAGCGGCTTCGGGAGCGGCTAGAGAAGAGTTAGATTTGTTTCCATCTGATGGAAGGTTAAATAAGTGGGCCTTTTTTAAACATACGTTTGCTTTTTTGAGCGCTCAGTGTCGGCGCCACCTGATTTACTAAAGAAGAAAAGATTGTAAAATATGACGGTCGCTAATTTTCTAAAGAGAAAGCACTTACGATCGAGAGCGGCTTCGAGACGGGCTTCGTCTTCGTCGGCGATCACGCGAGTCGGATCGGCTTCGTCGTCGTCGACCTCGAGAGCGGCTTCGAGATCGGTCTCGTCGGCTCCCGCGCCATTTGTCGAAGCTAGGTCGTTCGTGACGAGCGTAGTCTACGCGGATCTCCCTGAATTCAATGCTCAAACACTTGAGAAAGAAAGTTTGAATACTGTACCTTCCGTCAATATCTCGACCATCGAGTTGATCGATAGCGTCTCCGGCATCGCGCTTGTCGTGAAATCGAACGAAAGCGAATCCTCGGGACTCTGAAAATTTGAAATTAGTGAAGATTGAAAGTAGTCATTGACAACAATGAAGATCCCGGCATTTCTCAGGCAGGAAATAACTGGACAGTTCAGCAAAGAAGACTGAATTAGCCCGAATACAATATTTGTAACAGTTTTTACCTCCATATTTGTCCTTTGGAATGTAGACATCGCCGATTTCTCCATATTTGGAGAACTTGCGTCGGAGACTCTCACTATCGGTTCGATAGGAAAGGTTGTCGATCTTGAGGGAGGTCATCCCAGAGATGTTTGGCGGCGGTCGTCCGGACATAGTTCGCGACTTCTAGTTAACTCTAGAATTAAGCACCAAGTCAGTTAAAGTCTCATCGAAATCGGTAAGGAATCGGTAAAATCATCACCGCCCCCAGTAATTCGGCAAATCAGGATTTTGCGGGAAAACGGGAAATTGCGGCAAAAATGAACGAATCTGGAAACCGGAAAACTGCGAGACCGGGAAAAAGCGGGAAACGCTGCGCTCGGCACCGGAAATCGCCATGGCTGGCCCTAGACATGGACGTTTATGCCTGTAATGGAGCAAAACCGACGGCAGAGGGGTATACAGTGGCGAATTTCATATGAAGTTTGGTTATTTTTGACTCGAAAATCAAAATTCAAAAAAAATGTTTCGAGCCCAAATCAGGTGGTCCCTATTTTCTATTTCTCAGAAACAAAAGCATTTTCGGATTCTATGAAAATAGTAGGTTCTCTAACTCGTATACTAACCGATCGGGAAATATTTCTCAGCTCTAAAAACTACGCTCGTGCAGTGGATAATCTCAAAATCGAAATCTCTAAACTCGAAAGGAAAAACTCGAACGGGGCTGCTTGGCGCTAACCAATCAGCGCGAGCACCAGTACGACCGAACCAGTCGGAAGCGCAGACAAGTGGAAAAACTTATTTCCGGAAACGGCATGAAATTTGCAGACTGTATTCGAATCTGTATTCGAATCGGTGGTCGATTATCGAAAACAATCATTCAATTCGACTTCAACTGTTCCTGATCTTTCAATTCCTCACAAATTTTCAAATGACCAGAATGATCGAAGAAGAACTATTGGGAATGTTCAAAGGCCACTATATAAATGCCCGTCGCAAAACTCCATTTCTCAGTTTAGCGAAAAAAAATTTAAAAAAATGTCTTCTCCGTCACCACCTTCGTCTCCTGCTTCTACTTCTTCTTCGGGATCTGATTCTTCTGATTCTGAAGAGTCCTTTGCTCCAGAAATCGAACGCCTTCCAGATTTCTCCCCAAATCTGTCGGAAATAAAATCTCTTCCGGAAGAAGAGTCAGCCAATGTTGAAATCAACCTTGATTCGATTATCACTAGGTTGCTGAAATCTCGTGGCGGAAAAGCAGTGGATCTTTCCCTCGATGAGATTCGAGGCCTTTGTCAAACAGTAAGATCTGACTTTGTTGTACTTGGTAGTTATTCTTATGTTCTAGTCTCGCGAGGTTTTGCTTGATCAGCCAAGTCTTCTCGAAATCGAAGCTCCGGTGAAAATTTGCGGCGATATCCACGGCCAGTATTCGGACTTGCTTCGACTCTTTGAGAAAGCTGGTTTTCCGCCGGAGTCAAACTACCTTTTCTTGGGCGATTATGTCGATCGAGGCAAACAGTCCATCGAAACAATTTGCCTTTTGCTCGCTTACAAAATCAAGTAATAATCTTCTCATGTTTTTAAAAATTTATTTTTTCATCAAGATATCCAGAGAACTTCTTCCTTCTCCGCGGTAACCATGAGTTCGATCAAGTCAATTACCAATACGGTTTCTATGACGAGTGTAAACGACGATATAACATCAAGGTGTAACATCAACTTCTTTCCGGCCTTATTTCATTTCTAGCTCTGGAAAACATTCCAAGACTGCTTCAGCTGCCTCCCACTCGCGGCAACAATCGATGACAAGATCTTCTGCTGCCACGGCGGCCTGAGCCCCCATCTCGAGACCATGGAACAAATCAGACGAATAGAGCGTCCAACAGGTCCCTTTACTTTACCTCTTGATTTATTGAGCTTTTTTAGATGTTCCTGGAGAGGGTCTTGTTTGCGATCTCCTCTGGTCGGATCCCGACAAAGATGCAAAGGGATGGGAGCATAACAGTGCTAGAAGCTGCGCTTACAGATTCAATGCAGAAATGGTTGCCGAGTTCTTGCAGAAATATGACTTTGATTTGATCTGCAGGTAGCAATCAAATTTATCAATCCCGTTTTACTAATTTTGAATGGTTAGAGCCCACGAAGTCAAAGAAGATGGATACGAATTCTTCGCGAATCGACAGCTTGTTACAGTTTTCTCCGCGCCAAACTATTGCGGCAACATGGATAACGCAGCAGCTATTCTATCCGTCGATGAAAATCTTCTCTGCTCATTTCAGGCATGGTCATAAAAACAGCCATTTATTCTCATTTAAAAATAGAGAAAATTGTGATCACCAAAAAAGATTGTGAAACCTGTGCAGAGAATGAAGAAAAAGAACTTTGCGCTATGACGTAAATAAATTTTTTTTGACTGAAAAAAGCTAATTATACTGATATTGAAAAAAATAAAAAAATGCCTTCATAAATTGAAAAGATTTTTGAGTGTCACCTTATTAGGTCAATGTCTTCAAAATCAAATGCCTCAAAAGAGCTGATCTTCGCACAAGTTTAATTTTACGATCATTTGACGCCTATTGAGCGACTTCCATCAATCTTTAGCGCATAGACTATGCGGCATAGTCATGTCAATGCAAGGTCGCCACCTACCAGAATACTTAGGTACTTGAATTTCTCAGAAGATATTCATTTTGTGAGAAAATATTCTGAAAGAGAATGGTGAAGCCATGGTCGTTGATTTTGAGCCTAGCTTCGGCGGAACCTGTTTTTGGACCAAAAGACAAGGTCGAAATCAAACTGAATCCAGAGCCACTGAAGACTTCGGCAGATGTTCTAGGAAATGATTATTTAACACTACAATTTCTCTGAAAGAAGTTTATCTGAGAACTGAGTGAAAATCGTATTCAATAGATTTCCCCGATCATTTTTCCCTGCTCCGAAATGGCGACGATTTCAAACTCTCCGCTGATATCCGCGTTGATGGCGGCTTAAAAACATGTGGATTCTTCAATTCAAGGCTTTCGGTGGATTTTGATGGCGATACGGTTTCCGAATTTCATGTTACTCCGTCCGGTCACGTCCTCACTCGCAGCTTCGACAATGGCAACGCGATTCATTTTTCTCACTTGGTCCAGCTGGCTCTCTGCAACGGAAATATTAAGAGCTGTGTCCTCACGGCGGAACAAATGAGTATTGAGGATTTGCAGTTTGATGTCACTTTTGGTGGACTAGAAATGACCGACAGTGGCAAAGAAGTCAAGGTCGATTTTAGCTGCGATGAAGTTATTAGGAACGAGTCATAAATTTAATCAGGAATGAAATATAACCAATCAATGCGGGAACGAAATAAAAATAGCCTCTTCAAAGAGATAAATCAACCTTTCTTCATGTTTGGAAAGAGGGCCAGATTCAAGTCTCCGCAGAAGACACCGTCCTCGACAGCTCTGATGACGCTCTTCAGACAGTCGCTTCCTGCAACTTAACCGACCTATCTCCGGCGGTTGAAATGGCAGAGTTCCTCATTGGAAGCTTCAAAAAGATTTCGCAGGTCTCAGACGGAATCGCAGAGCTTCAAATATCTGGAAAAGAACTGATCGCTTTTGGTGGTAAAAATATCCATGGAGAGAGCATCAGATGTGATGCTCTTCAGATGACAGACTTGAGCGATCCGCCAACGATTTTGAAGAAATACTCCGCCACGACAAAAGAAACGATCGAGTTTTCGTATCCAACAACATACGCAAAAGTCAGTTTCGACAACACAAAATTTGTCAGGGGAATGAAGTATGTGCTAGTAAAGCTTATTCGTACTAAATATTTTTCAAGCTATCTTCAAAGAGGTGAATCAACAGAAATCTCTTGCGATTTCGATGGTTTCCCTCTTCCGACGCCGAAGCTAGTCGCGGATGGTCACGAAATCAAATCTAATTCTTTGTGAGTAATGTCCGTAAATCTTTAAAGATAACAACTAATCGACATATTTACAATGCCGCAATTTAGTTTTATTAGTTTCCCGACAGCTGGAGTTGATTTATAAAGTTATCTCTTTTTGTCTTATTCTTCAAGGCATGATATTCATAAAAATCGGAATTCTGTTGGCATCATAAATAATTCGTTTTCCTCGTTGATCTCAATATTCAGCAAAATCGAAGACGACGCATCCATCACCTGCGAAGCGGGAAAGTTTTCCGACACTGCCTACGTGAACGTTTTTTATCTCGAAGAAGATTCTGTTGAGCTGACATTGATGCAAGACCCTGAAGAAATTTACGAAGGCGACATTATTGAGCTTATTTGCCATGCTCACGGAACTCCCTTGCCGGACTTTTCTTTTTACAGATGTACGTAGATACGTTTCAGACAGACGCTCATCTGAATTTTAGCTGAAAAGAAGCTGTCAAAAGATGATCATCATCATTATCATGCGGTTGTCCGCGCTGGAAACTATTCTTGCACTGCCGGTCTTGACGATTTTGGAATCGAGTACGAGTCAAATATTGTTGAAATTATCCCAAAAATACGACCAACGGCTGACGGCGATTCACTTGGCATGAGTTCTGGTCTCAAAATAGGTAAAAATAATGAATAACCGAGTAATAAAAATTAAGGTATTTTCATTCTCTGCATCATCCTTCTTATCATCATCCTCCTCGTCATTGACTTCTTCGTCTACAAGGAAAAAGGACTGACAAACGAAGCTTTGCTCAAATTCAATTGCATTTGTTGCAACAGAGATGCGGTGCCCAAACAACAAGATGAAGAAAATCCAGAGGAAGAAATAATCGTCAACGATAACCACGAAGATGAAGTCCTTTCAACAGAAAATGAAGAAGCTACACCAGAAGTTGATCCCGAAGTCGCAAGCACAACTTCAAGCTCAAAACAGACTGTAATCGCCAATACGGAGCAACAATTAGCTGTCTCCGAACAAGACACCGATACTAAGCCGAAAGAAAATACCGAATAAGCTCACGATAACAAGGTTTTACTGAATATTACTGCATGCTGCTTTTGTTCAAATAAATACAGTTCATAGGACTCAATACATTGGCCAATTTTAATAAGGAATAGAAATTGGCCATTTATTCATTTTCAACATTATTTTTCAGCAGCTCTTTTATTTTGTTCAGTTTCGAAATCGCCGCAGTTTGATAGGCCAGGACTTCGGTCTCTGCCATACTCTTTACTTCCCTACAATTCGCATAAAAATAAGTCTAAAGGGACTTTTTACCCATGAAGTGTCGATTTTAACTCAGTCAGCTCGTCCATCAGCGACGATGTCTTCTGCTGCTTTTGAGTTCGTTCAAAAAGTGCCTGAAAAGGGACAATTGCGAAATTGAAAAGTTACAAATATTACCCTCATTCTCGCCTTCATTTCTGCTTCGTCATGAGCCGGATCTTCCTGTCTGGTAGCCATCTGAGCTTTTTCAGCCGGTGGATCTGGATCTTGATAATCTTGATTGTTTTCCTTTTGATTTATCGATTTCTTCGACTCCGCAACTTTTTGCATTCGCTGCACTAAATCCTTCAGTTCCAAAAGCTTCTCTTCAAAATTTCCAGGCACTTCGGAAATCATCTGCTCAATGCAATCCTGCGCTTTTGCAAGTTCTAATGCATCAATCATGGTAAGACATTGTCCGAGCTGGCTCCAAATGGCTTGAGAGCCCTCGAGTCTAAAACTAGCCAGACGATAAGCATCATGAGTTGCTTTCCAATTCTTGAGCTTTGATTCCGTTGACGCTATCAGAAGCCAAAGACGACCCCAGTCAAAGCGTTCGCTTAACTCAGCCATATCCTCTTCAAAGAACAATTAATTCTATTTCATAAACATTGTTACATACCATCTTCAATAGTCCCATTCTCCTCAAGCTCTGTTATTTCATACAATTTCGGAAGCAGCTTCTTCAAATTTTCCAACTCTCCCAGAGCCAAATATGTTCTTCCCAAATCATATTGAACTCTTCTATTGTTCGGCCGGAAAGCGATCGACTTCTCCAGATGGATTTTTGCTTTTTGGAAATCTTCAGTATTTTGGGAAAGATAGACTTTCCCTAGGAAATGGTGCGCAAGAGAGAAATCATCGCTCTCGATTAGGGAAGTCAAGTGTTCGATTGAAGCGTTGATGGTGTTTTCTGAGTTTCCGATTTTGAATAGAATAGCCGCTTTGTGAGATTGAAGATAATATTTATCATTACAAAACGATAATTTCTTTAAAAAATGATCTTCAACTTTCCTGTATAAGCTCTTGCTCTCAAATTTTCTGGATCTTTGGTCACAAGACTCATGAGTACTTTCATCGCATCCATCGGCTGTCTCAGTTTCAGGTGAAACTTAACCTTATCCCATGGCATTCTACTCTCCAAGTCCGATTCTTGAAGAACCTGAAGAGCTTCCGAATACATTTCTTTCTTCTCCAAAATCTTCAGAAGCTTTGATATTTCCTTCTTCGAAGAAAAATGAGATCGAATATGATCATAATGATCAGGAAGAAGCTTCTCCGCCCAAAATACTTTCTCAGGCGACTTTGAAATTGAGAACAATGCCCAACCAGTTGCGTGGTACTCATTCCTAATCGCAGCGAACGCGTCTTGAAGATAATTCTCTGAACTAGCTGCTTGTTTGCGGAAGGTAATTATTTCCTGTCGTCTTTGGAAGCGCTTTAAATAATAGGCAAAGGATGATTTTCTACAGAACGATTTCCGGTCGGCGGAAAGTACTTACTTTCTCATAGAAAATTCAGATAAAAATGACCAATAAGTTATAATTCAAGTACAGTGAAAACCCGAAAATTGGCCGGTTTTCAGATATAAATTTCCGAAAAAAGCGGCCAAATTTTGGGTTTTTTTGCCGGGTAGCCAAGTTTCCCCTTCAAAAGGCAAAGTTTCGAAATTTTCGAAAATCGGCATGATTTTCACATTTTTGATGAATTTTAGTCAAATTTTTGCTTGTTTAAAGACATTCTTATGAGAATTTCGTCATTTTTAATGACTAAAACAGTTTTTAAAAGCTAAAAATGATCGGATTAGCATCATTTGAGCCCAATTCTGATGAAAATTTTTTTATTTTCAAAAAAGCGGCCAAATTTCGGGTTGACTTTAGGTTCCAAAAAAAGCGGATTTTGACAAAAAGCGGCCAAATTTTGGGTGGGCAAATTTTGGGTTTTCACTGTATAAAATAAAGGCTATAACTTGAATTGAATAATTATTGAAAGCTTTCCTGAACTCCTCGTCGGCCAAAATGTGATATATTGCGACTCTCTTCCATGATTTCAGGTCAGATTCCAACGTAAAAGCCTTTTGAAGATAAAAACTCGGTTCGTTCTCCGCCAAATGTTGGAGTGAAGAAAAAGATCCAAGGCATAAAATAAGGAAGCAAGGATTGAACCATTTGACAGCGTTATTTTGTGACAGTTTCTGAGCTCCTTTTGCGACGACGATTGAATTCAGGATAAAAAGAGGTAGTTTTGAGATATCGTCGGTCTGGGTTGGGTAAGGCAATGCAATATCGAGAAGAGATGAAGGTAAATTGATAGATAAGGACTTTGGTAATACAGCATACAGAATACAAGAGATCGTCGCATAACGACTAAAACGTCATTAGTAGCGATGTCTATAATTGCGCTGGGCAACCGAAAATAAATCGGCTATTCAAATATAATTCGTAAAGATAAGGCATTGAGTACAATCACCGGAGGCAGCGTAATCGCTTTAACAACACTCTCAGTAACCAGTCGATTAATTCCCATTCGGCAACAATGGAACTTTTCCGCAGTCGGCGCAGAACAAAAAATCGCCTTGACTACTTTTGAAAAGTTGTTTTCCGATTTGATTTCCGAAGCTATAAAAACGACCTGCCAGAAAGTTAAATTCCATTCTGCTGTTGCCAGATTCAGATCAACTTAGAGTTAGATAACTTTTTCACAGATATGAAGCTCTCTACCGCCGCCATGGCTGCTGTTGCTTCGGCCCAGATGTCCGCAACCTACAATAATGCTCTCTTGCATTTGGACTTCCACGGTAAGACTTCAACCTCAACAAATATCTAACTAGCTCAAAAGATGGCGCTGCTAACATGGTTCGCGAGCTTTTCAAGGATTACGGATGGCCAGATCTTGTCACCGAGAACACTGGCTTCTCTTTCCTTGAAAACATCAACGACTTCAACGTTGCTTACTGCATGACCTCCACCTTTACCGGCATCAGCACTACCACCGACAATAACGCTCTCTACACCAACATCGACAACTTCAAGACCCGAGTTGCCAACGACCGAAACACTCAGGACCTCTACGCGTCCCTCGCGGGCTGCATGAGTGGCATCACTTTCTCCCGAACTGAGATGTCTAACTACTTCATCAATTTCCCAGTTGGAAACTTTGATGGAGTTGATCTTGGCGCTCTCATGACAAGTGTTGCTGACAAACATTTCCAGAGTGCTCAAGATGCCGCTACTGCTTATGAGGCGCAGACTGACTACACCAACGTAAGAGTTGATCAAAATTACAAATTTTCATTCCTATTTCAAGGCTTCTAATGCATACTTGAACTCCATGCGAGCTCTCCGATCAGCTTTCAAGCAATACAACTCTGGAATCAGCAACAGCCGAAACACCGCTGAGCAGCTCACCGACTACGCCCAGCTCGCCTGGGAGTTCATCGAGGCCGGTCTTTATGTTTATGAAAATGAGATGGAAGCATGGCAATTCGGAGAGAGACTTTACGATGAGATCATCAATATTGTATGCAAAAACTTCTTTTGATCTCTATTAAATATGATCTAGGATACTATCGTCTACAAACAGCCACTCATCAACGCTTGCCTCCAGAAGGTCGGTCCCTTTGGAATGGTTCACCAGATGATGGTCAATTTTTTCAGCATCCTCTACCATGCTGATGTTCTCTTCCAGTGGGCTGAACTCAGCGAACGATACAGTAAGAGCTTTAAAAAATTGTGTCACCTAACGATTTTTCAGTCGCTGAAGCCATCTGGGGACAGACTTTTACCGAAACTTTCCACAACTACTGGAGCCAGTACTTCTACCAGTACTTCTACGATTTCTCCCAGTACGGTGGTGAAGTCGAAGCCTGGACTAACCTTGCTGCCACCTTCCTCGACCCCTACCTCCAAGATACGTTCTACAACACCATCGCGGTATCCGTCTGCGGATTCGAAGAAGCGTAATCCTTGTAATTACTGTTCAACCGAATATACATTTTCCTTTGTAAATCTTATTTAGTAACAAAACTGTTTTAAGTTCATGAATTAACTGTGCTTGGGATGACGACTGACTGACTATTCAGAAATATGACTGACTAAGACATTTTTTTCAAATAAAACAGTCTTTTTAAAAAGCATTTGATTTTGCCCAAGTTTTGATTCAATTAATCCGATATAACTCATATTATCAAAGAACTCTCAAATATAGAACACTAATGACAGACTTGAGGTCTGACACCTCGTCAGTTAATAGATAACAAGACCAGAATAATTTTCGTATTCATCGTAGTCCGAGAACGATAACGGTATTCGCTTTAGTATGACTCTCAGGAACCAGCCTGATTTATTCGGATTCAGCAACAAAGGAACAGTTCCGCAGTCCGAGCGTAACAAAAAAATCGCCTTGACTACTTTTGAAATGTCCTTTTCCGATTCTAGTTCCGAAGCTATAAAAAGGACCTGCCAGAAAGTTGAATTCCATTTCGCTGTGACCAGATTAAGATCCACTAAGTCAAGATTTTCTCAGCTACGAAGATTTCTACTACTGCGTTGGCCACTCTTGCCTCGGCCAATAGGTCCCCAACGTACAACAATGCTGTGCTACATTTGGACTTCCAAGGTAAGATTTATACAACAACCACAGTCAAACAGACTCATAAGATGGTGCCGCTAACATGGTTCGCGAGCTTTTCAAGGACTATGGATGGCCAGATCTCGTTACTGAGAACACAGGTTTCTCGTTTCTCGAGTACATCGACGACTTTGCCGTTGCTTCCTGCATGACTGCCACTTTCACCGGCATCAGCACTACCACCAACAACAACGCTCTTTACACCAACATCGACAACTTTAAAACCCGAGTCGCCAACGACCAAAACACCCAGGACCTCTATGCATCCCTCGCTGGCTGCATGAGTGGCATCACTTTCTCTCGAACTGAGATGTCTAACTACTTCATCAATTTCCCAGTTGGAAACTTTGATGGAGTTGATCTTGGCGCTCTCATGACAAGTGTTGCTGACAAACATTTCCAGAATGCCCAAGACGCCGCTACTGCTTTTGAAGCGCAGACTGACTTCAACGACGTAAGAATCAATCAAAATAATCAATTTCCACTCAAATTTGAAGGCTTCTAACGCATACTTGAACTCCATGAGAGCGCTTCGATCAGCTTTCAAGCAATACAACGCTGGAATAAGCAACGGCCGAAACACCGTCGAGCAGCTCATCGACTACGCCCAACTCGCCTGGGAATTTATCGAGGCAGGCCTCTACGTTTATGAGAATGAGATGGAGGCATGGAAATTAGGAGAGAGATACTACAACGAGATCCTTAATATTGTGAGTTAAAAATATCTTCCAGCTCTTTTTATCTGATCTAAGGATACAATCGTCTACAAGGAGCCACTCAGAAACGCTTGTCTTAAAAAGGTCGGCCCCTTCGGCTTGGCCCACCAGATGATGCGCAATTTCTATAGAGTCCTCTACCATTTTGATGTTCTCTTCCAGGTGGCAGAGATCAGCGAGAGATACAGTAAGAAATATCTTGTCAATTTTTAGGCTGACAATAAATTCAGTTGCTGAAGCTATCTGGGGACAGACTTTCACCGACACATTCTATAGCTACTGGACCCGATATTTTTACGAGCACTTTCAACATATATCACAGTTTGGAGGTGAAGTCGAAGCCTGGACTAGCCTAGCCGCTGAATTCCTCGACCCATACCTCCAGGATCCTTTCTACAACGCCATCGCGGTTTCCTTTTGTGGATTCGAAGAGGCATAATCATTTTAACTACTATTCTACCAATTATCTTTTTTGTAATTAGTTTTTTTTACTAAGAAAGAGAAGAATCTCTTTCATGAAATTAAGTTCATGAATTAACTGTACTTTCAAATAAAACAGTATGCTTTTTGATGATTTCAAAAAAAATTTTGCGGGCCTGGAACTCGTCAAAAAACTTCTTGTCTTGTTTTGTAGAGCTCGTCGAGACGAGTCGAATGACATATAAAACTCCTGACAGTTTTAAGATTTTCCGCCAAAAAATGTGATAAGAAGGTGTCTTATCAAAAATTTTCTGACCAGCGCCGTTTTTGTTCTAGAAAAGCTGAGGTGATGCTTGACCCCGGAAAATGATCCTCATGGTCTGTTCTATTCCGGCAAAAAATTTCAGCTCGTTATCATATGCCCAGCCGAGTTTATCGTTAAATTTCATTTTCCAAGGAAAATGGGACTGTAAATGGGCCCGAAACTAGGAACGTGCAGCGACAACAAAATGCACTAATTTTTTGATTTTTCGCTGATAAGCACAGCAGGATATGTGAGGACGAGCTGAAATTTTTTGCCGGAATAGAACAGACCATGAGGATCATTTTCCGGGGTCAAGCATCACCTCAGCTTTTCTAGAACAAAAACGGCGCCGGTCAGAAAATTTTTGATAAGACACCTTCTTATCACTTTTTTTGGCGGAAAATCTTGAAACTGTCAGGAGTTTTATATATCATTCGACTCGTCTCGACGAGCTCTACAAAACTAGACAAGAAGTTTTTTGACGATTTCCGGGCCCGCGAAATTTTTTTTAAAATCATCTTTTCGAATCAGTTGAAACTTTCTTTCAAAAACATTATTGACAATAAAGTCCGAATGAATTATTTTATTAAAACATAGACGTCGTACCTTGCCAATTTTCTGGATAATTTCCTTCCAGTGCACGTTGTTTTTATCAAATATAGACATAATGGGATGAAGATCAAGCCAGTTGGTTGAACAAGATTGCTCAATAAAACTAAATAATCAACTGTAAAACAATGCATATAATAGTTTTCTTACCTGAAGTTTCAGCAAAAATAAGAGTCGTGAGACCCCAAGATAACGGCCCATCGGCCCCAATGAAGTAAAATATATTCTTAAGAAAGAAAAGCGAGAGGCAATATATTGATGAGGGCTGTTGAAGACTTTGCAGGAAAGCAAAATTTACAAATAAATAACAAAACGCCATGCAAGAAAGCTCCAAAGATAATGTCGAGCTGAAAATAACGAGGAATACCAAAACAGGTCGAATAAGAAAACTGAATAGTGGCGGCAGAGCATATTCCGGAAAGTTGCTTGCTTCAATAAATGACGATAAGACAGTATTGGCCTCGAATTTTTTCGGAAATCGTAAGCTGTGCTCTGGGAATGCCTTCCATGTCGATAAGAAAACGCCCAATGCAACAAGAACCTGGAGTTTTAATAAATTGTTTTTCATAATTTTAAATAGCGCTCATTCTTAATAAACATGATTATCTGAGGCTATTCAAAATAAAGTTTTTAAAAATAAAATAGTTTATTGAATTAACAGATCTTAAAAAACAGGAATGATATCTTTGGGCAGTTTTTTGACTTTCTGATTTAGCACTTTTTGTGCATCTTTTTCAAGTTGCTGAATTTCGTCTTGAAGCTTTTTTGAAGATGTTGGGATTTGATTTGATGCCTTGCTGAGTTGGAGAGACATGGCAAGGCTCAATTGCGTTGTGGCTTTTAGTCGATCTGGTTTGAACTTCGGCGCTGGTACCTTTTCAAATGCACCTAAAAGCTTTTCTGTCCTGAAAATTGCTTGAGTTTAAAAAATAGTCTGATGATTACCTTGCCCACTGGAACTTAGCATCGTCATGTACTCGTGGATTTCCAGCGAAAGTTGAGCGATTGAAGTGATCGTAGTTGACGGATTGCATGATCCAGGCCCAGAAATAATCCTCTCTTTCCTTCCAAATGAAATAATTTTTGACAACGATCAGTCCCTTCGAAAGAGTTTGGTCGAGTTTTTCAACCGCTTTTGGGGTTTGGGAAAGGATAAATTCTTCGTATGATAAATGACTATCATTGTTATTTTATCTAAAAAATACGACATCGACTAACCTTAAATTCTGCGGAAGTGGTGGATATTGTGAGGCGTCAAGCATTGCCGCCAATTTTCGTATCTTCCCGACGGTAAAAAGAACCGAATCGGGTGTAGGATTCGTTACATTAGTAGTACGTTTCTTATTCGATTCAATAACAACTGCCCGCTTGAGTGCATCTGACGTATTTGACGAGAATCGGAAAGCCTCTTCCACAATATTGAATTTATGAACTAAAAGAATTTCAAAACTTGAATAACAAAGGACGGGTTACTTATGATTGCAAAAAGCGTCAAAAGCGCGGACGGTGAATTCCAATCGGGCTCCGCGACGCTCATTTCGTCAGTAAGTCTCTTGAGATTTTTCTTTGTCAGGAACTGCGAAATTTGCTCAAGAATTTGCGTAAATGGCTAGAAGTTTAATGGACATTCAATATAATGGGAAATTAGTATACCTTTAGAACGGAAAAATTATCAGTCTTTGCTTGCCGTAAAAGCTCCGGAGAAAGTTGCCCACGGGGAAATTCATCGATACTATTTTCTAGTATCAGTATGAGCGAATTAAGAGCTATTTTGAGACCTTCTGTCGCCATGTTTCTAAAAACAGGTGCATTTGGAATTTTGGATTGTTTATTATTAAATATTTTATCAGTTCAGCGTCACCAAAAAAAATTGCAGGTTTAGCATTTTTAAATATTGCACAGTGTTAAAAATTTCTACAGTATTTTTAAAGATCCATGTCTTGTTCCCAAATATCAGCAGCACGGAGAGCAGATTGGTTCAGAAAAGCAGGGTGTGTGTTTCGTAACCGTAGAATAAGTATAGACGCCTTTTGAAATTCACCATTGTCTCGGAGTGCTTATTGATGTTTTCGATTAGATGTCATAAATTATAATTTATTGCCGATGATAGTTCTGTCTGGGCTATAAAAATATAAAATATCATTATCGAAAACCATCCCTGTAAGAAGTCCTTTAACATCTTGTTCTGAGTCAGGATTTCTCAAAGCACTGTGATATCTTACAATAAGTCCTTCCAAGTCTTGGGTATTTTGTTGCTCTTCCACTTCATCGTCTTCAATATCCAAATCATCATCTTCCCAACCCTCATTTTCCTCATCTGAATTGTCTTCATCAAGATCGAGGTCATTTTCTTGATTCCATCCTTCTGGCTCTGGAGATTTATTATCATCAGGTGAAGGGGAGGGAGGCTCATTTGACCCGAGATCCAAATCGCTGCCGTCTTCGCCCCAGCCTTCAGGACTTGGCGATTTAACTTCAGGCCCTCCGTCATCAACATCTGAATCTGATGGGAGATCCAGATCGCTTTCGTCGTCATGTTGCCAGCCTTCTTTTTCAACGTCATCTCTTTCGGCTGACACCAAACTTTGTGATAATATCTCGGAATGCGCGTTTCCAATAACTGGTGCTTCTGCTAAAGCAATTTGAGAGTCGCCTTCATCACCAGACGGTAGATCCAGGTCGCTTTCTTCGTCATTATCCCAACCAGACTTTTCTTCATCTTTGATGTCATCAGTTTTGCTGACGATTTCGGCTTCACGAGGACTCTGACACTCATCTTCGTCATCAGATGGAAGATCTAGATCGCTTTCTTCGTTGTCCCACCCTTGGTTGGAGCTTGAATCAGATACGGGAGTGATTGATGGGCGGTCATTTGTTTTCACGGGTAGCTGATCCTCTGTGACAGCGGATTTTTCATCTATGCATATACTCGCGTCGTGCTCATCTTGTACATCATCTGATGGGAGATCAACTTCGCTATCTTTAGGAGGCTGTTCAGACTTCGTTACTGGGAGTTCGTCTATCAGAGTGTCCGGAATAGTAGCTTGAGATTCATCCTCGGAATCAGAAGGGATCTCGAGATCACTTTCATTATTATTCCAACCAGCATTCTCAGAGGAGACCTCAGATGCTGATCTTTCGACAATTTCCATAACTGGCACGGAAGAAAAGTCTGAGGAGACAGGGACAGTTTCGGGAAGGCTATCTGTAATTTCCCCGACCTCAGAATCGGATGGTAGATCGATATCACTCTCTTCATTCGCCCAGCCAGTTTCTGACTCAACAGCCTCTTGATCATCAGTCATTGGAACGTCTTCAGTACTTGATTCATCTTGATCTTTATTGCAATATTTATCACTGCTTGGCTTATCCATGGGCTCAATCTCCTTGGTTTCATCCTGGATGTCTGATTTCATCTGAACAGGGTCTTCTGGCAAAAGTGAGTGATGCTCACTCTTCTTATCCGAAGGAAGATCGATGTTTCTTTCCTCGTTTTCCCATCCAGTTTTCTCTGTCAACTTTTCGTCTTCAGTGGAAACAGGAAGATTTTGGTCCTCTTCATGGCAAGCTGGATGCTCCTGATTTTCCGTGGCATCATCTTGAAAAGCTACGACATTTTCAGTTTGCAAGTCCGATAGAGGTGGAGTTTGATCATCTTCGTGATCTGAAGGAAGCTCGATATCGCTCTCATCTTCATTCCAATCCGGTCGCCCTGTTGACTGATTTTCTTCTGGTATTACTTCTTTAGATTGATCATTCTCTTCCGAAGGCAGCCTTTCTTGGACGTTTTCAGATTCTTTTTCATCTGATGGTGCTTGACTTTCTCCCTCTGATCTCTCTTCTGCGAGATTTATTTCAGACTCCGGGAGTTCTTCGTTCTCATCTGGTAAATCGAGATCACTTTCTTCGCCGTTGTTCCACCCCTCATTCTCGTCTTCCTCTTCTTCGGATATTCGTTTTGATGATTCGCATTCCGCTGCGATATTTTGGTGTTCCACATTCAGGTCAACTTCTTGATCTAATGGAACAGCATCAGCCGTTTCCATTTCATGATAAGATTTATCCTTTTCTTCGAAGTCCTCTTCCTGACCCTCCAACATCTCATCATCGTCAGGAAGGTCGAGATCGCTGTCGTCCTCATTCCATCCTTCCTCTTCTTCATTGTTTACCTCTGTCATTTCAAGTTTTGGTAAGCAGATAGAAATCTCTGGTTGCTCAGGACTTTCTTCGGCATTGAAAGAAGTTTCATAATCACGATCAATTTCCACCAGGAGAGACACAACACTGTCCCAATAATCTTGCTCCTCGAGAGTTTCTCTCTGTTTTAGAATCAGATCAAGGACGGATTCATTCGCCAAAAACCTTTCAAAGATCTCTTCGACGACGCAACAATTGATAAAGAGCAAGTCTTGCATTGGATCAGATGATAAAAGGCGGAAAATATTTATCCACTTGGAAACAATATCGAGTGGTCTGCCAGCGCGTTTTAAGACTTTCTTCAGCTTTTGAAGATTTTCCAGCGCTTGCGTCGTTGAGTTCGAAGTCAAGTCAGGTGGATTTTGAATCATCGAAATCATGGTATCGTAAACTGAGTAATCTTCAACGCATTCAAGTGCTATAGGGAACTTCTGAAGAACGAACAAGTAAATATCAAGCTCGTAGGTCTTGATCTCGATAGAACGGGCGAGACCAGTGTTGATCAATTCTTTCATCTTTTTGTCTTCTTCAAAAGATGAGTTGATAAGCGATAAACCATCGAGGAGTTTACTAAGTTCCTGAGATGCGATCAGTAAAACCGATATACGTACGGGAATTCCTGTATACAAAGTACAAAAAAAAAGATAATTAAAAGCTTTCAATCGCTTTCCTGTAAATTTTCAATGTTCACCTTCACGACGTAATGAATAATAATTTTCAAAGAAAGATCTTCGTTCTCAGAAATTACTTCTTTCACAAACTCAATCCATTGAGACGCACTACAGAATTTTGCCAGTTTCGCAATATTTTCAAGACTTGGCTGACCATCGATGAAGCTTGTTTTTAAAGAATTTACTTCAGAAATATGGGCGTTGTCGTCATCGGCAAGAATAGTCGACAGCAGATCCATGATAAACACGAGTTTTTGAAGCTCTTTAATAAGTTTTGATATGAAAATAATTATGAGAAATACACCATTGCTCTTGTTTTATCAAATAATTATCGTGCTGAGTTGAACACTCCTAGGAATTTAAATATCGATACGATGGTTATTTTAAAATTATTCATAAAGAATAGAAACTTTTCCTTTCTTAGCAGGACAAATTTGTTCCAGCAAAGATTTCGCGAGAGCCAGGTCACGATGAAATGTAATCTCATCCTTGATTTCACGCTGAACAAGATTATCCGTGAAGCCATCTATCAGCTGATTTTTACGCTTTTCCGGAACCATTTGAAGTAGTTCTGGTATTCCTACGCAGGCTGATATAAAAACTTCCACTGCCGGTGTATCATTTTCAAAGGTCGAGGCAATCCAAGAAGAAACTTCAGACTTGCTGAAGCCAGCTTCTTTGAAAGCAGAAAGTTGATGGAAAAAATCTCCCTTTGAAGATAATGAAGAGGCTATTTCTGGCCGTACGAGAGTCGCCAAGCTCACTTCCGAGATGAAAGACGATAGTTGATTGAGTAAATCGAGCCATTTTTCAGAGTCTTTGAGACTTCGGAGAGCGGCCAAAAGCTTTTCTTCACAATCGATGGTGGCATAAATCGTCTTTTTTGCTTGCAAATGGTAGTAACAGAGGGGCTCTTGCAGGAAAAGTGATAGATTCTTTCCTTGAGCTCTGAAATCTTGAGCACTCTCGGTGTCTTCGGACAAATGATAACAGATTTTTAGCGTAAAAATGTGCTTCTTGATGCTGTCTGCTGAGTCAATGTCTACTTCGCTTTTCACGGCGAGATCTTTTGCGATATCGATTCTAGTTTCCTGATCCAAGTGCTCAACCAGCCTTTTGATATCACCCGGCGAAATGGTCGTTCCTTTTTCTTGCGCCCATTGTTTCACAAAATGATCAGGAGAGTACAAATCAAGAACTTCAACAGAGTCATCAATGATGTAAACCGAGGACAAGGTTAGATCCACCAGATTAGAGATGCCTTCTCCTTCGATGAGCTTTTTTGCATCTACAATTTCATCTAGATCTTTGAGGCTTTCCACCAGAGCTTTATTCTTCGAGATTCGCTCCGCTTCAGAAGGTACTGACTCTAGTTTAAAAGACAGGTATTTATTCAGCTCGTCATATTTATAACCATCAATTTTGTCATAAACAAATGCCAGTTTTTGATTGATATTTTCCCCAATAGTATTCGAGGAGTCTTCCAAATTGACTGTCAATAAATACTCATGGAAGCGGATAAAGAAGGAACATCGTGCGACTACACAACCAAATCGATCCGAGTTATCGTCATTGACGAGGGACTTGATCTCTTCTGCTTGTTGGATATTTTTGGAGATAATTATTTCATTTGACGATGGGCACGATTCAAATTCATCAATGTACGAGAGTAGAAGGGACTCGGGGTCGGAAAGGGACGAAAAAAGATGTTGAAGTTTGGAGCAGGCGGACAAGAAGAGTTCGATCTTCGGAGCTTTTTCAGAAAATTTACGGCAAACGGAGGTCGTGAAAAGTGCTTCGTCAGACCTTCAAATGAGAATAAATAATTCAATCAAAGGAAAAAGATTCAATCGCATCTAAAATTGAGCGATCTATATCTTCTGCTATAAAACTACCTGAGAATATGCGCGAGTTCTTCAAGCTCTACTGGGCCGTGTAGTGACGTTTTTACAAGGTTACCAACAATATTTTCAACGTCACAGCTGAAATGGGATGTGAGCTCGAGATAATCTTTCTGCCAGTTGAATTTTGAGAGTAGAACATCAGTTACGTCAGATCCATCAAGATACGGTTTAATTAAATCCGACACGTCATAATCACTGGGAGTGTTGAGGAGTGTTTTTAGCTTCTCACTTCTTTCTCGTATCCACTCATCTTCCAATAAAAGATTCATAATGAAGTCTTTTGCGAAAAACATCTCATTTTCCAAATCTTCAGTTTTGAGATTGTTGCTGACTACTTCCATGAAACATCTGACTACATATTCATCGTCTCCCAAATAATTTCTGAGTTCCAACAAATCTTCAGCGATAAATCCTTCTTGAATGTATTTCTTTAACATTCTCCTCGCGAAGATCTTATCACTCGAGATCTCAAAATGTTTCAAAATTTGATCGACTTCTATGAAGAGCGAAGGAGGTTCTCCCTCCACTGTTTTGAATGTTTCGACGATTGAATCGATTCCACTATTGAGTATTTTCTTCAGATCGAATCTTTCTAAGCAAACTGATTGAAGAGCGTAGAATAATTCTTCTTCTTTGAGAGTGTCGGATGAATACAGCTTCCGAAGATCAAAATAGGTTTCTAGTCGACCGTGGTCACTTCCTTTAATATTTTTCCAGCAATATCCCTCAAGTCGTTCTTTGAATCGCTTATCCTTCGCCATTTCAGCGTATTTCTGCATGTTTATTTCTGATACTTCTCCATTGATCAGCGCATTCTCTAAGAAACTCATCGCCATATCAAAAGTGTCTACATCATTTTCCGAAGCCAAATCCATCGCGAACTTGTATTGGTCGGGATCTTCAGTTTCAGCGAGCCCCAAAATCGTATCTCTACGGTATTCCGGATCAGCGGCAAATTGCTCTGCATCCACGCCATAATAGGATAATGAGTCGCCCTGGATGAATTTTGCAAGCGCTTTGTATTCATCGTTTTCCGGGGAGCCTTAATTGTTATTAGAAATACAAATTATAGGAATATATGCAATCTTACGGAGAATAACATCTGAGACCGACTCGGTTGACTTGGGATCGCTTTCAGCTGCGAAATACGCTTTCAACTGGAGCGTTTCCTCGGAATCAGGAACTTCTTCTAACGCGGAAGCTGAGTAACAACAAAGAGCGATTGAAAATTTAGCGGGATCTGAGAGGTCTTTGATTGCTTCAAGGAATAGCTCCTTCTCTATTATAAAGGGTATATTTCAAAAGATTTAATTATTTTCTGCGAATATCCGGTTTGAAAAAATCTGATGATTCATGGTTATACCCATTCCCTTTTTTGTCAGTTATCGTCGAGCGCCTGATCTTCTTCTTCGGCAAATTTTCTACGTCGGCCCCCTCGTCATCGACTCCAGACGAACCTAAACGCTTGACGCCGATTACCGTGTTGGAAATCGTATTCAAAGCGGCGGAAGGAATCAAAGACTGGAACACATCCACGGCAGACGTAAACAACTCGTCATCAACCTCCTGGTCGATTAAATCCAGGATCTCTTCAATTTTGCTGTCGTCACAGAAGTTGAGCGCGTGCATTAATATTTCATTTCGATGCTTGACGCATCTATGTGCGTTTTTACCGACTTCAAAGCAGAAATCAGCCGCGGCGTAGCTCTCAATTCTTCCATTCGCGATTTCAAATGCAAATTCTTCCAGGAAATCCCAAAACTGATTCTTGAGCGATTCTTGTGCTGATAGAACGAATAGTTCTTCTTCAATATTTTTGTGATCTTTTGAAATATTCGACAGAAGTGAAATGAAAAGCGTAGCATCGTTGGGACTCCAAGGAGATTCAGTAGAAATCGCGCTCATGAGCTTTCGCGGATTTTTGCGGGCATCGTTGATGATCACGTGAGGTAGAAGCCTGGTACCTTTCTTGGAAAGGAATTGAAGGATCTTTCATGGTGATTGATACTGGGAAATGAAATACAGAAAACGTAGATTTATATAATCACGTTCCTGAAGACCAGCGACATTTGAAGAGACTCGATCAAAAATGCCAGATTCTTCCTCGACGTCAATGAGATTAAGAATCCGAAGAGAAGTGAGAATGTAAGGATCATTGACGTCCGATGCACTCACAAGATAATCATCTGCAGCTTGAATGACTGTCTCAGCAGAGTCCTCAAAACACAAGATGTATATCTTTGGATACTCTTCAGATAAAAGATAGTCGTCCTCGATGACGAGATCTTTTTCAAATGATTTTGTTTGGCATAAAAACGGTTCAACGAACCCGATGTATCGGTTATCTTTCCCAGCAAAGGTGAGCAAGTGATGAACAAATGTCTGGATCGTAGATTTGATCGAAAGACGCTGGAAAAGCTTGCTCCTCAAAGAAAGAATATCTTCAAAGAGTTCAATCCAGACCCTTTGATCGATGCTTTCTGGTTCTCTGTTGTTACGGGTTTTATTCACAAGAAGGTTGAAGAGATTTTCGACAACGCTGTTTGATGTACTCTTTGAGCGTTCGGACAAATCGTACAATGTATAATCAGCTCCGCCCCATTTTGAGATGATCTTTTGACACTCTAAAATGCCACGAATCTCGGCAATTTGGAACTCTTGGTTCTTCGTTAGCTCTTCTGGAACATGATTAAGGATCATTTCTAATTTCTGTGAGATCTGCCGCGAATCCATAAAGGCTAAGAAGATGATAAGCTCGAAAACTTCGTCTTGTACTGTCAAAAATTTCTTTTCCAAAACAAGTTCGGTGAACCAAAGACCGTCATTTTCGATTATTTCCTTCAAAATCGTCATTCTTGAGCCTGATTCTTTTATTTCTTCATCGTCCATTAATGCTTTTATTAGCGAGAGACCCTTATCAGTTTCGTGGTCATTGATTCGACTGAGAATTATGTTGATTTTCGCTCTTGTGGATAAAGTCTTGAAGCTGGCAAGAGAGACGTCGTGGTGAATCTCCCAAACATAGACAAACTCTGCTAGATCTTTGAAATCAAGCTTGTAAGAAGCAAGTTTGTTATCCAGAAAACATCTTGGGATAGAATTTTCAGCAGCGATGTTGAGCATTTCAAGGGAAAGCTCAATGATACCAGTTCTTGCTTCGATCTCTTCAGCCCTGGAGCAATACCAATCAGCGATTTCTTCTGTTGTTAGTTCTTCTGTTGGTTTGAGAGATGGGAAAAATTGATCATAAAGAAAATCACCAGATTTGGGCTTTTCAAAATATCGCGTCAAAAGCTCAGAATTACACCAATTGAAAGAAACAGCTTCAGAATGCTTGATAGGAATCGGCTGAGAAGTTGCTGGGTTGATCTTCGGTAAAAGATGCTTATACGTATCAAGACTCAAACTTTCAGGAAACGACGAAAGAAGTGCCAAGCGATGTGGAACAAGCTCATTATGATGTCGAAAGAGGATTTCTAAGCTGCGCGCGTCGCCCTTTCTTGAACACAGTGACGCGTACTCGATTAAATCTACATCGCGAAATCGTCTGTATTGTTCTGATAAGAAAGGTCCATCCGGTGACCGAGGGTTGAGATCTTCAAAGGTTCGCAAGCGGGAAAGGTAACGCTGAATCGTCATTCTTTCTTTCAGCAGGGAAACTTGCTCTTTGTTGAGCTTTGAAAAGTCGAATTTTGAGAGAACTCTTCGTCTGTAATCGAGATCTTCGACGGAATCATCTTCCGTGTAGTCGATATTTGTTTCCGGAATCCAAGGAAAAAATTCATCGCTTTCTTCGTTTCCGAGTTTTTCCAGAACATCGATATCAGTTCCTCTGAGACCATATTCGAGCAAACTGATGATTGAAGCAGGACTCGCTGGGATTTTGGAGTAGATCTGGCTGAGAATGTATTTTCGGCAACGAATTCTACTCAGGAAATCTTCAATTGCTTGAGGTCCATGGTCAGACGTCTCCCAGCGTTTTTGAAAAACAAGATCAGGGTCCAGATCGAACTGATCAGCCACGGCCAGGGCTGTTTGGAAGTCATTTACGTCAATTAGTCGATTGTACATTTGTTGAGGAGTTGTTCGATCGACTCGAAAGAGGGAATATTCACGGGTTACCATGTCATAGCTAGAGTTGTCGTCCTGAATCAATTGATTTAATTTTTATTGAAACACTCAATCTTTTCTTACCTGAAACGCTTCCAAATCAGTCAAATAGAACAAGAAGCTCTTTGTAAGATTCAGCAAAGATGATCCAACGGACGGATGTTTCTTTATAAAAATATCATCATCTGTTCACAGGCTAATGAAATGAACGCACCGAAAATAGAAAAATAACTTTAATTATTATTCTATCACCGTTACTAAAATGATGCCAGATTTAAAAATTAAACATCAGGTCAATAAGTTTTCACCAAGTGTATGAGTAAATAAGAATTCTTATAGCATTTGCTATAACTAGTAGTGTGGGTATGAGAATGTCACCGTGGAGCCCTCACTTTTGAATTATTTTCCACATTTATCGAGCACTCCAGTCCAAGAACAGATCCTCCTTTGGCATCAGACAGGGACGCCCATGGACTGGCCCACTCTACTTCTGAAACAAGCCCGAGATCGTCAACCAACGAGTGGATCGAAATAGTCCCGCAGATCCTCGACAAAATAACATGCTCATCATCCCACCACGTGATAGACGTCGGAATGGTTTGGAGTGCGCTGGGAACTTCATTATCAAGAAGGACAGAGCATGCTCGATCGGGGTGAAGTTCTTTTGCAAAAGGAAATTCGTCGACCTTCCAGCTTCCAATTGGTGAAAGATTGGGAAGAGAGAAGAGAAGAATCTCTCCTGCGAGTGATGTGACGATCACCTTTGATAATTATATATGAAAATGCATAAAAAAAGAAATGATTGGATTACATAAAGTCAGACGTTGTTTATAATTGGATTTTAATTATTTCAAACAAGTGTTTATTCCATTTATAAGTAGCAACATGTCAATTATGACTGTCACAAAACGGAGCTTTACGTAATCTTGCGTTTACAAAATCATCACTCAAGCCTTCTTCTCTTACCTTTGAGTGATCCGGAGATATGGACACATTATACGAGCAAGGGATATCGGCTGCGCCCAAGAAACTCCTGAGAGTTCCCCCGACTTTTGTCAAAAATTTTGAGCCTTCAACAATCGGCGCTGCTCGGGAAAAATTAATTCCGTAAGTCTCATCGTCAACGATTCTCCAAGCCACAGTTCCAGAGAACTTATCTTGTCTTTCGTTTGATCCTCCGACGGTGATGAGGAGTTGATGCTCGTCAGACCAGATAGCATGTTCAACGCCAAATGTCTGATCTTTTACTAGGCTAGTAATTTGAATTGGATTGCTTAGTATATGAATTTTCAATTCGAAGCTTCGTTCGCTTCGTCTCTTTGTTTAAATTTATGAAGGATGGATGGTCAGAGAGAATTTTCTGATTGCTATTTATAAATATAATTCTTTACTCGTCATAAAATATCAATAACTATGCTGCCCTCTCCTAAACTCCCCTCGGTCACAATACTGGATCTTCCTTTTTTATCCATCTCAAAAACAACGAATTCGCTATTTCGATAAACCGCGAAAACTCTTCCAGGATAAATTTCTGGAAAGAAAACCCCAGCCAGCGAATCGCTCAACACCGCAGTCGTGTTCATCGTCGGTTTATCTAGTCGTCCTTCAATGACAAGATCGTGGGAGAAGAGAAAGATCTTCCCGGAAGAATGAGTCAGCGCAAATGCGCCTTGGCCCTTGTTCCAAGCTCGGCCGGACCAAAAGACTTTCCGCCACTCTGGGTTTTTGTCCTTTGGAATTTGGCAACGTCGACATGATTCAAAATCGTCAGCGGATGATCGAAGCTCGAGATGGGTTCGTTGGATGATAAGGAGGAATTCGCCACATGGAGAGCGAGAGACTTGCCATGGGTTACAGGAAGAGATGAATTTAACTAGCGTTGATGGGAGCTGAAAATTGATATTGAAGAATTCAAAAAGAAAGACTTACTGTTAGAGTATCAGACGTGCTGAAGATGTTGAAATTAGAGAAGATTCGCGCTAGAGTTCCTGCGACAGATATCAGGACCGTTTTGTCGGGTTCAATTTTTCGCTCAGTGGTCTCGCTCTCCCATTCTTGTGGGATAACGATTCGATCATATAGAATCTGCTCATTCCCGACCATATTTTCAGACGTCTCACGATCTCATTTATCTAAAATTGATAATTGGAACGGACATTTCCAAAGAAAGATCAAGGAAGATATCGCAAATGCTGAAAAATACTCTGTATTTTTCTATTTCAACCATCATAGTTATCAGTATCATAAAATATATAATTGCCCAGAGAAAATTTATTACGAAAAAGATATAGACTCGTGTACGCCAATATGTTGTCGATGGAGCTATTCAGCCGTGGCGCGTGGTACTTGCGTGATATATAACTCGGAATATGAAAAGAAAAAGTACGTTCGAAAAAACTAGTCAGAAAAGAGTATCACTTTTGTGATGCCGAAAATCTTGGAGAAATTTACTCCTGAGCAAAATTCGTTTCAATTTCGAACAGATGTTGTCGTGATAATTTTTGTTATCATCGTGGCCGGTAAGATTTTTGGACTGCAATCAGCTTTAATAAACCCAGTTGAAGTTCTAGTTCTCGTTGCACTTCTTCTGTACAAATTTCGCCAACGAAGTGAGCAGAATGGATCAGCCAGACAAGTAGAAATTCCACCGGAGAATCGGACAATCGCTGAGACAAGTCTCCGGGCGGAGAGAAAGGATCTAGCGAGACTGTCAAACGATTTGAAAACTGTTTCTCATCGAGTTCTGACCAAGCTCAATTCTATTGAGTGCAGAAGCGCCTGCCCTTCTTGCTTGAAAAAGGTAAGGAAAAAACTCTCGGTCACCTCTATTTCTTCAACACGAAAATATCTTGTTCTGACACAAATTTCTAGTTTGACGATGGCGCTCATATTATGTGCATTATCCCCTTTTGCCAACACACAATTTGCATCAACTGCATCCCATTTGAGCCGGAAGCGATGGACTGCCCAAAATGTGGAGAACCCTACTTTTCGTCTGAGATCGAACTCAACGAAGATTTTTTAAACTATCGATATCAGTAACTACTCTGGTCATAATTCATAAATTAATAAACGAAATAAATAAACGATGAATGAATACAATGAAATGATTTTGAATGTATTTAGGAAAGTTCTTACCCCCCTTTTTTATTGGCTCATTGGAAAGAGCGTAAAAAGTTATCCCAGGTTCACCCGAGAAAGGATGAAATTTTCGAAAAAATGATGTCATGGCACGTGACTGAAGTCCCAAAAAACTCAAACTTTCCCGCTCGAGCATTTTCGACTCGTCTGAGCTAATAAGACTTGTAATAGCTCAAAATGATCGTCTCTGCGAGCTCTTGGTGGGCATCGAGTTTTCATCCCTTTTCAACCCTTTTTTTAAATTTCTATTTTTCGAGCAATAGATAAAGGGATGAAAAAGGGTTGAAAAGGGATGAAAACTAGATGCCCACCAAGAGCTCGGCGAGACGATCATTTTGCGCTATTGCAAGCCCTTCTACCCCAGACGAGTCGAAAATGCGCGAACGGGTAAGTTTTGGTACTTTTGGCACTTCAATCACGTGCCATGACGTCATTTTTTTGGAAATTTCATCCTTTTTTGGGCGAATCTGGGATAACTTTTTACGCTCTTTCCAATGAGCCAATAAAAAAGGGGGGTAAGAATTTCACTCAGAAATCCTTATTGAAAATCGTCTAGGCGTAGTGGAGAAAATAAACACAATGTTGAAAATGAAATGAGAGCTGGTACAGGAGGTACAGTAGCTAGGAACAAAATGAATAGAAAAATACGTGGATCTTGAATTTTAACTCCTTCCTGCCGTTTTGTCTTTTGAAAAGCAAAAAGTGACACAAAATGTGACAAGATTACGTGAAGGAGTTAGAGCAAGAGATAACGAAGTAAAAAGGCCGAAATTTTGATGATTTTTTGAAGAAAAAAGTGAAGAAAATAAATAATAAAAATAAGGAACTTTTTAGCAGAAAGGAATTCGGGAAGAGGGATGAAAGACGGAGTTATTCGCTGAGAAGAGCGACTCATTTCGGAAGACGTCGACAATGATTTTGAAAAAAGAAGGGAAGACGTGGTGGATGAAGGCGACTAGATGGGCAGGAGACATTTTGAATTTTTGGGTGGATTGGCCCGCGCGGGTGGAAATATGGGCGTAGAAGAAGTTTTCAATGGAAGTTGCGATGGCGATTTCCTTTTTGCGATCTGCTTTTGCTCCGCCGAGGCGAGCTGAAAGATAAAAAGCGTCATAATTGTTAGCTATCGGATTGTAGATTCGTCTTGTTGACAAATTAACGTTTTCAAAATATGTCCTCTCATGCGAAAAGATAACACTTTGTTTTAAATATAATTTTGAAAACTTGTGAAAAGTTCATATATTTCATACCTGGCAACGGAATATGAACGAGAAGATTTCTGAAATAGTCGATCATGCAAAGAAATGAATCGATCCCATGGAGCTCGTATTCGATTCCCTTTTCGACTATTTTCGTTGTTTTGCATTTGATTTTGAAGTTGTCCGGGAAGCCATCGTTGAACTTGGCGAATTCGGACTTGATCTTTGGAATCCAATCTAAGAAAATGCTTATAAAATGGAAACGTAAAATTTGCTTTGCCTTTATGAATCTTGAATTCGTCTAGATAGATCATTTTCTGCTCGAGCTTTAGGGCACTTTGCGGCTGTCTTGTTCGTATTGTATTGAGAAAGTTCCCAAGTCGTATGATGAAAACCGCCTTGTTTTCGTCAGGAGATTTCAGCGGATCTCCTCCTGGAGTGTGAATAATTGAGTTCGTTAAAGCAGCGAAGAGAGCGTTATGTTCATTTTTCCTAGAAAGGGATAAGAGAAGCGGGCAAACGAGAAAATATTACTCAGAAAGAAATCGAATGAGTCCGGGCATCGAGCGTTCCAAAAGCGCGCCTTTATTTGGATCAAGAAACGGGAATATCTCCCTGAAGATGATCAACAACGCATCTTGCCGCTGAAAATTCTTTTACCTAAGAATTATACAATAGCAATTAACCTGTGCATCAGATAAATCCACGCCATTGTTGTTATCTGCCAAGCTGCAGATTTCCATCTGAGCCAGTGGATTACACTGATAATAGTGTGAGTCTATATTTCGTAATTGTTGAAGAATGAAAATCATCGGCCACTTGTCTATCAAATCCACATGGTTGTAAACCTTTTATTGGACTCAGAAAAAAAACAACCCAAAATAAATCAAATAATTTAATATAATACGAATTGAAGTACGTATTTAGTTTGATACTCAAACTGTGAATTGTAAATCAATTGAACATGATGAAAATCATCAAAGCATAAATTTCCTGAACCCAAAACTTATTTGTTTTTCCTGGCAAAATGACCTTGGAGCCTTCTGCTTTCATATTCTTCTCCAACTCTCTTCGAACCCCTTGATACAGCCCTTGCCCGAAGATAAATTCCTTGACATAAGTCGATATGTTCCTGCCGCGGAAATCCACCAGGTGTTTTTGCAAAATCGTTTCGATTTGCTGAATGTACTGAACAGCGAGTTGTTTCTGTTCGTTGTTCTGCGTCGTTGAGCTCATCTGGCGATCAATGTGATGGATAAGTTCAGTTACATAATTCGTCACGAATTTATTTCGCCCAAGATCTATTCCAGGAACATTTTGAAGCTCTAACTTGTCTCTAGAGAGAATTTCATTGGATTTGAAGAACTGCGACACGCTCTTCCAATCATTGCTTCGATGGAGACCAGAAAACCCTTCTGTTGGTCGAAGAAGCCTGATGATTTGTGAGACGAGTTTTGGATTGAGCTTGTTAGTAAAGTTTGATTTATCAAGGATGAACTCGCACTTGTCGGACCAGCAGTGTTTCGAATGTCGAATGATGTGAAGGGCGATTGTGCCTCCTTCGAAGAAAAGCTCAATGAGGATGAGCCCAAGCGCAAAGTAATCGGGATGCGTATTCTGACGACTTGTTTTCGGACGATAAAGAATTGGACCAGAATCGTCAAGGCGCTTTTGAAAAGCTTTACGTAAGTTATTATTGATAGAGGACGTTTTTCTTTCCTCAGAATATGATCGGATCGATTGCTTGAGAATACGAATTATCAAAAAAAAGATATCTACTATCACTTGTATTTTCTCAAGTTAACGTAAGAACTTTTCCTTGTACGAAAGAAGACCAAAGTCTCCGATCAAAGCCTTCGTATCGTGAATAAAGATATTTTCAGGCTTGATATCATTATGATATAGTCCTTTTTCGGTCAGATAGGCAAGGCCATCGAACATATTTCGAGAGTATTCGAACGACAAGTAGGAGGATTGTTTCGTAGGTTCGGCATCCAAGCGTGAAATGTAATCGTGAAGGTTGCCGCCGTCACAATATTGCATAACGGAAACTTAATCAAAAATACAACACAGACGAGAGATAAATAAATTTACCTAATCTAGTGGAACACCCGATCTCCTGAATCAACGAGAATTTGTTGATTCCCAACAGATTCTTCGCAGTGCTGAAATCTTTCTGAATCTGATGCGATAGCAAAAGATGCTCCAAATAGTGCTCGTTTTCGAATAGGTAAAAGTCTTTTACCACTCCAAAAGGTTGCACGTGATATAATTTTCCGAAGATTTCATCGAGGACCTGCAAGACATTCGGATACAAAATATCGATAGCTTTGTAATTGGCTCATGAACAGTGTAATCGAATAAATGAACTGTTAAAAGGGAGCCATGCCTTCGATGATAATTTGTCTGTCTTCTTTTGCATCATTACTTGGCTCGAACGAGAAAATTTGCTCAGAAATCGCTGGGGTAGGCGGTTGCTGAGGCATAAATTGCGAAGGAGAAGGTGCCTCACTTGACTTCAATAAAGCTTCAATTTCTTTCATTACTTCCTTTGAAATCCCTTTCCTCAATACGGAGGAAGAATTTAAAGATGAATGATCCATTGATTGGCGCATTAATGCCGCCCAGAATCGAACTAGTCCTTCCAAATTATTTTGATAAGTCTCCGATCTCGTTTTCAATTCCGACTTGGCGACAAAAATCGACTTCCAATCACCAAAAGAAGAATCATTGGAGAAAGTCTTTCTCCAATCCTCGCTCCCAGCAAAAGAATCGTCGAGTTTGCGAAGAATAAGGAGGAAAAATTCGCTCTGAAGTTTTCCTATCTTCGTTTTTCGCGGTCCATCAGGGAGCTTCCTCAACGATGCTCGAAGCTCGTACCGATCCGAGATTCGAATCTGGCTGTCGCGAAGCTCAGTGATTTTGCTCCAGTGTCGTTTTATTTCTTTGATGTTCTTTAGATCTTGAAATTTACTCCAATCGATTTCTTTCTCGAGAAAAGATACAGCGGCACGGACAGTAACAAGGATCTTTGGGAAGTGTTCTCGAACCCACTTGGTAAACTGCCCATCTGCGTTCCGCCTTTCTTTTTCATATATGAAATTGGCCATTTTTAAGATCGGAAAATCAGCGTACTCATTATTCTTTGACGCGGGACATTCCATGGTTGAGAAATTCGACCAGCTGCATTCAGACGCAGCTCGTTGGAGAATTTCCTCGAGTTTTTTTAATTTGATTCCGTTCGGATGAAGCTCTGATTTTCGCTGAAGTCGGACGAGTTCTAGACAAATTTCAACACAATTCGCTTCTTCGTCAAAAAGCGGTTCGGCTGTTAGCATCGCCTGAGCTCCATGGCCGATTTTCTTCTTTTCGTCAACCGTCGATCTTGGTTTTCGAAACTTCCGGAATTGAAACATCTTCGATTTTTCGTCTATGGAAACATGGTAGCTGCCCTTGTTTTCAACAGAAATTGCATCTGGATGCATATTTCGAATTGCTTCGAAAAGCGATTTCAGACGAGAATCTTGCTGAGCATATTCATCGATAGATTCTCCTCTGACAGTCCTAAATCCATGGTGACGTGGTCGTAAGCACAGGTGACACAAGAACGTCGAATAGCTGGAATCTTCTGACTTGAGAGAAAGGATCTGCGGCGTTTCAAGACGCAAATTGCAATCGCCAACTTTTGACATTTTTTCGATGAAATCTGTTTTCAACGCTTCATTTCGGAAAATGCGAGCGATGACATCGTCGCAGCTTGAAGATTTTTCGATGATATCGTGCAGCGTTTCAAGGTCATAGAAACAATCTTTAGGAAGATTAGGGAGATCGGAGAAGGAAAAATCGCGGATTTCTAGTTGCTGTTGCTCCTTGGCTTCAAAAAGATTTAGGTTCTCGACAGTGACGCCAGCGCTGAAATCGTCCTCGTGGAGTTCAAAAACATCGTCTGTTGGAGGCCTGAATGTTGGTACCGGTTGTTAGTTTTAAGGTTTAAGCTTCTCATTTAGTACCTTTTGGACTTGTGAGGCAAACTGGGCCTCTGCCTTGAGATCCCCTTATCCCTGTCGTTCCCATTCGAATGTGGATCTAACGAAAGTGACCTGGAAGGTTCCGGCATCGAGAAAAACTCTTCGTTCAACCCTTCATCACCCGGGTTGCTCTTTATCTTGCCTCTGAATTTGAAAATTTGGTCCCGCCGCGCGCTTCTCATGAAGACAATAATAAAAAAGGAAAATGATAGTTACAGAATCAATTTCATCATTGAACGATGAATAATGATTAGGAATTTTTCAAGAATGAGCAGTCGGCGCCAAACTGACCAGCGGCAAGTTCATGAAAGTTCAGAACGAGCTTGATTGTTAGTTTGTTGAAATTAGGATCGGAACGCGAGAATGAATCACGCATCGTGAGAATCTGTAAAATTGAAACAGCGGCACAGAAAATATAGCTGTAATGGGGAGAAAACTGTATTCGTGTCGTCAGCGTTTGGAATGTATGAGCCCTTCCATGAGATCAAATGAGTTGTTATCGGTGTCGATAGTAAGAACTTTAGGGAGTTATTTTTTTACCTGAAACTTTCACGCTTAACGCATTTTTACGATATTTTATGGAATGATCGATGTTCTTAGACTCTTTCTTAGACGTAAAATTTATATAAGAGAAACATTAGCTAACGTTCATAAAGTTATTAATGTCCAATTTGATATGAAAAATAAAATTTGCTTCATTGAACATCGAAACTTTTTATACCGAAAATTGAAGCAAAAATAACTCTTCCTTCGCCATTTTCATTCTCTACCAACAAAAAGCCATCCATGTCAACGCCCTTCACGACTCCTTTCATCCCTTCAAACTTGACATTTTCTGAGCTATGTAGCCATAAACTTTCGTATTCTTTTCTCCATGAGCCGTCCTTTAGTTTTGGCAAGTTTTCTTCGACGTTATTGAAGATCCTTGCCATAAGTTCTTCACGTAAAATTTCAGTTTCTGTTAAAACACACGCTCCTAGAACAAAATTGCATTCACAAAACATCAACAAAAAAAACCTGGGAAAGGCTTTTCATTCTTCAAATTAACACCGATTCCAACACAAACCGTCAGGGTCCTTCCCATAAAACTCGCTCTCGAAATAATCCCTCCGAGTTTGATTTCTCGCTTCCAGTAAATATCATTCGGCCATTTACAGAAGACATTCTCTGATTTTGAAAGCTCTCGCAAGGCACTTACGGCGGAAAGGCCGACCAGATGTTGGATCGCTGCGAGATGCTCATATTCTCTCAGTAGGCCTTGGCAAATATTTGAAAACAAGCGAAATATTCATCACAGAATATTTCCCGCTCTCTTTTTTATTGAAATATTTACCATCTAAAAATTACGAAAGCCGTTCCTAAATCAACTTCAAAGCCAAAACTCATCGCCAAACTTCCCCCTGGAGAGATCCACTGATTCTTCTTCCTCCCTTTTCCGGCTATTTGACTATCCGCGACAACCACCAATCCCTTCCAATCCTCCGATTTATTCCCAAATACATCCTCCGTACTCGAAATCGTCGGGAAATGAATTACCCTCTGTCCAAGCTCTTTACAATCACAGGCAGCGAAAAACTTAGAAAAATCAAAAGCGGATTCGTTTTTCCCATGGTTTTCGGATGAGGATAATAGTTTTTTCTCAGCAGAAAAGTTAACAAAACAGGTTGAAAATCGATCCGCCAGTGTTCCGTCGAAAGCAGTCACGGGCTCAGAAGTGTCGATAGATGTTTTCTTGACAGACCGTGCGTCAGTTAATCCGAATCTATTTAATTCTACGAGTGGTTCAGAAAAAGACAACTTTTTGCGAGAAACCAACCTGCAAAAATAGACTCCTCAATGTCTTTTTCTTCCTCTCGAAGACAGCAGTGGAGCCTTTTTTCGTCAATATATTTCTTTAGATGTTCATTTTCTCTGACACTTTTTTCATATTCGCCCTCGATAGAAATAAGTAGCTTCGTTGAGTTAAGCCAAGCGACAGAATTCGGATAATCATCTGACGAAAAAATCGTTAATTATTTATTTCGTTCTCTATTTTGGGGCGATAGTCTTCGTTGACTTCAAAATAGAATTTACCTAATGTATGAAAAACGAATGTTTCTGGACAAAGAACCGCTCTCGTTGCTTTTAAAATTTTCTCGCGCATATAGCTCTTTGAAGCAATAATCAGTACATTACTCATGCTAAAATTAATTGGAAAAGATTTCGGTGCTTTTTCACATTTTACGACTGTTTTGGCGCATCAAAACAAGCAAAATCGGTGTCTTCTTTTGTAGGAAAATAAATAACTGTATTTGAATAGTAATGGTAATTAATTTGCATAAGTATAAAAATAGATTTTTACAGAAATTGAAAAGATCATCGTCGGAATGGCTTGAAGTCCTCGTCGTCTGATTCAGCTGGATCATCGTCGGAGTTGAAGAATTCGTCGTTTTCAGCGTGGACCATTCGCGCTACGGATTCTCTCCCAGCTGATGGCTGAAAAAGTCGCATGATTTCTCGAAGTTCTGAAGAACGAGGGCTTACCTTCAACGGTGGAAGACCTTCAGACTTGACTGCTGGAATCTCCGAATTTGCGATCGGCGAAACAACTCTTTCTTTAATTCTTATCGAAGCTTTGTGCAGCGTCAGCGGTTGTTGCTCGATCTTCCTTCTTATAAACGCCTCATCCTTGATCTCGTGCAAGCTCGCTCTCAAAATCTCAAATCGCCGCTCCCAGTTCTTGTTCACTTTAGCGTGCTCTTTTCTGAGTTTCTCGAGCTCTGCTTGCATGTCGCCATCAGCGTCAACAGCCTCACGCTTTTCGCGTTTTGCATTCTTTTCTGGCGTTTTTGCTACAGACTCTCGTCGAACGGGAGCGATGGATTTTTTGCGAGGTGGTGGTGGAGGCGGAGCTTTTTTAGCTTCTTCGAGCTAGAGAAAACGAATAGCAAGAAAACCTTATAAAATGCTGAAAAATTAAAACCCTTGTTTTCAAATAAAAATTGCTCACCTTTGCTTGAAGAGTTTCGATCGAAGCCTTGAGCGTTGCGATTTCTTGATCTTTCTTTTGAATTTCGCTGCCCATCGAGCTCTGCGCATTGTTGACCGCCTCGTCCATCTTCTTCTGAAGAGCTTCAAGTTGCTGATTCGCGTGCTTTGTCAGATCCGATTCAAGCTGCTTCATTTCTTTCTGGTGAGTCGCTTGGGCCTGTTGCATTCGCATATTTGCTTCATTCAGCGCGATTCTTAAATATTCAATAAGATTAACGATCAAAAAGAAATAAAGAAAACTTACTGAAGCTGACTGCTCTTCATCACTTCGTCCTTCACTCTGGTCTCTAGTTTCTTGACATTTTCATCTGCAGCAGCGAATTTCTTCTTCTCCTTTTCAAGGTCGATCGCTAAAGTTTGATTCTCGTTACTGACGCGTTCCAGCTTCTTTTTCGTTTTGGATAATTCCGCTTTCGCTGCATCAAGCGCTGTATTGTCGACGATTACTGTAGCGAAGATTTACAACTGTAGAGAAAAAACAAACGCAAGCTAATCGGTTAGCGGACATTATAAACAAACGGACATTATAAACAAACGGACATTATAAACAAAACGGACATTATTAACATTTTTTATTTTATGAAAATCAGAACGGACATTATAAACAAAACGGACATTATAAACAAACGGACATTATAAACAAAATAAAAAATGTTTATAATGTCTGTCTGTTTATAATGTCCGTTTTGTTTATAATGTCCGTTTGCAATTTCGGAATTCCATTTGAATCGTTACAAAGGATAAACCCCCTACTTTCATCGGTATACACACTTAAAGTGACCCTCCCTCGAGAAAATTTTTTTGAAATATGAATCGAAAAAATTTAACCTATGATAAAATTTTTGATTAAGAAAGTCTATCCCTGCTAACGCAATGAGTTTGCTACTTAAAAATGTAAGTGTACTCGAGGATTTGCTGTCAGATTGGGGGACGGGCGGCTACATTACAAATTTGCAACGCCGTTACAAAAATTCAGATTTTTTCGCAATAAAAATTATTTTCGATTCCGTAATTTTTATCATTTTGGACAGAATTAGCAAAAAGGTTAACCAAAAAGTAGTTTCCTTCAATTCAAGCGCGAAGCGCACACTCCTTCAATGATTTTGATTTTGAATCGGGACGTTCAATAGCTCTTCTGAAAGCTGGTGTGCTATCCGCTATTTTCTAGTACAGAGAAACAATTTGCTCAAGGCAAACCTACCTCTAGGAGGTGCCAAAATTCAAGAAATTCGAAAAAACGCCATTTTTGGCCATTTTTGAATAGAAATTCAGGCTTAGATAGGCTCGATCTGAGCTAAGATTTAGGTAGAATAGAGCTTAATCTTTAATTTTTAGTACAGAACGCCCATTTGGTCAAGTTATAAAAAAAGTTTCTTAAGAACAACCATCTGTAGCTATTTTTGGCGTTCTTGGTCTTTCATTGCTCTCTAGCGCCAACAAATGGGCAAAAATTTCTTATGCGGTTATTATATTTTTAATCGGCAGATTCTAAGCTTTCAAAAGACCCCTTATGGCTTATTTAGATGACAGTAAAAAACCGAAAATACTCGGATTTTCACGCTAAGTACAATTTATATGCATTTTTGCAATTTTTGAAGGCCAAAATCTCGGGGATAGATGTTCGTAAGGGGGTCATGTGACACATCAAAATGATCCTCAGAAAACTGGGAATCTAAAAATGTCAAACATAGACCCTTATCAAAGAGTTGAAAAAACAGGGGGGATCCCTTAAGTGTGTATAGTTTATCCTTTGTAACGATTCCAATGGAATTCCGAAATTGCAAACGGACATTATAAACAAAACGGACATTATAAACATTTCTTGAATTTCTGAAAGTGACAACGGACATTATAAACAAAACGGACATTATAAACAGACAGACATTATAAACATTTTTTATTTTGTTTATAATGTCCGTTTGTTTATAATGTCCGTTTTGTTTATAATGTCCGTTCTGATTTTCATAAATTAAAAAATGTTTATAATATCCGTTTTGTTTATAATGTCCGTTTGTTTATAATGTCCGTTTGTTTATAATGTCCGCTAACCAAGCTAATCTATGTAAATCATTCCTTTGGGCGTTTTGTTCTTTTCAAGTTCTTCCTTCAAGTAATCATTTTCTGCGGTCAACTGCTGTATTTGAATCAATAATTCGCTGCTCGTATCGCCGGAATCTACCGGTGGTAGAGAATCGAAATTCGGTAGAGTTCGGTTTTGATTTGCCTTGTTGAAGATTTTCTTCAGCTCCATGTCATAATATTCTGAAAACGAATAAAAAGGAGGATTTTTGGGAGAGGGGTACCTTTGTACTGTGATTTGATTTTAGCAATAGCATCGTTGAGTTGACTTTTTGATCCTTCCCGCGTCGCTAGAATTCGCTTCTTTGTATTGTCTGTCGAGTTCTCTATTTGTTCTTTCGTATATCATAAATGCCTGAATAACGAGAATAAAAACTGATGCAAGAAAAGTCAGTGTTACCTTTTCGGTAATATTTTTGTGATAAATAGCGTCGACGGTTTCCCATGAAAGACCCTGCTTCTTCTCGACTTCGGCCATTTTGGCTTTGAGTGTTTCAGCAAGTTGCATGAGATCTTTCATCGGGTAGATTTCATTTGCATCAGTTTGGGCGCAGTTGTCGCGAATTTTTTCGCCGACCCATTTCTTTTCGCTGGCGAATTTGGGATACCATGTTTCGTGCTGTTCATTAAGCAGGCCCTAGTGATAAGGTTAACATTATTTCGTATGGGATTTAAGCTAAACAGATGAGTTGACTCTATATGAATATAATTTTTCCTCGAATTTTCAGTTTGATAAGAATCAAGTATTTACCTGTAAGTACATGGTATCCTCCTGGTTGAACTCCGATCTGAGAAACTGCTCCGTCAGAAGCGGCGTGCTTTGGCTCACCGCTCCATTCTCGGTCGGAATTCTGGCATTGAAGCCGACCGGCTCCGACCTGATCCCAGTTGGCAGGTCGGCCTCGCTCTCGGTCAGTTGAGACAACTGGGACCGAGAGGTCAGCGACGGAATTAACACACTAGAACGATCCTCTAGCAGTTCCATCGCATTCTTTTCAAATCTCAATTCAGAAAAAGTGAATTTTCTAACTGACCATTTTATGAAAAACAAAGAGGATGAAAAAGAACGTTCTAGAGAAAAATATTTATTTGGACATCTGAGAAGGCATATAATAAAAGTCGTTTCCTTTGAAATCGTTAATGATTTTTAATTTTTCGTTTTCAATTTCAATTGGGCGGACTCCTTCTTTTTTCATTCGAGCAACTTCTTTTTCCAAATAGTTTTCGATTCGCTCTAAAATGGATTTTTTTCCCTAGCTCTTTCATTTCGGCGTTTACCTGTTCTTTCGTCCATCATCCTCTGCGTCTCCGTTCTTACAATGTTGTACGCAACTGGGTCCAATTGTCCGGCAAGATGGCTAGCTCCAGTTTCGGGCGAGTAAACCACTTTCAAATTATTCCTGGGAAAGAGTTAGAAAGATGATAATAGATAAATCAGTACTTGACAATATGCTTCATTTTAGATTTGAGCATCGTTCGACGATCATTTCGTTGGCGCCAATTATGACGCATCGTCGGCCCTAAATTTTGTTTAGGAAAGGAAATTAACATTTTATTCAAAGCAATATTTTATGAATAAATTTTTTTATACAATTTAAAATGAAACTTGTTCTATGGAAGACTGGCCATATTCGCGGATTGATAGGCTACCTGTTGAATGCTGATTATCGCCCTTGAATCTAATCGACTGGAGAAGCACACTTGGCCGATTCAAAATTATCCGATTCATGTTTTTTTTTCTAAAATGAAACTTCTTAATAAATAGTTGTCGGTGTCATTTCCCCAATAAATCAAATATAAATCACATTTGAAATTCAATTTCGGCTAATTTAGTCTTCATCATGCAAAGTATGGCAGTTTCCAGGGCAGTTTTGAACAAGATCATCACTATCGGTAAATTTTACAGCGCAGTAGACGCAGAAAAAGTACTTTTCTCGAAGATATTCCGTTATTTCAACAATCAGTTTTTCTGAATCAAATTCATCTAAGCCATCTTCTTCCCGGTCGTCGTGGAAGGACTGGTCGGTTTGGTCGATGAGCCTGGCTTTCTTGGCAGTAAGAGAGCGGACAACTCCGGGAGGCCAGAAAAAATCGGATTTTCGGGACCGAGATTCTTGTGAGTCAAGATCGTAGCAGGATTTTTGAGCTTTTCGGATGAATTTTACGAGCGTGTTTTCTGAAGAGAACTGGTATTCACGAGATAATCAGAAGACAAAAAGGTAATGGAGTAAAAAAGGTGTTTTATCTATTTCTAGGGCAAGTTTACCGATATTTTTCTGTCTCGTAGTATTCTTAAAGCTCTTCGTAGTTTGTTCTTCCGCCATCTTCCTCTTCAAATTGATCTGATTTATCCTCTCTTCGTTGATTATCTTCTGCTGCCTAGCGGTTGCTATTCCGATTCCTTTCTTGTCTTCTTTCACTTCTCCAATTTGAACTGGATTTCTTCTTCCTTCGCCGTCTTTTCCGAGACCAGTGCCGATTTTGAAACCCATTTTCTGCATCATCGCGAGTCCCTTATTTTCTGGCTCGTTTACTATCATCGAAGTTGACAGAGCTTCCTTTTTTTGTGGATTAAAAATCTAGTTTGTTAAATTTTTTTCAATAATGAAAAGAAATCCGTTCCTCTCGAATGTCAACCATCAGTTCAGCGATCTTCTTCCTCGCAAATTTATTCTTTTGCATTTCGCGATGCTCTCTATCTTTTTGCTTGGTTAAAACTTTAGCTTAGAAAAACCCCATCAAAAGAAGGGTGAAAAAGTTACCTTGATCTTTTCTTCCTTCATCAGTTTTTCCGCTTTCTTTCCTTGAATTAGCCCCGGGCGAGTGTCTTCCAGTTTGCTGAGAAAAGCGTCGGACATGTAGTCATCTTCGGAATCGGACATTCTGAAGATTATTCTCTTCTCTAAATTCTCTCTTTCAAAGATCACTCAGAAATCACTCAGAGAGACGAAATCTCGCAATTTTTTGATTGGCCCGCGCGTCGCTCTCTCCAAAGTCGCCTTTCAGAATCGTCGAAATATGGAATTTTTCTAAATTGCGAAAATCAAATAAACAAAAGTCGAAATTTCACGGATTCAAGGAGACAGAAAGAATTATGAAAGCGTAAAGAAGTTTTTCTAGAGATGAAAGAAAGGATAAAGTTACGAAGAAGGGATTAACGGTGAAGAAATCGCGGTGGAAACTTTTCAAAAGGTAAATTCGTCAAAGAAGCATATTTTAGAAAGAATTTTTTGGTAAAAATTAGATTTTGTAAAATAAATATTTTCAAATATTTCCCGATAAAATCAATACATTATATCAACTTGATGACTTTTTTGATGATTCCCTGTCATGGAAAACCTATTTTTCTTCGCAAAATCAACTTGGTACTGTTAAAATTTCAAAAGTAGACATTACGTTGTCTATAGACATTTTCATCTGACCTTTTGTGTGGTCCAATTTTCAAGTTTTCGAATTTTTATTCTCCGAAGTTTTTCGAAAATTGTCATTTTTTCATTATCAAAATACTTTATTGAGGTAAAAATATGCAGAGAATAATTTCGAACCCTTTCTTCCAATCATCTTTATTTTCATATTTTTATTTTCTTCACGAGACATCTGCCCGGTGTAAGACGGGATTATTAGCCCCGGGCTGAGTGTCCAAATTCATACATGTTTATACATTCAGGTTGCAATTTTTCTAAATGGATCAAGAGTCACTTGCCGAAGGTTCAATTTCCCCAGAGTATATCTCCATTCACTCGTCGGATCCTGCACTTTCTGAAACAAACGGAGAAGAGAGATCACCTCGAGAAATGTCCGAAAACTCAAGTTCGAGAACGCGGAAGAAGCCAAAATCGGCGCTAAAACCGGCGAAAGAGAGACCGAAACCGCCACTTACAGGGACGGGCTTATTTGATGAAAGGCGAGTGCTGGCTAATTCAATTAGAATTTGTAATAAGGTGAAAAACAAATTGACCCACGCGGGAATCATAAATGATAAATCAAGACGTTTTCACCTTTTTTGCGAGAGAAGGAATGAAGACCGAACTATTTCTAATTGAAGATAAGGTGCTCTCAGAGCACTGCTCCGAATAAAGCCGCATGCGGCTTTTCTGGCCATCTTGCATAACGCAGCCGCGAATATTCTCTTTGATCTTTGGATAAATATTTTACCTCGGTGAACGGAAAAAAGCCATGAAAAAAGACGAATCGAATCGAACTAGACGGTTGGTCTTCCGGGAGGTGCTTGAGGAACACTCAATTTTGAAGAACTTTTGGGATTATCCACGCGAGAAGCAATCGGCTGAATATGTTGAAGCAGCGTATTTTGCAAGCTGCCAATTAGCCTCCGTCCAGCCTAATGACACGGATTCTCAATTTCATTCAAATTACAGTAAATTAATTGCAAATTTATAATTTCTGAGGAAGTCACTTGAAATTTGCGCGGTTTTTTTTATATCAAAGCTCGGAGCCGCAAAATTATGAATTTTCCGAATCCGTTGTACAGACAGCATAATAAAACAAATCCGCGAGCTTTCAAAGCTGGCGCAAATGGACCAACGAACCTTTTACCTCGAGCAATCGGCTTCGCTGAAAGAAATGGACGCGATCGAAAGCATTTTCCGTCACTTCCAAATGAACACTGTAGATGTCCAACGAAAACTAAACGATGATTCAAGCGCTAGTGCGTTGTTTGATATGCTGCTGTTTTACGAATCGACGAGTTTATTGAATTGCTCGAGGAATACGATGGGCGCGAGTGCTTGGATTAGTCTTTCGCAGCTGGTGAAACGGAGTGAAAGGAAAAGGGAAATAATTCTTTCGGGAAGATTCATTTTGAGATCACAAAAACGAAATCTGAATAGAAACTCATTTACTGCGACAAATTCTCATCCCTCAAAACAGACTACACACGCTGAACGCCTCCTACAACCACATCCCCGACGCGGTGATTCCTCCCTTCTCGAGGGCCCTCAGATCCTCACTCAACTTGTCGGTGCTTCATTTAGAAGGAAAGTGTTGAAACACATTTTTATTTGAATCCCCTTTTTCCGGGCGGAAGTCCTTAAAACCGAACCACTTAAAAGAACACTGAAAAAGGATGTCATCTAACTGGAAGATCAATTGCGTTAATTTGCGCTGGGCTGAGGACAAATCAAACGTTGACGGAGCTGCATCTCATGGACAACAAGCTGACCATTCCAGGTTTTAGCCTTCTCTCTCTTTCGTTCTCATACCTTTTCCTTTAGACACGCAACACATCCGCGCGCTTCTAACGCTTTCGAAAACGCTAACGCTGCTCGACCTGCGGAACAACCAAATCCAAGACTCAGGCCTTTTCCACCTCTGCGACGGGCTCAAACATGCGAATTGCAAGCTTGAAACGCTCTGCTTATGGAATAATCAGCTGACTGCTGTGGCTATGGCGCCGCTTACAGAAGCACTTCTGGAGAATAAGACGCTTTCGATGCTTAATTTGGGCCAGAACGCTATAATGGATCAAGGAAAAGCTTCAAAATTTTATTATTCAACTTTGTTAAATTGTATTCTTTATTGAATCAAATATTTCAAAACTTCAAAAAAGGTGCTAGCACGTTAAAAATGGGTCTCCAAGGAAACTCAACTCTCCGCCGCTTAGGGCTCGTTGGCTGCAAGCTCTCAGATTGCGGAGTTATCGCCATCGCAGAATATCTGGCTGAAAGTAGCGCGATTCAACGACTAGACTTGAGAAATAATGACATCAGTTTGGGAGGACTGATGGCGCTTTCGTTGTCGGCGCGGGAAAATAAGTCGGCGAAGCGGATTGATTTGGACAAGCCGGCGAAAGATCCTGACTTGCCGCAGGAACTGCTGCAGAGACAGAATGAACTGTGGGATGATTTGGGACTCTATGCGATGCGGAATAGAGGCGCCGAGATGACCAGGACGATGTCTGAAGGATAGGGTCTATTTTATGATGAAAATACAATCATGTCGAATTAGATAATAAGATATTTACCCTTTGAAAAGCCACAGTGACAAGTCCCGCCGCCCAAAACGGCGAGCATCAGACGATCGAATTCGACTACCGCGACGAACCAACTCAACTGTGCTCAAAGCCAATTCCCATTTCGCCAAAACAAGCGCTCGACGAGCTCGATGTTGAGAAAAGTCTTCCTCCAGCGAGTCCGCCGAAAGACGAAGAAGGTTCGCTGCCGCTAGAAAGCGAGGAGAATCCTCTTGATCTACATGTATCCCGCGACGAAGTCGACACTCATGAAAAATTCGATGTGCAATCTGAAGGTCTAAGCGAATAGAAAAACTGATTTGTTCCTTTTTCAAATTACACTAGAACTAGCCAAAACAATCTAATTTTATTGTTTCAACTTTCAAAACATTTTTGCTAAAATTTTAAACCTGCGTTTGTCTCCTCATCTGTTCCGATTATCACTTTTTCGTTTCTTTATTTTTCTTTCTCCAAAGTTCCAATTTTCTTCTATGTTTATTTTCTTTATTCGTTTTAATTATAATTTTCACTTTTTCTGTTGTTTCAAGGTGATGTGCATTTTCGAACAAAATTTTAATTTTGTGTTTTTAATTTAAAATTTGAAGATTATTATTTATTTCGTTATTATTGTCTATTTAGAGCAAAATTAATAATTTATTAAAATATTCCAATTCTAGCTTCTTCGCTCGCCAAATTTAATTTTTATCAAAAATAGTTTCAAATTGAGATTTCTTTCCGTTATCAACGTCAAAGTCATGTAACAATCTGTATTTTATCAGCTTCAATAATAGAATACAAACATTCATACATTCAGCTCAGTCTTCTTCGATTGTTATTATGTCTTCTAAATCGTAGGTTTCACCACAGTCCTCTCTTGGGCAGAATATAATTGAATGACTTCCTTTTGATTTTTTTTCTTCCTGTAGTTTGCTCCTCAGACATTTGCGGCAGTACATGTGCCCACAGTCTTTCTCAATATGGATTCAATTTTTTACGATTAACTGGGAGCTCGGATTTTAGGCCCTAGAACCAAGTGCATCGTTATAGCTGTTTTCCTAATATTTTGGATCCGTTGCAAGACAGCAGCCTGATTGAAAGATGATTCGGAGTACATTGAATCGTACAATAAATTACAAAGTTGACAAAAATATTTCGGATTCCCCTTATCAGCTACTGGGTATCTGTCAAGATAGTTCTCGAAAGCTCTTCTTGTATTTAGCATTTCCGCTTCCGCCTCCTGGAGATAGTATTTGAGTTCTTCAGCTTTTTGATACAACCAATTTTCTGAAGAAGGAAGATTTACGTCCATGGCTTTCCTCCATTTTACGAAACCGGCTTCGAGTTCGTCTTTTTCAAAAGTGCTTTTTTGCAAGATTTCGAAAAATTTATCGACGGATTCGCGCTGCTTTTTTAACTCTTCGGATAGATTTTCGACAACTATGAGTTCCTCTTTCTTCGCCTTTAGAGACGCAGCAAGCTGGCTTATTTCGTCTCTAGTATTCTTCAACTTTTTAAAATCATCTTCGACAAGCTCGAATTTCTCTATCGCTTTCTTTGGAATTTCCTCATCATTCAAGCTCTCATTTTTCCGTTTCCGAGTCTCCATTTTCGTTTTTTTTTTATTCCAGTGGAGTCTCTTATGCTTTCAGTTCCGGCTAGATATAAAAGGGATGTCTTTCCCTTTCGGGGGGAAGTAGTGAGTATCCACTAGCTTCATGATACTATACTTTATGACACTCTCATAAAGTCTAAGTGTGTCATTATTTTACGGAAACTCCAAAGATATTATACTCACACTCAATATTTGAAGATTGAATGGCCGGAAGGAGGGATGTGTGGCGCTTCGACACGCCATTTATTACCAGCGACTATCGAAGATCAAATCGTCAGTTCCGAGCTTTAGGTAATTCAGCTACTTTCTTTCTCTATGAAAAATACAGGTCCAAATTCAGTGGGAACTCTATCACTTGCCGGCGTCGCTCTTTTTCTGTTTTGTCTTCTTCTTCCAAGTAAGCATTTTTCTAAAGAAACTGAACAAAAAAAAAACAACTAAGATGCTTCCACCGATCCTTCCATTCTTGCCGTCCGCAGCGGCTACAACGCTACCTATCCTCTCACACAGCCTGTATATACTGGACACGAAGTCCTCTTCAAAATCGGAATTATTTCTGACCCCGACAAAGCGAGTCGCTCCGACGATTCTGTAAGTACTTATCAACAAACCTCTTGTCACCAGAATTTTCAGTACAAATCCTACATGAAATACGGCTACCTAACGATCAATCAAAAAGAAAAGTCAGCCAAAGTCTCTTGGACAAAACCGGAAATGGTGAAATCAGGCTATTCGCTCTCCGGAAGAGGGATGGAGCTCTCAGATCTGATTGTTTTCAACGGCGATATTTTGACAGTGGATGACCGGTTTGTTGCATTAGAACTTTGATTTGCTTATCATCTTTTTTAAGATCCGGAATCGTTTTCAAAATCATTCCAACATCAAAAGGCCACAAACTCGTTCCCTGGCAAATTCTCAGCGACGGAGACGGACTCCAAGAAAAGGGCTTCAAAGCAGAATGGATGACAATCAAAGACAACTATCTCTACGTCGGTGGTCTTGGTAAAGAATGGGCAGACTCGAACGGGAATATCTTCCACCGAAATCCAGAATGGGTGAAGAAGATTTCACCCGCGGGAGAAGTTCAACATCTCAACTGGGGAGCGAATTTTGACAGTTTGAGAGGCGCGCTTGGTTACACTTATCCTGCTTATTTATTGCATGAAGCGGGGAACTGGAGCCCTGGTGAGATTTCAACAAATGATAGAGATGCTGAATGAAATTATAGTGCACAAGAAATGGTTCTTTCTTCCGAGAAGAACTTCTATGGAGCCGTACGATGAAGTTCTCGACGAGCAACGTGGAGGAAACATTCTGATTAGAGCGAATGAAAATTTCACGGGAGTTCAATCGACGACCATTGGTGAGAGTCGGCCTTCCAGGAACGGACTTGATTCATCTTTCAGCTTTTCTTCGAATAGAGCTTCTTTCTCAAGTTTTTTCTTAGAGGTTTTTCCGCCTTTCGATTCATCCCTGGGACAGATGACAACCTGATAATCGCCCTGAAGACTGCAGAAAATCCCGAAACAAAAAAGATGAAAACATACGTCACGGTTTTCACCGTTGACGGCCAGATTTACCTCGATGATCAACACGTGGAAGAAGACAAATATGAAGGCATCGACTTTTTGTAGATTTCAACATTTTTAACCCTCGCTTCTGCCACTTACAGTACAATCACTTAGTGCAATTTCTGTATGATCCAGAATCAGTTCCTTTTTCGGAGCGAAATATGGTGATAAAAATGGGAAGCCCCATGTATTTTATTAGAAAATATATTGAATCTTCAACCTTCGACTTTATGGCTGGGCAAATGCTGTTAATACTTCGTTACGACTCAAATAAACTTAATATCAAGCTTCATCCCTCATTTATATTTTCAAATGATCATTTTCAAATTGCAGAATGTGGCTCGAAGAGCTACCAGTTGAAATCTTACTCAAAATATGCGATTCGCTCAACGTTGAGGACTTAGGGAGGGTTAAAAACTTTTCAGCCTTTATCAAAAGATTCCTTGAATTTCTAATCCTAAAAGTTCTCTCTCTTCGTCCGATTTCCGATCAGCTTCAATCCGATATCGATAATCTAGCGCTCGATAAAGTCTCAAAAACTGCCATTACCATCGACGGCCGAGGAGTACACAACAAGTCCTCACACAACAAAGTCCTCCAAACAATCAGATTATTGAAAAAAATCGGTCTTGCGAAGAAAGTGTTTCTTCAAAATTTCAATCTTCGGCCGATGCAGATTCCTTTTTCGTCAAATATTGTCGTGTTGAATGTCAAGGACTGCTGCAAATTCCGCGTATTGGATTTTGAATCAGTCGTCAATAAATGCCATTCTTTGGAGCAGTTCTCGTTAGACTTGATAGAAGATATTTCATGTAAGATCAAATAAAAATCGAAAAAATAAAAGGTTCTCTAAGGCCTTTCGGAATATATAGACAAAAGTTCAACGCTTCGAGAAGGACTGAAGCGACCATTAAAATTTTTGATGATTCGATGGAGAGCAACTCTTCCAGGGGGAAGCAATGTAGAACGTAGTCGAGAGTTCTTGAGCAAATTTGTCCGGTATTCGGAGCTTGAGCTCTTTGTGTCTATCATAGGAAGGGGCTCTTGTCTTTTAGGAATTCTTTGTTTCACGGGATTTTTATCGAGCCTCTCAAAAGCTAAACGAAAATATGATAATCCCTCGGCTGCGTGTCCCAGAGAACTTGGTGGAGAAAACCCTATCGTTTACTGCACTCCGACGAATAGCTACTGTTTACCTGGGTTAAAGCGTTTTGTCATGAACAGCAGAGAGGATCAAGAAGGCCAAAACTACAATGACATGAAAATCAAGTCGCTTGTTCTTCACGATCCTGTTTTAAAAGTGGAGGACTCGGAATTCATGTGTGTCCCTCGTGGCGACGGAACCGCTAGTATCGGAGAACTGCCCTTTCCAATATATAAATCGCTGCATCTCGACCACGATAAAATTCTCTACGAATCAATAAGTACCATTGCGATGCACTACCAAGAGCTGGAAGTTCTCTCTGTTTGCGACCTACTCCATTGTATTAACTTTCACGACTGGGATTGCCTAGCTGATCTTCCCAATTTGACGAGCTTTTCACTACACGAGCACGTGAGAAACAAGAATTGCGCATGTGGATCAAAGGTTGCGGCGTTCAAGGATATGTGGGATGGTCTCAGTGAACTATTAAAGAACCCGAATAACAAGTTGAAGAAAATCAGCTTGCCGATGGTTCCCATGTCTGCCGAAACAACGCAAAAATGTCTCGATAATGGTGCTCGATCTTTAAAAGAATTAAGAATAACTGGTGCTATAATTGATCGGCCGAAAAGAGCCGCAGACGGCGCTAGAAAGTACAACTATTACGTATTTGAAGACCAAACTCCCTTTCTTTCATTACAGAAGATGACCAATCTGACCCGTCTTGAGCTGCTAGAACTACCGACTGTAGAAACGTCTTGGATTGGAGCTCTCAAGAATTGCAAATGTCTCAAACAATTGTCCCTCTGTTGGGTTGGTATTTATGGCTTGTGGAACTGGAGATCTGCGCTCGCGGACTTTTTGGATGACCCACCGGCGCTAGAAGATTTGAAACTGAAAAATGATTGCTTGAAAATTACCGAGGAAATGTTTCAGAAGTTCCCAAAAACATTGCTGCGTCTATTGATTTCCTCAAAGAAGAGATACGACCCTACTTACATCAATGAAAAACAAGTCAATCAAGGTAATTAGCGAAATTGTACATCAGCGCTTTATTCTTGTTTAGACGCTGTAATGAACCCTGCGAATCTTCTTCAAGTCTGTGATATCCTCCCGAAACTCCGACTGCTTCACATAGAATCTGGGACTTCTGAATTCGCTGCTTTGAAAATCAACAAAGCCGCATTGGAAAAGAAAATTGGCGAAAAAGAAAGACTGATGCGCGTCATTTTGCGAAAAGTATTCGACGGGCCTGCAGAAGATAAATTGCCAGAAAGAGATGATATTTTTGTTCAAGATTTTCCTGAGCTTCGCCGTGAATTACCCGATATTCTGCGAGCTTCAACGCCATTTACGTTCTAGCGCTTCTCCTGCCTGAATAATAATGATAAATAATGAAGTTTATGTTTCGTAAAAAGACCAATTTTTAGAAAGAAAATGTCGAAGTCGTCCTCAAACCTGGGCCAGTCAGCCCAGTTCGCCTTTCTTTCCAGTCTCAGTGTTATTTTTCCTCGAATCATTTCCTTTTGCCTCCGCGGCACACTCGTCCGGCTAGCTGGCTTGGAATTGCTTGGATTGTTATTCGTCAGATTAGAGCTTTTGTCGACCACGATTTTGTTCTTCTCGCGAGAGTCTATAAGACGTGCTTCTATCGGCGAGACGAGCAGCTCCTTCAGACATTCAATCAATCTTGCATGGTTGTTTCTTCCGATTGGCCTCTTGACTACAGTTATTTGCGTTCCTTTTTGGACTACTCTTACAGTAGAAGAGGAACTGAAATCCGATTATTCCCTTGCTTGCTGGCTAATTGGATTATCCGCGATTCTGCAAATGTTTGAAGAGCCAGTCTACTTTTTGAGCTCGAAGGAATTGAGGCCCAAGCCGAAGACGATTTCTGAAGCTTCGATGCTTGTCTTCAGGTAAAGTTATTTACGAATAACATTGATTCAAAAACTGCTGATAACCCATTGTTCAGAGCGTTTGCATATGTTCTCGCAGCGATTCTACGCACAAATATTCTATCATTTGCATTCGCCCATGTTTTATCAAGTGCCCTGTGCGCATTCATCCACTACTATCTATGGATTGGGGATCCTGATCTTCCAAGAGAACTGAAATCCCCAAAAGATCTTCTCCCCTCAAAATGTGTCAGAAGCAACAGCTATTTCGACAAGAAGCAAATGTCTCGCATGGGGTCATTCTACATCCAAGGCGTTTTCAAGAACATTTTAACTCAAGCTGAAAGATATGTGGTCACGTTTTTCGATGTCATGAGCCTCTCGCAACAAGGACTGTGGGATACGGTCACTTCGATCGGTGCTCTCTTTCCGAGATTCGTTTTCAAACCGCTCGAAGAAGGATTCCACCTTCATTTCTGCAAGAATAAAACCGAGGCCGACAAAGACTTGCCCGTGATCTTGAAGCTGTCGATAATTATTGGATTATTCGCTGTTGCTATCGGAATACCACAAGCTTGGTCAATTTTATTCGTTTATGGAGGGGAGCAAGTCTCGGGTGAATACGATCCCAGCGGATCCTTTTTCCTGAGATTTCTTGGTAAAGAACTTTCCATACTCAACAGTCATTTATTCCTATTTCTAGCGCTGCAAGACTTCAACAACCCTGCTTTCATCCTCCAGCTCTGTCTTGTCAATACAATGGCCTGTGCAATGAATGGCATTCTTGAAGCATACATGTTCGCGGTTATGACTACGGAAGAACTCAATCAACATAACTCGACGCTTCTGATATTTTCTGTTCTTTTCATTTTGGGAACCGTCACGCTTGGAAAAATGTACCTGGCTTCGGGGCTCTTGTATGCGCAAATTTTAAACATGCTTCTTAGGCAAGGATTTCTTTGACAAAAGAGAGTAGATACCAATTATCCTCTATAATATTTTGCCGAGTTTAAATCAAAGTCTTTGATTCAAAGATAAAAATCCTCCACCAGAATTCTTCATTGCTGCCGATTCGCCGCAATCCGAAACAATTCCTCCTCCTGGCTTTCCATTCTCTACAAAAGTTCACCATCTCGCGCAACCCTTTCTGTTTTCTGTATCTCCTCCTTTCTAGCACACTTCTCCCACCCCTACATTTTCGCGCTTGTTCCCACCACTAAGCTTTCCATCCTTTTCCACGCTGGATTCGGCGCAGTAACTCTCGTCTTATGCGCTGCAGCGAGCTTGTTTTTCGAAAAAGATGTTCTTGCACTTTTGTCTTCAATGGGAATTGTACAGACTGTGTTCAAGTACCTTCGCGTTTTTCGCGGAAAGCACTATTAGCATTTCAAAACATTACCTCTTGTTTTTTTCTATCAGTTCGAAATTTCTGTATTGCAAAAATCGCTTCTATATTTATACTCTAGTGTTTAAGCAAGTATTTAATATTTAACAGCATCCTGAAGCCTTCCTTTACCTAATTCTTCAGATATGGTGACAAAACCGCTCTTGAAGTTCATCTCCGAGAATAAACTACTGTCGTCCTCCGAGATAATCTCCCTCCACTCGTTTCTCGGCCCAGAATCCGGCTCCAACCCCGACTCCGGAATCCCAAATCCAGACAACGACCAAGAATTCATCGACGCGGTCAAACTGCTGAAGGCAGAAAAAGCCGAAAGGATCCTACAAGAAGCTGAAAATCGTCTCAATCGAACCCTAGAAATTCTCGAAGACGACCAAATGCGCGAAGAAATGCGAAACATTTCTTTCCAAGAAATGATCATTAATCGCCAGCTCATTGAAAAACCAGCTCCTTCAAGGTTTATTTCACCCCTTTCTATTTTCAATACTCATTTATTTTTCTAGCGCTGAGCCGAAAAGAATGCACTCGGCAAAGGTGATCAGAAGAGTTGCTTCAGATGCAACTGGCCTTCCTTCCCGCGCTAGAAATCGCTCTTTCAGACGATAAATTCCATTTTACCTCACATGATATTTTTTTCTCTCACTATATTTACTATTTTTCAAGAGTAAGATATATTTTTTCATAATATAAAAACCACCGCAATGGATTTTATATTATTCTGAGACATCTCCATTTGTTCCTTCTAACACGTTAATCGATGTGTGTCCAAAAGGACGCACAGAACGCTCCCAGGGGAATCGATCCCGTCTTTTTCTATATTGATCTCTCTTTTTACTGCTATTGGTGCCTGCACTGCCGCCTCTTCCATCCTGTATGCATTTGTATCTAACAAAAGCTGTTAAGCTCGCGCCCGAAATGATCCATCTTCCTTTTTTTCAATAACCAGAGAAAAAAATGTTCTGTAGCTCTTTTGAACGTTTAGAATGTTGACTCCTGTCTTCCGAATCGATCAAACAGAAGATCAGATTTTATTGGAGATCTCGGCAAAGTACAGTAAAGCTGCGGCGGCAGATATTTGTATTGCAGAGAATACGATTATCTTCAACGCCAAGCCGTATTATTTGAGATTGAGGCTTTCTGGAAGATTGGAAGAGAATGAAGACGAGGTCAAATGCACCTATGATGTGGACGAGGGGAAGTTTTTTATCAATGTCAAGAAGTTGATTCCTGGAGAGGTTTTCACAGATTTAGGAAGGGTTTGAAAGAAATTTTCTATCGTATTAGATCGTTTTTTTATGATTAAGGACTGTAGTTATTTCAGTTTTTCTTGAGAATTACTATCCTCAAATCAAACTAGACATGCTCCAAAAACTCCTTGATACGAAGAAACAACCAACAGTTTCGAACGGAATCGAAGTCATCGACGATGATTGCGAAGACTACGAAGAAGAGGAGATAGAGGACTGGGAGATGGCCCAAGAAATTACTTCGGAAGCACCGATTACAGAAGGGTCAACTTATGGCTTCGCGAATTTGAGATCAGATATTTTTCAGCGGCTTAGAGAAGAGAGTAGTGAACTGTTTGATTATTTGGAAGTTTCGACGGTGAAGAATGCGCAGAGGACGGAGATCAGGGTTCTATTTGAGCAAGAGAAGTTTGATGAAGACCATTATTTATCAGACTTGTTCGAACCTGATTACGCGCTGGAAGCAGCTCAAAATTATAAAGGTACTAAAACTACTGTACTGGTTTTGGGTGATTTTCGCAATCAAAATACCTAAATTCAGGTTTTTGGGAGAACAAAGAGTCATCGTTGTTGTCACCCGACGAAAAAGCAGTTCTTGTCTCGATGAAATCAAAAAGTCTTCCCGCGTTGGATTTCAAAGCAACAATCCAAGTCTATTCCGGTCTTCTCGAACTCCTCTTCTCATACTGTTATGTCAAACGTTGGTTTGGCGACGATTTGGAACCAGAAGCAGCGACGATGATCGCAAAGATCTCGCCGATGCTTTCGTGGCTTGATACTTCGGAATATCCGCCAAAAGCGCTGGAATCTTGCTTCAGACGAGCACTTATCTTTCCATTCCACCGATCATTTTCTCTCGCTGAAAAAAGCCAGAAAGATGCGGCAAGGATTTTGAAGCACGGGAGAGAGTGCGTTACGAAAGTGTTATTGGAACTGAGGACTTTGTTCAATAGAAGGGATCCGTTTTATTTATTCAATCAGGTACTAACGGGTCATTTTATAAGTTGGAACATGTTTTTCATTTTCGATAAGATTTTCAAGAAGAATTTTAGTTATACATCGATGATTATATCACTTGGATGCAAACCCGAGCTAGCTCAGAAAACCTGGAACAGCTAGCGAAGAACGCAAAGCATATCAAAGTCACAAAAGGCTCTCTTGGACTCGACCTCGATATGCTCGAAAAGGCTGCGTTTATGGTCATGGAAGATGGAGATATGGGTAAAAATGATACCAACTTAATTATATTTACTCTTTCTTTTTAGAAGAGAACGTCGATATGACGACTATGGAAGAAGCGATGAAGCAATTGGGAATTCAGTTAGGCGCAGATGGAGAATTTCACTCAGAACTAGGTACATCTTAGAGCAATCTTGAGAGGTATTGGAGGCAACTAATCCGAGATTTACCCATTTCGCTATGGCAAATTTACATTTCGCATTCATTATTTGATGAGAGTTTGAATTATTTTCGAGTGTTTGAATCAGCTATTTTGCCTTCTTAATTGTTTTAAATTTTTAAACCGCGATTTTCAGAGAAAGAACTAATGGAGAAAACGAAAGAAGAAGGAAGTTCGAAAGTTGGAATTACCGAGTTATGATTGTATCTCTTCTTATTCTATTCAAATAATCTCTATTTGCGCAAGCACGAAATTACGAGCTTGTGCTTACTGCCCTGCCCTTTCCTTTCCCATTCGCCTGTATATTTCTCTTTTTTCATTGTGATGGATGAATTTGTGAACGTTCAAAAAAGACTCCTGAGAGTGCGCCAGAGGGCGAAAATCAAAGCAATTACATTTGAGTCATCCCATTCTAATCATGAAAATTTCCAGTTCAGACAAGAGAATATCGGTATGAGCGACGAAAAGCGACCTAGTAAGGTATTTTCTATTCTTTTCTAGAGCTCTGAATGCTCTTGTTTGAAGCATTTAGGAAATTTGACTGTTTTCAGATGGAGCGAAAGAACTCAATCGTCGGGGAGAGTCTTTACCGGATTCTTGATATTGACAAGAAGTCGGATCAGGATCAGATAAAGAAGGCCTACAGGAAGAAAGCGTTGAGGCTTCATCCAGACAAGAACCCAGGAAATCCAGAAGCAGCTGAGCAGTTTAAAGAAGTCAACAGAGTACGTAATTAAGTTATCAGACAATTAAGAAACTTAATCTGACGGTTTACCGACAATTTTAGATAAAAGAATATAATTTGATGATAAGTTCGATAAAGTACTTTTAGGCGCATAAAATTTTATCAGATGTTCAACTCCGGGATATTTACGACAAGTACGGGTCAATGGGACTCGAACTTGCGGAACAAATTGGCGCAGAGAATGTTGCGATGGTCATGAGATTCCAAACTCCAGGAACGGCTACATTTTTACTGTTGCAAAGATTTAATCTTTCGCGTTGCGATTTCCGGGAAATCTACACTTGAAAGAAGTGTAGATAGAGCCGTTGTAAAGCTGCGAAAATTGGAATGTTGCTTACTTTTGTCCTCACTGGCTGCTGTTGTGGTTGCTGCTTCTGTTGTTTCTTCTGCTGCGGTTGTTGCTTCGGTAATTGAGGCTGTGAAACGCGCTTGAAATGATGATAAATTAAGGTCGGTGCAAGCCAAAAGACGTAGATGACGAAGAATTCGGCGACCTGATCCCCGAGGACGACGAAGAAGCCGGTGCAGGCTACACAAGCTATCAGCAGAGCTCTGACACGCCAATTACAACGCAACCACCCGCGCCCGAGGCGGAAACTAACAAGCCCGCGGAGCCTATTGCCCTCGGCCCTTCGTGAACTTCAAAAACTAGCTGATTTTTAAATTCAATTTTCTTACAGTAATTTTCTCTTGCCACACATAATTCCTGTAACCTATATCTTCTCTCCTCCCTCTCTGACATCCTATGTACAGTGTATCGTAAAACAACGAAAAATATGTATCACTTTGTCGATTTGCCTCATATATAGAAAAAAAGAAAAACAGACCATATTTTAACCTGAACGAATGTCGTGTGAGTTTGTTTTTTGCATCTTTTATTGTGATAAGCGAAAAATTTTCTAATTTGGCGTAAGCAATTCTGATATATCCAAGAACACATTAATAACAATTGACATTTGTCTGCACAATAACATCTTTAATCATACCAGTACAGTGATCATCATTCTACTATTTCAATATTGAGCCACCAACGCTTGTTTCCGTTCCAAACTGAATGTTTAAAACTTATCATGCTATGACATTTACTTCTTCGAATTCTAAAATTAAGAATGTGGAGGGTCGTCCTTTCCTTAGCTTCATGTGCTTTTGGAGCACAAGTTTTTGTTCAACACAAACCGGAATCGGTTGATTTCAATATTGAAAATGCACCAGCAGATGCTGCTTTGGAGGCGATGCGAATTTCTGTTGGGCTTGAGCCGCAGTATGCCTTTGACATGAACGGTATAAGGTCTTTTGATAATTTAGAAATTCCTTTATTCGTTTAGTCTTCAAGAAATTCAATCCCTTCGAAAAAGCTTCCGCCGCTGTTGCCCTCGTTGTTCCTGAAATCAAGGAATCAAGCCTAGCTCTCAGTGGCAAATTTATCGCTCCTTCAACCGAGGTACAAAATAAAGTGTTATTCAAATAATGATCATTTACTAGCTTGCTTATCCTGATGATATTGCCGGAATGCCACTTGCTGAGCAATCATTGACGATTTTGCAGACTACGGCTGAGGATTATTCAGCATTTGTGAAGGTTTTATTTGTATTGATGAATGTCTTGATTTATCGATACTTAAGAAAATCAGCGAATCATTAGAGGCGAAATATGGGGAGAACTACGTCTTCTTCGTTGTTAGCGGAAAAACCGATGGAAGCTCTGCTGCGGACAGGCAAATGCTCCAGGCTGATAAAGAGCCTCTTATTTCCTGGGAACCGCGAAATGAGAACTACTCCATCATGCTCGGTAAGAAAGTCTTTTCTTGCAAAAGCTGACTTACCTTCAAGCTATTATTGGTTTATTCATTCTCCTCGTTGTCTTCGGAATCGTAGCCTTCGCTTTTATGACAGCAAATATCGGCCCAGGAGACAACATCGCTTACAAACTTGGTGCAGCCCATTCGAAGAAAAACCAATAAAGAAAGTCGTTTTTACGAAGAAAAAACATCGTGCAATGTGAACAATTACTCATACTTCATTTGTTATTTCCAATTATAGATTATCTTTATAATAATTATTATTTTCACATGTCAGGAGAAAAATCTACTGTATCTTTGTTTCTCCAAGAACTTTTATTTCTGCGTTTTGCCTATCCGAGTTGGACTGGATTCTATTCTTCATTCAACATTGTCAAATAAATATCCTCTCGTTCAAAATTATACCCCTTGCTCAGCAGCAGAAGAAATTTTGTTGAACAAGTGAGCATGTTTTGCCCAGAAGTGCAGAGATTCTATTTTTTATTCCAAAAACGAGATATTGAATCGAACAAAATAGAAGTCGGTTGTACTCTTGTATCTAATAGGCAGCTTCCCGTTACTTTTAATTACTTTGTGATTTTCTTCTTTCCCAGTTTCGTAGCAGATTTCTTGCGCAATCACTTTGAATGGCATAGGCTTGTCTAAGAACAAATTGTAAGTGGGAACATTATGGCGATAGTGTACCTTTCTTTCCGACCCAGAAAAGATACCAACCATCTTCTGCGAGATCCCCAGTGTTTATAACTGTGTTAAACTGTAGCTGCCATCCGGAATATGCAATTTTCCATTCATCCTCGCAGGTAAACTAAATGAATGAAGAAGATTCGCAGGGCATAAGCGTGCTTACCTTAACATTGATTTCTCTGACTCCCGCGTCAAGCAATTTTATGATATTGCAAAGTTCGTCTTCTTTCATCCCAGATCGGACTCCACCGGATTCTTTTGCCTTGTCATTTTGAAAGAAATGGCCAGCGCCATCGATACTTCCCAACTGATTTATCAAGTCTCTCTCGTTTTGGAGATGAGGAGATGGTGTCTCCTCTTCGTCAGATGAATTTTCCTCGGGCTGAGATTCGTCTCCAGATTCATATTTTGACTCTATATTTTGCTGTCGTCGTTCCAGTTGCGTCTGAAGACTCTTCACTCTTTCTTCCAACTCGTGAATTTTCTGATCTTTATCAGCATTTTGGAGCCTGAGCCGCTTGACTTCTAATTGAACGGTCTCCGGTGCACTTCGCACCATGATATCTGTCGGTTTCTCTCCATCCTCAATTTTTGTCAGGAATTTCGCGAAAACTGGTTCTTCCCGCAACAGAATCATGTTCTTCGGACGATCAATTTTCTTTGAAGAAAGGCATTTATCAAGCACTGGCTCAAACTCCTCGAACTCTGCATGATTGCGAAGAACATCGCTAATTGAAGAACGGACTCCGTTCATTATGTTATTTACTTAAGAATTAATTGAGAACCTGTCCTAAAAATTAATACCGAACTGATAACAACAAGGTTGCTTATTTTGTGGCCTTTCTTGTCGCGACCAAAAGCATGTTCGAGGGTTATAACTTCTTGTAGTATGAGCCCAAAACCCCAGACATCCATCCTTGGCGATTTTGAGTAGTCGTCGTTGCTGAACACTTCTGGGATCGCGTAGATCCTTGTAAAGGCGACTGGATCACTGCTTTCAGCGGTGTGAGTGAGCGCTACTGAGTTTACGGTTGCTGCGCTACCAAAGTCTCCGATTTTTATCTAATACTTGCTATTCAATTTGATGTCTTAGCCTCTTACCGTGATGTCATCCGCGAGTATGAATACATTTGCCGGTTTAAGGTCCAGGTGTATCTGCTTTTTTTCATGGCAGAAGCTCAGTGCCGAAACCATCTGGGCTCCAATAAGAGCTGCTTCGTCAGGCGACGTTGGCTTGTTGGCTTCTTTACGACGCTCAACCCAGTCGACTAAGCTTCCGCCAGAGCAGTTCTCCATAACAATAAAGGAAAACGTATTCGTAGCCCATTCTGGCTGCTCCTCATCCAGGAAATCGATAAATTTGACGATATTGGCATGATCTTATAATGATTTAAAAATGATCAGGGAAAGCACTCACCGAGTTTTTTCAGCACTTCCGCCTCTTGTCTTGCCTCAGTAGCTTGCTTCGGGGATAAGATAAGGAAGCCCTTGATTATGACATCCTCGCCAGTGCTCTGATCGCGGGCTTCACTAACACTACGCATATGCATGAATGAATATTCGTCGATATTTACGTATCGATCATCTTTTAATGAGACACCCATCTCGTTATATGATTTCGACAAAGAAATCTAAAAAGTTATCGCTTTATTTCAATAAAAAACACGAACAATTTGGTCGTGGCAATGTCGAAAAATGTAGGCTAGAATTTTTAGAAATAAATTTTATTCAACCATGTCAGGAATGGAAATCATGTAAATCAAGGAGAATAAAAAGAAGATTGTGTGACAGTACAGTCAGCTTCTAGTACAGTTTGATGATCTCGTCATGAGTAAATGGTTTCTTGCATTCAGGGCAGAGCTTATTCTCGATTTTCTTCAGGCAGTCCATGCATGCTCGATGTCCGCAGCGTGGAGCACTCTCCCACTTCTTCCCTTTGTTGTAATCACTCTTGCAGATGTTGCAAGTAAATCGCGTATCTGACTTTTGCTTCACCACTAAAATTCGATTTAATTACCACGGCATTTTTGTTTTTTATACTTTTTTATATAGGGCGGTTAAATTTACCATTTCCATTCGATTGCATTTTTAGTTTTCCGAGTCCGAGCGTTTGTCCAGCGTCAAAAAAAGTCTCAGCAACGCGTGCCTTGATCTTTTCCCGTTGTTCGTGCACTATTCTCTGCCTCAAAGCGGCCGATTTTAGCTGCTTGTCGGCAACATCAACAGCCTCATCAGTAGCAAGCTCTTCCTTCTCCACGACTTCAAGAGTCTGAAGCACCTTGGCGAAGTTGGCATAGTCGACCTTTTCTTTGCAGTTGATTTCGGATAAGTTGACACTGTATTTTGCCTTAAAGGCGGTGTCGCAGCAAGTTGCGTAAATGAAGTCCCAGAAAGACAAGGCAGTCTTGTCGCAACTGGAAGCCGGACACTTGAACTTGGCATCCGTGAGAAATATCTTCCCACTGGCGAAATCGTTCGTAGTGCAGACTGAGCGGGCGCAATTGTAGCAAATAGTGTTGGTGATCCAGTTCTTGTTGACCTGGTAGCGGACCAAGTACATCTGCTCAGTCACCCTGTGTTCATTGTTAGGGTACTGTTTCTAAGTAATAATATACACCTTTGACTTATGTTTTATATATTGACTGAATTTTACCGATCGCACTGATGGCATTTGCCTGTGTTGCCCCACTTAGTGATTGAGCTTGTGGCCGCGTAGAGATGGCTCATTTTCGATTCTCTGGTCTGTGGAATTCTACCTCTACTTCTACCACGTGTACACGAAAGTCAAATAATTGCTGAATATTGGATTTGAAAGCCGGGAATGTGGTTGTTTCATGAGCTATAAATCACCTCCAAAAGTTATGCAAATACGTTCAACGAGACTTGGAAGAATCTCAAAGCGCATGCTTTTTTCCGCCTTCAGGAGTTCAAACAACAGAGTTTGATGCCTGGATCAGCAAAATAAGGATGGAACAAAATGAACTTATGAATAAGCAATAACTTCATAAAGTTAAGTTCCTTGACCCTTGCTTAATAAAATATCTTGATTGACAGGTGCTGTCGATTCTTTCTCATTCATTATTCTGAATTCAATAAGCATTTGCATTTTATTCCCAAGCTTGGGCACTTTTCATTTCCTCAAACATGGATTTAATTTTTCTATCATCTTTCCTTCTATCCGCGGCAAGAGACTTTGAAGATGCAGAATACAGAGTTTGCAGATGCAAGAATAACTTATCGACGAATTTAGAAAGGGTGTTAAATTAGGAAATCATCTTCAAATATCTTGATCGACCCAATTTCAAATTCTAGGAAAGAAAATAAAGTTTTTATTGATGAAAAAGCCGATAAGATCTGCAGTTTTCCCGAATTCGAAAAGATCGAATCAAGTACAGATCCCTTCAAGCCAGGGTTTCAATACAGAAAAAGCTTCGAAATCATGGAGGAGAACCCCTACCTCAGATTGTAGACCCAGATTACCCAGATGAAGTTTTGTGCAAAGTTCTAGGAGGAAGTTGCTTCCACATAGAATACTTCAATAAGTCCTTTCAAGATGGCGTCTGTAGTCAGTACAGCTCTCAATGTGCACCAAAAGTGATCGAACTTGCTGGTTGTGCGACGAATTTAACAAGAAAAAGCATCGAGGAAGAAAGTATTTCCTCTTCCCAAAAATGTAATCACAAGCAAATTAAGTTAGAATGGGCCATTCAGTAGAAGTTGATCACGTGAAGAAGGATAAATTCCCCACTCTCTGCGAGATGTCGAAAGATCAAACTAACTTGGAGCAGTTTGGCCTTCCGGAAGTCTTCCACCAAAATTTAGGACCTCGCTCGTTTAGTAGGGTAACATGCTGCAATACTTCCTATTGCAATTTCCAAGGTAAGAGTTTCTATAACTGAAACGCACTTTGAAATTATCCTAGAATATTCATTGAACGGAAGATCAAGATCAGAGTGGATGAAAGAGCTTGATCAATTCGCTGAACAAGCTTTCAATATTACTGTAACTTCTAGCAGTCAATCATTTTTATATCCAATATCAGTTTTTCTTGCTCTCGTGTAAATGAGATTTTAGCTTATCAACAGTTTATCTGCCTTATCAATAAAATCAATCTCCACGATTTATTCCGGTTTAAAAAGCTTGAAATTATCTTGCACTTATAAAAGAACAGCTTCTTTTCTGGGAATTCGATTTCTTAGAAATATGATTTTAATACTCTTTCTTTTTCTCAGGCTGTTTGCCGGCTATATTTTAAAAGTTGATAACTGCTATGGTGTGTTGACAAGATACCGATTTCTGATTTATGTTGAGAGCTGCTGGGAGAAGATCAACTCTGTAAGAGAGATATCGGTACAAAATTCTGCCATAATCGCCGGTGTGGGAATAACAGAGATAAATTCAACGAACTCAACTCATCTTCAATCGTTCGCAACGCTCCATCAAACAGATTACTCTCCCAACGAAATTCTTCGATTCTCGGAAGACTCCATCGACCATCTTGTTTATGCTGGAATTGGGGATTCTTTAGCATTTGAGGAAAATGACGTCCCGCTTTTTATGCAAGACTTGCAGGGATCAGATATAGGTTTGAAGAAGCAATACTTTTCCCTTGATTTTCAAATATATTTAGTTTTCATTGGATTCTCAAAATTGGGATCTTTAAATTTTCTACCACGAATCCCGACTCAACTAAGCGACTACGACATCGACGAGGAGCACCAACTCAGCACCGAGATTGGCCTCTACGCAACAAATTTCGACAATGAAGATCCTTGCAGAATGCCGACTTACACGAATCTGGACGGCGAAAACTCTGTTTCCATCGAATTCATCGCCCTTGAAAACGCGAAATTCCACTGCGTTTGGAACGTGATTTCTGAAACACAAACAACTGTTGAAGTAACGATGAAGCATCTCAACATTCCAGCATCAGAAGATTGCAGCGACGCGAAGATCACAATTTATGATGGAATCGATGGTTTTTATCCACTTTTAGAAGTTTGCAGCGGAGCTTCAACAAGTTTTCTCCTGACTGGCGATGCCTTCAGAGTTGAGTTTTTGACAAAAAAGCTCGACATGCTCCCCTCATTCACGATCGAAATCAAGAGAGATAAACAAACAAAAGAACTGTCAAATTGTGGAAGCAAGAAAACAATAACAGAAGCGTCCTTTATAAATTCCATTAACTTCCCAAAAGTGTACTTTCCAAATACCCGATGTACATGGAACTTTCTCTTTCCACTCGACGAGCTGGTTTTTTCGCGAAGATGGATCGTCATTCATTTCTTACAAATGGACCTTGAAGAACGGACACGAGATAAAATTTGTAAAGATAGTCTTCACTTCTACTCATATTCTGAGCGAAAAGAAAATCTACTCGCCATCTTTTGCGGACAGGAGCTAAGCGGAAAGACAGTATTCTTCGAGTTTGATGAAGTTGTAATGAAGTTCTCCGCCGATTCAATCAACGAAAGTCCTGGTTTCGCTGCTTTCGCTGGTTTTCAAAAGAAAGTTTATCCTCGAAGAGATGACATCGTTTTCAGTCGGCAAATTTTCGAAGATAAAAAGAATCAATACAGGGAGTTCTTTCTCAAGGCCTTGCTTGGTCCGATCTTTCATTCATCTCGTGGTATCTCGAACCCGTTGACAACGTCGACACTTATAGAATGTCAAGTGAGGAATAGCTTCAACGAACAACATGGAATTCCTATAGAAAATTCATGCTACGAGACCAGCGAGCTGGCAGAGAAATTCGAGAAAGAAAACTACGGCAATAAAACATGCGGAATCAGCTATGGAAATCCGCAGCAAAAATTTAATTTTGCAAAGATTATCGGCGGAGACGAGGCGAACCCTGGTGCTTGGCCTTGGATGGCTTCTCTTAGGAGGTAAACTATAAAAGATTCCTAGCATGAGCTTATAAATAATATCTCGTATTATCTGTCGTGATTGTAGAAGAGTAACACTTGCGAAAACATTGCACAGATGGTAGAAGAAGTTCATGTGTTCTTTCACGAAAATGTACCGTTGAATTCAGATCGTACCACTCGCCTCACTACTGTGGTGGCGTCATCCTGTCCGAAAAGATCGTCGCCACCGCCGCCCACTGTATCAACATCGGTATCCCACACTACGTCGTCGTCGGCGATCACAACTCTCGCTCCCCTAATGACGAGTACGAGAGAAGAATTCCAGTTGAATCTTTTCGCTCTCATCCGAAGTTCAGTATTCTAAGCTTTCAAAATGACGTTGCTATCATCCGACTAACAGAAGAGATTTCTTTCAACACTAGAATTCAAGCGATCTGTCTTCCACCACCTGGTGCGCTTCCTCAAATCTCATTTGAAACCTCTAAATCGACAAGTGTAACAGGAGGTTGCTACATATCTGGCTGGGGAAAGACAAACGGGAAAGAAAAAGAAGGTTCTGAAATGCTCCAAGAGGTGAAGATCGATATTCATGACGATTCATTTTGTATGAAGAAATATGGTAATCGTTACGATCCAAAGACAATGCTCTGTGCTGGGGATGGGACGAAAGATGCTTGCAAGGGAGATTCTGGTGGGCCGATCGTCTGCAGACTCAGTGACTCACATCCATGGATTCTCTACGGCATCGTTAGCTGGGGAGAAGGCTGCGGCGAAGGATACCCTGGCGTCTATGCAAGGGTTTCTTCAGTCATAAATTGGCTCGGAAATTTCGGAGAAGTAACAAAGTCAACAAATGTGGCCAAAATTGCTCCCAATGTACAGTCAGTCCGCGATGAGAATGATGAGTGCTTCGTTGAGGTCAAAGAATCACAACAGTTCGGCGTCATCAAAAACTCGGAATATCCAAGTTCTTCTGCTGTCAACTGCACCTGGATATTCGAATTCAAGAAAGAAAAGAAAGTGAAGTTCTTGTGGGACACAATTGAGCTCTCAGCAGGAAGTCGTCTTGCGATAAATATTCTTCCGGATGGAGATGAAGAAGCGCAGTTGTTCAATGAAACAAACCAAGGTGGTGCCTTTGAAATTGGGGGAAATTTAGGAATGCTCATCGAAACATTCGGTTTCGCAAAGATCTTCATAAGATACACGATTGAGAAGATTCTTCCTGATTCTGTTTGCAATGATGAAAAGATTCTCACAGGTAGATTTGAAACCTTTTCTAGTCTTACTCATTATCAGATTCGTCTGGGATAATAATATCTCCTGGATTTCCGCTGAAACATTATGAGAACGGATTGAATTGTAATTGGCGAATTTGGGCTCCTCTGTCCCACGAAATCGAGGTCAATTTCAATGTAACTGCTCTCGCTGATGCAGAAAATTGTGCGGGTATTGTGAAAAAATAAAGCAAAGATAAACCTATTTTTAGACAAAATTCAGCTTTACAAAGGTTTCAGGCCGCAAGGACAAAACAAAATTGGAGCAAATGTCTGTGGATTCGCTCAACCGTTTTCTCGTGGAATAAGTTCAAACTTGGCTCTTGTAAAGTTTACTTCAGATTGGTCTTCATCAAGGTTGGGTTCAAATGTTTTGTACCAGTAAAAACGGGCGGAGAAATATTGAACCCAAGAAAAGTACAGGCTTCATGATCACCTATAAAATCAAACCACAAGAAGACAGCGAGCATTCTCTTCAAAAGCAGATCTCGACTCAAGTGTTCCTACGTAATCTAGAATGCCACCCTTGCAACTCAACAACTCACCCGATTCCATCACTGAACTTGCACTCATCAAAGCCTTGGATCCTACATTCGCATACTCTCGACAACCCTGAAAACTGCCTTGGTGCTCTGGTATCCCCAAACTTTGGCCTCTTCCGAGATTGCAAAAGTCTTACAGTGGGACAAACAACTGTACATATTGGTTTTGAATTCCTAGATTCTTCACTTCCAGGGCAGTTTGAGATCATTGCATTTTGGGACCTTCGCGATCGGCTTGGCAACTTTAGGTAAGGAGAGTTAACTCCCTCTTGAATAATTTATCAATCAAGTCGCTATAAGCTCGTCGAGTTATCTAAAAAAGGAGGCTTCCAGTTCAATCCTTGCCCAATTTGTGTTGGAGCTCCGTTGAATCCAGCGGGAGGGTCCCTTATTTTCACGAACTACGAAAACGGTGAAATTCAGGAACGTAACCAAACGAATAGGTAGCCCCTTGCGAATTGAACCTCCACTTATCCTTTTCTAGTGAGCCATCTGTAATAACAACAGACAGTGGAAACCTCATTGGCATCAGAGAAATCAACGAAGACTTTCACGGAATTGACTTCTTAGAGAACCTTTCTGTTACTTTTTGAAACCGTTCAAGAAAGTGTATTAATTGTAAATAAAACTCTTCTGGTCAACTGAAGATTCACTGATAAAAAAGGGATGAAAAAGATGGAGCACTTCTAGAAATTCATTGGCGCCGCGCGGCCAATCAGCGTGCCCGAAGCGCGGACAATTCTGTGCAAATTTTGCCCGAGGAGAAAACTCTGATAGAAATAGAATTTACTCGCTAAATTCAAACCTCAACATTTTATCTATTTCAAGAGATGTTAGATGATAAGAAGGGTCTGCAAGAAATAATTTTATTTGAAAACCATTAACTTATAATTTTAAGTTGGTATCAGATTCTAGTTATTCTCATTTTTCGCTTAATTAAAGACTCTCTAAAATCTATTGCGTACCATTCCCACTTCTGAAAATGAGCACACCATTTTTACTTTGAGTCTAGCATATTTAATAAAAAATCTCCGCCGTAGAATGGAACGTACTCCCATTGTGCCGGGTTTACTCGATCTATCCTTCCAACAAGAGCATAAAAAGCCAGCTAAAGACGCCAAAAAACGGTACTACAACCAACTAGAAGAAATTTTCGCGAAGCACCGTCGGATTCGTACCAAAGGTCAGATCCCAGAGGTCAAAGTTCAGCTCTTTCCCTCTTCTGGGAGATTTTGTTTGTCTAAAATAGTATTTCAAGGGCAAAATGAGAAAATTATTCCGTCTAATCACCGGAGCAACATTACGACTGGAGATAATCGGGAGGATAATGGCTCGGATACAGGGTCAGATATTTCAAGAGAATCGGCTACCTTTGGGAATGTGTTTCACTAGAACTGAAAGACTTACTTCTTCTCAAAAACAATAGAAAACACAACTAAAAGAGGGGAGACAATGACAACCGACGACGCAACTTGGGATACGACAAACTAAATCTTCTTCACATTCTCTTTTTACAGTATAACTGCCATTTTTCAGTTATTCTCAAAGTGCTGCCTTTCTAGAATGATCCGCTTCTTCGGGCTGATCCTTCTGTTTTCTGTCGACGCGGCTCACCACCAGTATAAAGACGGCGAGTCCGTGCCCGTTTTTGTCAACAAAGTCGGCCCTTACTTCAACCCTCACGAGACGTACCACTACTACTCGCTGCCAGTTTGTCGACCAGATGAGATCAAGCACCGTCCCCTTACTCTTGGGGAAGTTCTTGATGGAGATCGAATGGCCTACTCTCTCTACGATATTCGATTCAAACAGAGTGTCAGCAAGAAGACTCTCTGCTCAGTAACGCTAGAAACGGAGGATATTGAGAAGCTCAAGCAAGCGATTAGAGAGCTGTATTACTTTGAATTTAATATTGACAACCTTCGTAAGTAAAAAATATTTTTTTCAATCATTCAAATCTCAAACGCAAGTTCTGTAAATTCATCTTTCAGCTGTTCGCGGGTTTATCGGCCACTTCGAAGAATCGGGTCTCATTCCCGTCCCTCATGTAGAGCGTTGCTATCTCTGGAGCTCCCTTCATTTTACCTTCACTTACAACAGCCATAGCAACATGATCATCAGCGTCAACGTCTCCACGGCTGGTACCCACCCCATTTCTCTCGATGATCATGATGCGCCTCTGAATGTTGAATTCTACTACTCCACTGAATGGATTGAAACGACAGACACAATTTCCATCCGTGAGAAACAGAAGGGATCGTTTTTCCCAAAGACGTTGGAGATTCACTGGCTATCTGTTATAAATTCCGTCGTTTTGGTCGTTTTGCTCACTGGATTCATTGTCATTATTCTCATGCGATTGCTAAACACGGATTTCTCGAGATACAACAAAGAAGATAGCCTGGACGACGAACTAGCGATAGAAGACGAGTGCGGATGGAAAGTCATTCATACAGAAGTTTTTCGATTTCCGGGATACATAAGCTTGCTCTCTGCAGTTTTGGGAGTTGGAACGCAGTTCTTGGCGATGGCCTGTGGAATTTTAATCATGGCTCTTTGCGGGGTCTTCAAACCTGGCCATGGAGGAGCTATTCATACGTATTCCATCATTTTGTATTGCATTACTTCAAGGTAATAAATCAAAATGCGAGGCGTCCTTTTTATCGTTTTTCTAGCATCGCTGGATATGTCTCGGGCTCCTTTTACCGAAAATTCGGCGGCCAAAACTGGGTGCGAAACATCATCATGACGGCCTTTCTCTTTACCGGTCCATTCTTTACAATTTGGTTTACGATAAACTGCACTCACTGGTACGCTGGCTCCACGCAAGCACTGCCGTTTACAACGATCCTGCTCCTGATGCTAGTGTATATTCTAGTGGGCTTTCCACTGACAGTTCTTGGGGGCATTATTGCAAGAAATACGACAAGTGATTTTGACAGCCCATGTAGAACGAGACCGATTCCCAGGCTCATTCCTCCACAGGTAAATTCATTTCATTTTACTCTCAGATTTCATGAAGACTTATATATAGCATTAAGAATAAGGTTGAGCCAAAAAGGGTCGAAGAATTTAGATCTCTTTTCATTTCATAATTCTATAATATATTTGGTTCTTTTCTCATTGCGAACAAATTCTTTTGTCTTTCATTTAACGAGTTTGGCATGAATTTAACTTTCAACTCTAGCCGTGGTATACGAATTTCATCTGCCACTGCTTCTTTGGCGGCTTTTTGCCCTTTTCCGCGATCTCTGTGGAGATTTACTACATTTTCGCCACCGTTTGGGGGCGAGAGCAATACACACTTTACGGTGTCCTTCTGCTCGTGTTCATCATCGTTTTGTCTGTATCTGCCTGTATTTCGATAGCGCTGACTTACTTCCAGGTAAAATATGCACTCTCTAGAATTGGAAGTCAAACGATTTATTTAGCTCTCATCAGAAGATTATCGCTGGTGGTGGAGGAGTATTTTCTCCGCTGGAAGCACCGGCATTTTCGTCTTTTTCTACTCTTGTTTTTATTATTTACGCCGTTCGAACATGTCCGGAGCTGTCGAAACTGTAAGTTGATGAGTTCGAAGCAGATTTATAGCTGCTTTAGGTCGAGTTTCTTGGTTACACTGCCCTCATGTGTTATATTTTCTTCCTGACGCTTGGAACAATTGGTTTTGGAGCGTCTCTGAAGGTTTATATTATTGAAAAATATCCAATATTCACGACTTTCAGTTCATCCGCTACATCTACGTCAATTTGAAGATGGACTGATCAACCAAGAGTCGCTACTGAATCTCCACTGCAGAATCTTCTTTCAAAAATCAACTTCTACCCAATTTCTGTACTCTAACTTATTTTCTGTATCCTATACTTTCTGTACTTCCGATATTTTACCTAAGCCTGTTTATTCAAATCTTCGTTCTCTGACTCAACCTCCCAGAATGCTCCGAAACGGCCTCCGAGCGTCGCAGCGACACCTCCAAAGCGGTCTCGCAGACAACACCGTCGTGGTGCTCGACTCGTGTCGAACTCCCTTCACCAAGTCCTCCACCGCGTACTCGAACCTTATGCCACACGACATGCTTCGGGCGGCCGTTTCCCAAACCATCCAGCGATCTGGCATCGACGGCAACGAAATCGACTACGCCGTCGGCGGCACCGTCATCGCCGAGGTCAAAACCTCGAATGTGATGCGTGAAGCTTGTCTTGGCGCTGGTTTGCCCCAGTCGCTTCCCGCTCATACTGTTACCATGGCTTGTATTTCATCAAGTCAGGCTGTTACCACTGGGATCGGTCATATTATGTCAGGCGCCGGGGAAGTTGTTATCTGTGGTGGAGTTGAGACGATGTCTGACGTTCCAATTCGACATGCCAAGGTAATGGCGCTCTTAAAAAACTCATCTCTTTATCCTTCCCCAGGCGATGCGACAACATCTCCTTCGCAACCAGCGAATGCTCTCCAAGGGCCCCAAGGGCGTCATCAACTTTTTGAAGCCCGTCTTCAAGGCTCCTGGAAAATTCTTGGCCCCTGAGCCACCAGCAATCTCTGAATTCTCTACTGGAGAAATCATGGGTCACTCTGCAGATCGACTCGCTTCTGCGTGGGGTGTTTCCCGAGCTGATCAAGGTATATCTATTATCTCTACTCTTTTTCACCATGATTTAAGATGCTTTTGCCATCAGATCGCACACCAACGCATTCAAGGCTAGCGAGGCTGGCCTTCTTTCCGATGTTTTTGAGTACCACATTCCCGGCGGTGAGACCATCTCCAAGGATAACGGTATCCAGGTCAACACTCCCGAAAAACTCGCCGGCCTCCGAGCTGCCTTTGTCAAGCCCCACGGAACTGTTACTGCTGGTAATTCTTCTTACTTGACAGACGGAGCTTCTGCTTGCATCCTTTCGTCTCACAAGAAAGCCCAGGTTAGCTTATCATCAATTCTTCCTATTTTTATTTATTTAATTCATAGGAAATGGGACTTGGAGGAAAGGCCATCCTCCGTGATTACATGTACGTTGCCATCGACCCCAAGGACCAGCTCCTCCTCGGCCCTGCCTACGGCATCGCTCGACTTTTGGAGAGATCTGGACTCAAGCCATCCGACATCGATGTTTGGGAAATTCACGAAGCCTTCGCCGGTCAGGTTCTTGCCAACTTGGAAGCGCTCAAGGACGATAAGTTCTGCCGAGAACGAATGGGTGTCAAAGGTAAATGAGTTTATTCATTTTCTGATGTTCAAATTTCATTAAAGGCGCCGTTGGAGAGCTTCCTATGGACAAGCTCAACAACTGGGGAGGATCTCTCTCAATGGGACATCCCTTCGGAGCCACTGGCATTCGACTCGTTTCTCACTGTGCAAACCGACTGAAGGTACGTGGCCAATCTTTTCATAAGCGGCCGGTGCACCCTTATGACCTCTTACTTCTCACCGCAGCTTGTTAATCAATTTTTCAGCACGAAGACGGCCAGTACGCCATGATTGCCGCCTGCGCCGCCGGTGGACACGCATTTGCTGGTATTGTTGAGCGTCATCCCGATTATTAAATGGAATTCCCACCGTCTCCTTAATATCCCAGCTGCTCGAGAAAGAACTCTGAGTTGCTTCGGAACGTACTACCATTTTTTCCATTAACAAACGATTCCATTCTGCTACAGATAAACAACCCCTGTACTTATACTCATTTACTGTTTAGAGCTCAGTTTTCAATTATTTATTCGTCGCGTTACAGCGCGCACTCAAAAGACTTCAACCTGCAAATAAGCGCCACATGTTTCGATAATAAAGTTTGTTCAAAGAAAAAAATGAAAGCAACAAGCACTCACTACAGGAATTGTTGTTTTATTATGACTTACAGTTTATGGGACCTTTTTGGAACTTTGTAGGAGGAAGATAAGGATATATCAAAAAGAAGTTATTAATTTATGCATCGGTGAGGACGGAGCTGACCGTGCTGCCACTTGAGGTGCTTTTACTGCTTCCCCGGGTGCTTCGCGTGAACTTGGTCGGCAGCGATTCCAAATGGGATAAGAATTGATCGTCATCGACATTATTTGTCACTAAGAATGCATTTTGTTTTATCGAATAATCAAAATCCTCTTTACCTTTTTCGAGCGTGCCGTGAAAGTCCCTGAATCCATAGTTGACTCTTGAGACTGGATAATCGCTATCCTTCTCTTCAAAAGTATTCATTGAACATCCACATGCAAGCTTCATCGATTTCAACCTTCCGATCGTGTTTGTCATCCGTTTCTTCATCCCATTGAGTGGTTTGTTCGTCGTGACGACTACTACCGAAACTAGGGCGACAAGTAGTTGGGAGATTCCGAGAACAAGCTCGAGAATGAGGATCCATGTCATATAAGCGGCGTACACGTTGCTCTCGCTACAGCCTTAATAAATCTTTTAACACGGAGTTAGAAATTGAACGGAGCTATAAATTTTTAAGCGGTAAATATACAATCATCTTTGATAGTAGGCTTCACCGAGCCAAGGTCAATATCAATCAAGACTCAATGGAAATGTTTTCATCAATAAGCTATTGATCTTGGCGCCGGGTTTCGCAGGTTCAAGGTTGAAAAAGGTTCAAACTCACCTTGGTAAATTTTATCAACGGTGTCGACTTCAATGATCATGTCAGAATTGGATTGTCGTCTGAAACTCGTCTTCAAATTGACTTGTTCCATTAGCTCAGATTCTTCGCCTGGTAGATCGCACAGCGCCAAATTAAGCGACAGCATCGATGTCAATTTGAGGGTTGAGAAGAGCGTAAGAGCTAGTGCAGACGCGACAGAGGTGGCTGCCACGCCGATGAAAATGATGAGCGACAGGCGAACGCGCTCCGTATAGCCCTGAATTATTATTTATGATATCGTAGAATAATGCGTTTATTTTGCCTGGATAACGCAGAAGGATAAAATTGGAGGGATGAAAGCAGCAGCGCCGAAGAAAATAGAAGGGCTTAAACATTTTAATTCTAGATAAGAACATCCGAAGTTATCTTCTGGCTTTGATTAATTAGACTAAGAAATAACGGACTTTCTATTTCGCTAAATCTTCAACAACGGGTCAATCTTGTTGAGTAAACTACCCCCGAGGGAGTGATCGGATGTGAGAAAAGATCATCAAACGATTTTTCAAACACGGGCGCGAATAGACAAAATGGGCTAATTCCAATCTGTCTTTCCAAAATGGATAATCTCATTTTTTCTCTGCTCACCTGATACTTTTGCAATCCATTTTCGTCTCATCACACAAGTCCGGAGCAACTTTACGAATCCTCATCCAAACCATGGTCTCTCCAAGGCCCATGAAGCACACTGTAGTTGATAGCAGCAGAAAAGTGACAGTAAGAACATGAAGTCGCTTGTGAAAGTTTTTGCAACCAATCTGGTGCTGAAAATAGATATTTTTATAAGCAAGAAAGAGTATAATTTATACTGTATAAATTAACAAGTTTCGCATGCTTTAGAAAACTGACCTTGTCAGTGTATGAATCGAATTAATTATAGTTATTACCTGAAACGTTTCGTGTAGCATGTTTCCTTCTTTAATCTCTTGCTTCTATCTTTTCTGTCCAAAATCAAAGTCTACTGCATCTTTTTCTGACAAGTTCCTTTGTCTCTCTTTTTCCTTTCCTACGGTCTTCGTTTCGGTCTCTATCCTGCCCTCAGGCGAGTGTGCTCGATCGATCTATCGGGCTATCCTTTTTTTTCGTTGACACGACTAAGTCTGTGTATTTACAAATCTATCTGTATGTTTAGGTTGACTCAGTGTACTCCTTTTCAAAGTACTCTCGCCCTAATTGTGTTTTATTTTGCTGATGACAGGTGTCTTTTCTTTTTGTTATTTCTGATGGTACCTAAGTGCGAGGTAGAAAATCAACAAACTGATGAAAGGGGAAACGTGGACAGGGTTGATGAGCTGTTTGGCCGAACTGGAGATTTGACTAAATTAGAGTTAATTGACCTCACGAAAATGTTAGCAAGGTGTTCGGAGAAGCAGTCACTTTCTAGTGCCAAAAAAGCTTACCAATTCTTTTTCAAATTGACAATTTTTAATTTTTCTCTTTTTCAGAAAATTCTCTCTAGGAAGGGATTAAAACCGAGTTTGATTTTTTTTCAACGGTGGCGCAACAGGACACGTCCGGAATTTGCCCTTTCGAATTCTAACAGCTGGATACTTTTTGGAAATTCTAGCGATTTTCGGACTAGACCGGAGATCGGAGCCCGATCACGGTGTTGTTATTTTTTGCAAAATAATCACTTCGCCATGCGAAAAGGTCAGATTAATTGAAATCAGCACAGGTGGCGCCAGAATGCGAAATAATCATCAGGAAGTGGCAAATTATTGAATTGATTTTTCGCTCTATTCAAAAGTTCAAGAAATAGAAACTAACCTTCTCTTTTCGAAAGCCCTGTATTTCTCTACTCTATTTTCTAGTGTGGATTAGACAGTGAGTTTGAAACCTCTACTCAACTCAACTCTGAAATAAGCCCCCACCGCAACTTCTAAACAATTTTGATGGGGTGATTCTATCCATGTAATTTGCTTGTGACTTTCGGCCACCATTTAGGAAACATGTTACACTCGATTAATATTCGTTTATTTTGTTCTCCTTTTCATGGTTTTCTTTGAGATTTTTACTATCTCGCTCAATGATATTTTTAATTTCGTCAAACATCTCTCACTTCTCCCTAACACTACATTAACCCCTATGACTCATAGGCTATGAGCGAAGCAGTCTAAAGAACCCCGTTAGACGAAGTGTACAATTTTTGTCGATTTGGCCTTCCTCTTGAGATAATCTCCTGAAAATCACAGATTATACATAAACGAACATTTTCTTTCAAACTGCACTTTTAGATTTTCCAAAAAAACTATACTACGCACTAGAATTTGTTTTTCTTAAATAATAAATTATGTCGAAATTATTAAAAATCTTCATCCAATCTTTTCAAAGATCCTAGATTCGAAATCTCCATACTTAAAAACCTGTAAATAAGTTAAAAACAATAGCTGAGAGACGCCTAAAAGGTAAATAGAATTTTTTGTTCCTTTGAAGCGCGCAGGTGGAGGTGAGAAAAACGGTGCTCACGCAGTACTCGTGGGTCTTGTCAGGCTGAAACTTTTTAGGGAGGTGCGTAATGCGTGTGCAAATACTCATTTAAGTTTTCAGATCGTTCCGATTTACCAGTTCTGTTTGGCAGGCGATAATAATCCGAAATCGACAAAAATTGTACACTTCGTCTATAGGGGTTAATGCTTTTTATGCACATCTTATTTGAAAAGAGGGCGCCACGTTAGATGCTATTGACAGTAGGAGATCAACCTCAGTGGGACACCAACCAGGTGGTCCATCCTTTCGGATGAGAATCATAGATTATGTTATCGAACATCGACTAGTTTTTATTAGCTCAAACTAACTATAACTCAGCTCGTCTTGTTTGTCTTGCGGTTGATACTGGAAATATTTTCGTAAAAAGGCTCGAACTGCAAACAAGAAGAAAAGATTCTTCAGTCTCCTCTCTCTTTAGCTCTTTTTTTTCATCGACAGAGAATCATGGACGACCTGCTCGGAGGGTTTTCAGAAACTCCTGTTGCGGTAGCTCAAGCATCGGTAGCGCCTGTGTCTGTGCAAAGTGTGGATGATTTGGTTGAAGCTGTCTTCGATTACGAAGGGCAAAACCAAGGCGATTTGAGTTTTAAAATCGGAGAGAAAATTCAAGTAACCTCGAGAAACGGAGAAATTTGGAGTGGAATATCGAATGGAAAGAGTGGGAATTTCCCGGCAATGCATGTCCAAAGTGTGAAAGCAAATGACCCGGCAAATGACGATATCCTTGGAAAAGCGCTGCTTACAAGCAACGCTCCCGCTCCTATTTCTGCTGGTTTTGAAGATAATCTCTTCGGAGCTCAGCAAGTGACAAGTTCTAACACCCTTTCGGAAGCAAATGTCGCAGAACCTGCCATTCAATCTTCCCAGCCTCAGTCTCAGTCGCAGCCTCAGCCTCAGGTTCAAACTCAGAAGCCACAACAAGAAGAAAGCACGATTCAATATGCGAAAGAAGTCGGATTGGTTGTTGATGACGGTGGATCTGGCGGAAGAAGACCTTTTCAAGATGACCCGGAGTGGTATTTGACTCAACTTGTCAATGCGCTTCCTACAAGGACAGGTTCTCTTCCATGATTTCAATATTCTCGGGCAGATCTTTCTGTGATCGGGAAGAACCAAGAAAAGGGTCTTCATTGGAATTATAATTTTGATGGACTTTCTCCTCACCATAATGGATCTGGCTAAATCGGACAAAACCGCACCCGATCAAAACGCATTCGACTGGATTTCCTTCATTGTCGGTCTCATGTTCGTCTTCGCGACTCCGGGTTTCCAAGTTCAACATTTCAAGCTCGCTCTATTTATTAATCGATGCTTCAAAATTTAACTCAAAGAGTTGAACTTGATCGCAGATCTGTCCGCCAAGATGTTCGGCTACGGTTTTGAGAAATTCTTCTCCGACGTCTTTGAAGTGGCCGACTTCGCCATTGTGCTCGTCACATTCGTCACTTCGATCGTTTTACTAGTCAAGGGGCTCCGCAGGCGAGCAACTTCCGGTGAAGAAGAACCGACCTCAGACGAAAATCACTGACCTTGGTCACGAGCTCAGTTTTTATAGAGCCCCGCCGTTTTGCGTTTATTTGACAACTCTAATTTGCGCCGGTCCTTAATCTAGGGGCCATATCCAACATAAAAGGAGCAGATATACCGCGGTTGGCATATCTGACTGACTGATTTTCCAGTCAGTCTATGAGCCGTTACAATTCTCCATGCTAAAACATAGCAGATTTGTAACGGCTCCTGATTGGTCGACTGATTTGACTGGATTTTCATATAGAGGAGACCAGAGTCAAATTTTGATTGGTTGATTAGCTATTTTCAGAATCAGTCAGTCAGAAATGCCAATCGCGGTATTAATGATTAAATTCATCGATTGAAGTGAAATTTATTATTTGAATCTGGCAATTCCGTTTCTTCGTCAAAAAGATTTGCCAACCCTGATGTAATCTTTTTAATGTCTATTTTTGACCATGACTCTTCGAAGCCCTCCCAAAGCCGTTGATGACGATACAGATGTCAGTTTCCTCAAGTTTCTCAAATTTCTTCGAGTGCTGCGTTTTGCTAGAATCGTCCGACTCATCGTCACTGGAACAGGCGCGGCGAGACAACAAGTCGGCCAGAACAAACGAAGATACCAAAAAGACGGTTTCGACCTGGATCTGACTTACATCACTGAAAAGTGCATCGCGATGAGTTTTCCTTCTGAAGGTCGCCAAGCCATGTTCCGAAACCCAATGCCCGAGGTATCCCGTTTCCTGAAGACAAAACACGCTGGAAAGTTCTACGTCTACAATTTGTGTGCCGAGCGAGGCTATGAGGTAAAGAAGCAAAAGTTCAAGTTGAACTCGGTGGAGAATTTACCGAGTGCTTGTTTTCCACACGTCATGAATTTCTAGGGCCATTGGTTCGATAATCAAAATGGTCGAGTATTTGTCGACGATCACAATGTGCCCAAGCTCGAGGAACTTGTTGAGTGGGGCGTGGAAGCAAAGAAGTGGACAGATAAAGGAGATGATTATGTTATTGCTGTGCATTGCAAGGTATAATGATGGAGAAGTTTATTTGAAAAAATGATAGTTTTTGAAGCCTGAACCCTAACCGCCACTTCCATGAAAATAATTTAGGTTATTAAAAATATTTTACTAAGCGGGAAACCTTTGATTTCGCACTGAGAAAAATCTTTTTCATTTCTGTTTCATTTTATCTCAAATTCTAAATAGCTGATGGAGAACACGAAGTTCTCTTTTATACTAAAATCGATCGCTATCTTTCTCTTCTAGCAGAAGATCTGTCGCTAGATTTCGAATATTGATGGCAATATAACTTTTATTACAGATTAACTTGTTCAGAACTTTAATCAATAAAATATTATCTTCAGGGAGGAAAAGGAAGAACCGGTACATTTATTGCATCTTGGCTTCTCATCACCGATTTTTGCCCCTCGGCTGATGTTGCTCTTCGGCATTTTGGAGAACGAAGAACTGATGAGAGCAAGGGAACTGCTTTCCAAGGCTTGGTTCGGATAGAATCATTGTGAAATCAAGATTGGTTTTTCTTTCAAAGATTGTGAAGTCTTAGCGAACCATTCTAACAGGCGTGGAAACACCTTCACAGTCGCGGTACGTGAACTACTACGAGTCAATTCTCCGGAGCGGCTGGCCAAAGCGGAAGAGGATTTCGATTGACGCTTTTACGATCCAGAATATCTCCCCGATAGGTCGTGGGAACGGCCGGTGCATTTATTTTACCATTGTTAATTTCAAGTAAGCACATGTGGGGCTCTAGTCACGCTCAAGTTATTTCAAAGACTGTGACTTCATCAAATTCCTCTAACTTGTCACGGTAGATCGTAAATTTGCTTATCGTTTGCGCTTACTGGTGGAGAAGGAATCGTAAAGAGAGATTTGTAGAGTTATGAGTCGCTTTTATTTCAGGTCGAAAAAAGAGGCGGCGAAAGAATTTACTTAGCCGCAAGCGGCTTTTTAGAGCTCTCACTCTCTAGCGCTATTTTTGCGCAGCCAATCAGATTTAAGGAAAATTTTAGGAATGAAGTGCTTTTTGATAAAATAAGCTAAATCAAACATCATCAAAATTTCCGAACGGGCACATAAAAGACGGCCATTTCACGATTATTACACCTGGGAAAGTGGCCCTGAAAGTAAATTTGCTGACGTAAAACTTTTCTTTTCAGAAAGGTGGTTCTCGAAGCTGCTGTACTTGGCGAACAAGGATGTACTGTAGCTTTGGATAGACAGAACGATAGATGTACTATTCATTTGAAAACGCCACTGGTGGTCAAGGATGATGTGAAATTTATGTTTTATTCGTCGGAGGTAATGAATTAACGGCTTCAGTAGCATTGAATAGGGGTCAAACTATTTCACGAAAGAAATTTGAAAGAGTCCTTATAGTTCACGAAATCTATAAAATATCAATTCAGAAATCTGTTCCTCGAAACTACGAAGACTGCGCCTTCTACTTCTGGATCCACACGGCCTTCATGCCTGCCTCCGGTCACCTTACCTTGGAGCGTCATGAGCTCGACAATCCGCACAAGTCCAAGACCTGGAAACACTTCACCGATGGCTTTAGCTGTACTATCCATGCGAAAATATTAGACAATTAAATTCCCACTCCTCTGATCTCATTTTCCGCGGAAACGGCTCGCTCCCTTATGTTTTATAAAGCCTTGTGAGATAGGAAGAGCTTAGGGTCTGCATGAATGACATTTTCTTGAGAACGGAAGCGGCGAAAGATTCAGAACATCGAATCTAATGGTCAATAAAGTCGATTTTAAAGAACTTGACCCGCGAGAGAGTCTCCAAGGCCGGTTATTCGATATTGGGATCAAGGAGGACTATTCACCGGAAGCGTCAAGATCACTTTCCGCGGCCACAAGAAACGCAATATTTATTGATGGCTACTAATCGCCCAAGCTGGGTGGGCCCGCATTAGTCGAGAAATTCCTGAGACGATTCTTGCGACGCGCTTCCAGAAGATTCTTCACTCTCCAACAGGATTCTCTAGCTTCTTTGATGGTCGATAGTGACTAACGGCGGGTATTGCTAAAACCCATTTTCCACGGGACGGAATTAACCCTTGTGGAAAATGAAGCCTTAAAACAACACCCGAAAAACCGGTATCATAAGCATGGGGTTCATTTTCGGGGAAATCGCAAGAATTCGAAAAAGAAACCATAATCTAAAGTAAAATGCAATCTTATGGTTTTGCTTTTGTTTAACAGCTCTCTAATCTTCTTTATTTCGTCGAGGGGCGGCGGCGTCGTCGAACGCGGCGCGCGGGCGGGTTAAAAACTGAAACCCCTGCGGCGGGTGTGCCCGGAAAGAAGCGTCCTTTGGCCGCGCTGCAACTCTCTCGAGGGATCAGGGCCCTTCTGAAAATGTCTCAAATTTCCGGTCACACGTTTTGGACGATATACTTTCTCCGTGCTGCTTGGAGAGTGAGCACGTGATGTCGCAGTGTCCGCCATCTGCTCTTGAACTTGCCGCACAAGCCGCCCTAATCGTTCCCCATCCAGTTACACATGGAACCAAGCCTTAACATGTCCCTACCTCTTGCTCCGTCGAATCTGAAGTTAAAAAATCTACTGTAATCAATACATTAGGGGTCAAAATGAAAATATATCTAGAAATGAAGGATGATGCATTAATTGATACATAAACGATGGAATTAATTTATCAACAAAATATCATTGGGAAGAAATATATTATTGATTAGAAAATAAGCCGCTTGCGGCTCATTTTTATTAATAAATGGATCAGCCGCATGCGGCTATATCCATTTATAGTACTGGAAGCGTTTGTTGATAAGAAAATACCGCTAGAAACGGGTCATTGTCAAGCTCAAGTTGAAGTTCGCTTGAAGAGGTTCCTCCGCTCGGGCGTGGGAAAAAAACGATTATCTGCGTTCTCTTCTGCTCGTGAGCGACTCGTCTCTTCGTGTAGAATCTGCCCGGACCCTCTCCTACTACTGACGGGCGCGGGTTAACCAGCTCGTAGCAGCGGGGCAACGCACGCACCAGCGCACGATGGAACTTACTACCACAAGACTGTTGTACGGTAAACGAAAGAGAGAGGGGCGCACACGCGCTAGCTGAGGGCGCGAGGTGGGCACAAAGTCGCTACCTTTATTTCTAGGGTCACTTGGGGTCAACAAGTGGTGTTTAGGAGCTAAATTTGGCGCTAGAAGAATCATCATTTATTCACTTTTCCTCAAACCAAGATTAGTTTCTTATTTTTCAACTATTAACTAAATTAACTTTAATAATAAAAATTATAATAATAACGAAATCGTTATGTTGTCAAATACTAAAAGATAAGATGAGTATCTTCATCCCTTGTCATTCCCAATTTACACATGTTAATAACATCATCGGAGATGATCCTATTTTCCCCATTTATGTTTATAAGCAGTGGTATGTGAGTAAATGTTATTTTACGGTGCTTCTAAGATGTGTCAAAAATGCCAGAAACTGCACTCGGAAGTGAGCCCTAGTCAGAGTGGCGGAATGTGGATTTGACGTCAGTGTTGGTATCGGTCGTGACAATCGTGGCGCGTTTGGGCACACTGTAAATTTGAGTTTCAGTAGGAGCTTTCCCACAGAAATCTTTACAATTACGTCCAGGGCCAAAGGTCCAAAGTTACGACACGAGACCAAGGACGTCCTAGTAAGGGTTCACAACGAGATCGATCTCGATTCCTTATCCGTTTCGGTAGGCTACTGTTCTTACTTCGAGCAATGTTGGCGCTTGAGAATGTGCTAACAACACGTTTGATATATTTAGGCTACGTCATTACTACCGAGAAAGTGATATGCTCGGTAAGTGGTAAATATCTAGGTTTCTGGGTCAATTTTACAACACCTAAAAATTTATAGCTAAAAAAGGAAAAATTATCTCTAAGGACCATACAGTTTCCCAACTGTACCCAATTTCACATATTATATGGCATATGTAATTCAATAGGTTGATAGAAAATTTATTACGGCCATACTTATGACAGTATATTTTCATGAATAAGCTGTATCAAATTTTCTACGTTTTCAATGATTGAGGGTAATACTCGTCTTTTAAGATTATTCTCTTAGTTTCTTGCTCTTCTGGGTGGCTCTCTTGAAATCCAACATCGGATGATTTTTTTTCGTATCAAAATCCTTAACGCGCGTCAGCGTTCATTAACACCCTCTGAGTCTCTCTTTGAGCAGGTCGAGGTCTTCTAGCTCGGCTGCGCAGGAGCGCGATCGTCGAGAGCGCGGGCACTGCTCTTCGCTACGACGTCGCCCGCGCCGCGGCTTCTCTTGGAGCGAAGCGAAACGCGAAAAAAAGGCGAAGAAAAGGGAGAACACCGCCGTTTGCGTCGGTGAATAACGCGACTATGGCTGCTGGGACGACGGAGGGGCGAAAAGAGAGCTCGGCACATTTCTGAACTTCAAGTGAACTTGGTGAGCCGGGTCACGTAAAATGCGCAGCGCCGCAGCGGGCCCCCTGCTGCAGATGGAGGACACCAAACGCGCTCCACAGCGGCGCGACGGTGCTACTGCCCAGCGGTACCACGGAGAAACAACGAACTGGCTACTTCCTCCTCTCAATATAATGATTCTATTTCAAATATAGTTTCTTTATCTATCTTTGAAGACAACAAGGATATCTAAAAGAAAGTGCATTGCTACAGCCTACAGGGGTTGGATTTTCAGTCGTCTAGGGAATAAAAATGCTAAGGAGAGTTGAAATAGCTTATGACGTGTTGAGATTTTTAGCTTGAAAATCTATCGTTTTTTATTGGTAAGCGGTTATTAATTGATTATTAATTATGGACAAAATAAGTTGAATTTTGAAGCACAGTTTTTGAAATAACTTTACTCTGTTCGCTTTATATTTTGTTTTGCATGATTTTACGAGATTTTAATGAGCACCAGAATCTGTGAAAAAACGAGCCATAAAAGTAAATCGTTATAAGAATTACGATTAATAGAAGAAAAATGTATGAAACTCTGTCTACCACCCACTAGTAATAAAAATTATCCTTTGAATTCTTCAAATTCCAATGACTGTATTCAAACTTCGAGGCTGAAACGTACGTTTCTTATTTCAACACGGTTTCCATGATGAGAATCTCTCGATTCTACTGCTCTATCAATAGCAGAACTTTAATGTGCACTTCCTCTCGCGGTGGTTTCTTTGCTCAGGCGCGCAACCGGAAGCTGTCTCATTATCACTGTAATGTCCGACTGTCTATCTCCCTTGTGAACATGTTTTTATAATGTTCACCGGAGTTTGCTTAGCTGCAGAAGGCCATTTCCGCCTGCGGTCCAATGTCCTCTATAATTTCTGATTGCTACGAAGTGCACTTTTCTGCTAGAACAAAAAAAAAATTCACCATCGGCAAATCATAACACTATGTACTGCAGAAAGACATGAATGTACCCCGAAAGCATCTGTATTTTTATCAAAAGAATAAATTTCTTTTCATGAATTCATTGCCACTCAGTCGGAATTCGACCTTGAGATATTCCTAGGGAACAATACAGTTGTCTACTCACGATACAAAAATCCATCGAGAAGAATTTCTGAGAACAAACAGTGGGACACACGAAGATCAAGTGAACTTTTGTGCAAGATTAAGCTTGATCCATTTGATATTTTAAAGAGTTATGTGAGCTTTTTACTGATGCTCTCGATTCATGAGGAAATACGTTTATCTTTCTTTCTAAGAATTGAAAATAACAGCAGGATATATTTTGTATAAGTAGTCAAGCAGTATAAAATGGGCATTAGGGGAGGATGGTGACATTCCAGCGGACCATCTTTCCTTCTCCATCAGTTATGAAAGACACTTTTGCTTCGTCATCGTCGTTCTCGCTTTCTTCCCAATCCTGAGTCTTGATAGACTTCCCAGATGGTTCTTCTATGTAATCGCATTTTGCCTTGAAATGAATCGCAGTATCTAAAAATATGCTCAACAAAGTAAAAATGAGTTTCAAACGGACCATCTTTTGACAAGAAGAGTTCCCATTCAATGGCTGGCTTTCCAATAAGGACGCTTATTGCAGGAATGCCGGAAGTCTGCCTGATCTTCCAACCCAAATGGCTCATGCTCACATCTGACTTGAAATCGCATTTGATATTGAATTCACGCAGTCCATTCGCGATCGCGGTAAGGAGGGCGATGTAGTCTTCGGCGTCGTGATGGGGGCGGACCCCCTTAACAGCATCGTTTCCGAAGTAATGACCTTCCATTTTCCCATGCTTGAGAACGAATTTCTGCCGCTCGGTGAGCTCTAGAACTGGTCAAGAATTTCGAAAAAAGTCGTGTTACCTGGAACATTAGGCTTGATTTCTTGGGTGCCTCCTCCATAACCGGGAATCTGTATTTGCATCTGCATTTCTTTCATCTTTTCCCTCATATCCAGGGCTGTCGAATTCGGAGCGTTTACGTTTCTCCGCGATTTATTTGGCGGAACATCCGCTGATTTAACCGTTTCTCCGCGCTTTTTTCCGCTCATCCGATCGTCCGATTTTATCCGCGCGCGGATTTTCCGCGATTCTCCGCTACCCTTTTTCTCTAGCCAATCATGAGAGCGTAACACACTTTAATTTCGTTTTTTGAGCGGAAATTTCGGCGGATCATCCGCGATTCTCCGCTCCTTTTTCTCCGCTGAAAACCGGCGGATCTTCCGCGACAAAAACTACGGATCTTCCGTGAAAAAGCTCCGGATTCTCCGCTGAAAAAATCGCGGAGAAACGTAAACGCTCCGAATTCAGCGGCCCTGCTCATATCTGCAATAATTTTGTCTTTCTCTTCATTCTCCTTTTTCAATCGTCGATTTTCATCTTCTATCGTTTCTTCGCCATGATCGTGGACCTGGACCTTCAGGTTTTGAATTAAAGAAAGTGCGTATTAATTGACTTACAGATTTATTTCCACAGCAAAGTCCCATCTCTCTTTCTCTAAAATATTGTACGTCGTTGACTCGCAAGAAGATCAAGATCTCCAAGAGCCGGGATATTCATAAATCTGTGTTGATATTTGATTTCAGAAGAGTCAGTTCCATATAAAGAGAAGGAGCCAATATTTATCCAGCTTTTGTGAAAAAGGAAAACCCCTGAGACCGAAAAGAAATCATTAAGAACTTTCATGCACTTTTTCTGTATTAATTTTGTTTTGCAGTCGGAATGTTGTCAGGGCTAGAAAATTTATTCAAGAGTTTTTTGCTGGAAGCCGCAGCATCCTGTTGTCGAAGTTGTAGTTTTTCTTATTCGCCTTGCCGTTGCCCTAGCGCGTGATTCAGTACCGGTTCTCTTGTAGTCCTTCCAGCTGATAAGAGGGTAGCTTTTGCCCTTTTCAATTTTGAGCCCTTGATTCCCGATTTCAATGACTCGCGCGTTCTTTGCGATGCATTTGACCAAGAATTCACATTTTCTGATTCCTAGACTTGTTGGGCACGCGGAAAAAGTGACTAGGTGGGTTCCTTTCTTGACTCGACCGAACAGGCGTCCATTGTAATCGTAGTACCTGCTTGGGCGACCAGGGAAGATGGGATGTTGCTTGTTAAAATCACCAATCTTTGAAGTAGTGTATTTTTCAAACGGTGTTCGTTCTGGGACATTTTCGTAGAATTCAAAGTGAACGTTGAATTTTTCTCTTTGATGGGTTTTATTATATTTTTAATTTATCTGAAGCAATCGCTAAAAGATAAAACTCTTTCCTGTCTCCGTCATAAGGAGAATCGAGCATGAAATGCAGCCAAATATCGGTGTAATTGTTTTCAGTCTTGATCAAAAACTGATGATGGAAATTTTCATCCTCTTTCGCGATCTTGATACCTCCGACCGGAGGAGAGTTACTGCCGAATTTGAACTTTCCAAAGACTCTTGTTTCATCTCTACTTGACCAATTAGTTGGCAACCGACAGAGAATCGCAATCTCAAAGTGACGAACAAAATCGTCAAAAGACATCCAAAACGACCCATTCCATGATGGCGCACTTTGAAAATCCCTTTTAGCGAAGTTGAAAAATAAATGAAATCAAGGAAGACTATCAAAAATTTGAACTCTTTCCTAAGGCGTCTTTTTTCGCTGGAGCTCACTTCATCCCATTTTGATGACTTATCCGACCAGTCTCCTTTCCACTCTGTACTGTATCCTTTACCATGAGGATTGCGGATGAGAATCAAATGATGCCGCTTATTCTGATCATTTTTCACCTCGTCGAGCTTTAGAATTGAATATGCATGCCCAGTCTGAAGGCTTCTCTGGGCATATTCTCCATATCGATTGTTGTATAAATTTCCCGCGTTCTTAGAGTGGTTGTTTCTGTAGAATTTCGCAGATGGATTATTTTCTAAATTCAACCCCTGCCCATACTACTTCCGGATTATTCTCCATGATATCCTTCATAATCGCGAAGATCTGGGGCAGTTCTTGGTTCGTATAATCTTTGAAATAAACATCTATCGGAATCCCACAAGTGAGATGATAAAACGAGTACCGCGGCCATCCTCCATCTTGAATCTGATACGAGCCGAGGAGCTTGGCATAGGCCTTCTCGCAAAGTGCTACCCAGTATTCTCCGCTCTCGCCGATCTTAATCATTTGCTTTTCTGGAAGAACATCGTCAATGTAAACTCGGACGAGTTTGTTAAAATGGAAGAACTGGAACACGAGTTTTCCACGAGAAGGGCCATTTTTTGAATTGTAAGTTTTGTTCAAAACAGGAACGAGTTGACGATCCCCATGGTCGGTAAATGCCAGACTTGAAAAAATATGAGGGTTTTTCTAAAAAAGATGAGTTTCAAACCTTGAGAGGGCGGATAAAAACCAGCAGTTTCCAAGATATGCTTGTTGAATATCATCTTCATCTGGTTCTCCTCTTATGAATTTATACCCTCTGTCTGGTCTCCTCGCGTCTCTGTTAATAATCCCTCTTGATACGTCTCTTTCATTTGTCAACGCAACAAAATCGTCCTCGGAAAGTGTGTATTCATTGTCAACGAAGAGCGACATGGCTTCATAAATCTCTGTTCCGTCTTTTTTACAAGAAAATGAGTATAAAAGGGGGCTTTTCGGGCGTTCTGAATGAGTGAGCGATCATAAAAATACGACCATTCAGTTTTCAGCCGCACTCGATTGTTAAAACTAACTAATTGACTATCTACGTCACTTTCAATGGGAGATATGTATTAGTATATCTGGTGAAAGATAGCATCACATTCTTAATTTTCTAAACTGTTCTTCAGACATAGAAGATTGCTCCTAGACCGTCTTGATTTTGATAAACTTGGTCGTCTGACTAATTCCTGAGCCCTTGGATGAGCACGGATATAGAAATGACTAGCTTAATATTTTCAGAGGAAATATTTGAGATGTTAACGATCGGCGGTTCCTTCTCAAAAGAGTCTCGAGTTTTGGTGAAAGAGCGGCCACAAAAAGAGAAGCGGTAACCCCTCCCGCGGTTTGTAATCACAAATTCAGCCCAACTTCAACCCTACATTACACGTGATGGAGCATTAGCAAGAAGACTTTTCTTGAGAAATTGAACTTGTTCAAAGTGGGTCGGGCCCAGTTCAGTTGCTAACACGTAAAACGAAATAAACAAATTTGAAGATGGAACCAGAACTAGTGATTCGAGATGATCGAATTTGCGGGCAGAAAATTATAGATGTTTGACGAGGCTATTCGACAAATTACGCACTTCTGAGTCTCTACAGACGAACCTTGTAACTCAACATTACCACAGAGATATTTTAAAATGATGCTTTTTGGTATCAGTAAGGATTAATTTTCTACGCTGTAAAATTTCATAATTATGCATTGCATAATATAGTTGCATAATATGCAACTACCAGTAGTCAAGTTCGAGCAGCGTTATCTTACGCAGCGAGCATCTACTGTTCAATTTATAAAACACTTGAAGTGCGAGAGTCAGCTCTTATCACTTTCTCGAGTAGAACGATAAAAGCATCCAAACTCAAGCAGTTTTGCCACTATCAGATACTCAACTTGCAGTTTATCGTCTTGCAAGTGATTTGCTTTCTAAAGTCAAGTTCCAAACGCGCCAAGTTAGCTGAAAAATAAGACGTCTAGATATAAATAAACCGATTTACTATTTGGCTGTTTCCCGAGGTTTTATATTGTGACACCCTTATTTCCTTTTAAATTCAGTAAAAACCTGGCATCAGAACGGAAATGGTGTCCGTGGAAGCTTTGTCAAACTTAATTGAACTAGACATTTGAGATTATGCAAGGTTTAACAGCTAATATCGCGGTGATGACAAGTCGTGACTGACAGTTGCGAGGAACTAGGTTAAAAATTGCGAGAAGAGATTCAGGAAAAGTTCGCCACCTTTAATCCAAAGAAAGCTAGGCACGCGTTCTAACCAATTCTTAATTATCCATGAAAAGAGCATTTGACACGTGATAGGTTAATTGGGAACACGATTCTGAATCACGGCTCAACTGAAATTTTGATCGTTTGATCAAGAGCGGAACTACCGGTTGCTTGAGATGTGATAAACAAACTTTCGCAACTTGGATGACGTGGTACAACTCTTGGTGGTGGAGGAAGGAGCAAGTCCAACGCTCCCTGATGAAATCGGCTTATTTACACCACCACGTTTACAACACCACGGAGCATCACTTAGGTGCTCCAAAAGCTGCGTAAACTCAGTTCCTATCTACCGGTAGCCGCCTCCCACATCAGAGCTCCGACAAATATAGAAGGCATTTGGAAGAAACGTTCTACAGCCTCAGTAATAAAAAAATCACGAATCTCATTATGGCTGAAATTTATTGCGGTTCAGGCCTGTCTCTTTCCTTACGTAATAATCTCTCACCGAGGCCTTATCGTTGAGGAGTCTCAGCGCAAGTGTTCAATAGGTTTATCAAATTTTCACTGGTAGACGACAATCCCACCCTTGTACCAGTTTTCTTATGTCGCCGTACGTTTTGTGCTACGTTTACTTTTTATTTGCCCCAAACAAAAAAGTTCGTTGAAGAAGTTACACCCTTACGTAAATTAGGAGGGGCATATCTGTTTGAAATATCCGATCACCCAAAGACTAAAATCCCCAGCTGCCAATGCTAAAATACAGTGAATATTGAACCCAAACTGCTTTTGTATAATTTGATGACGGCAGGGACGTTTACTGAGTTTACGGATCACAAGTGTCACACCCGCCCTTCCAAAAATTCGTAAACTGGAATGTTTTGAATTCCAAACCGATGAAAATCGAAATGACAGCAGCAATCATGTGACAAACTCGCCACGTACCCTAACAAAGTGCGTCAAAAACAAGCCTTTGCGAGAAAATCCTGACCTCGGGATTTTAAATTTATTTTGGCCCCGTTAAATTTTTGGGTTGGTTTATTTTTCGTAAAGTCACGTGAGCATGCAGGAAAAACTTTTAAGAGAAGAAACGTTGAAATTATTGAGTTCAAGTTGGATTCCTTCTATCGGGCGGTATTTCTATGCATATAGGCTATGATATAGCGATCTCTTTCTCATTGAATTAGTATGATAATTATTTTCACTAAACGCTTTTTGGATTCTAGCGCACGGGCCGATCATGCATGGGAAATATGAGGGCGCACGCTTTTAAACCCTCTGCTCCACTTGTTACATCATCAGGCGACGTCAGTTTTTAAGAAGCTACCGCTCCTAACAAATTAATTATTTGATGGTGTTTATGGCCCGCAAAGTACTCGACAGTGTATTTAAGGTTGGTTATGGAATTAGCAATTCACACAAATGTCTGAGCGTCGAAGTTCACCACCGCCAAAACCACCAGCGAAATTCTTGCCTCGCGACTGGTGGTGCCTCACTCTGCTCATTAAGCGCTTCTAAAACTGCGCAACACCTGCTCGCCATTTTTTAATGAACCCTTCGAAGAAATATAACTTAATAATAACTTAGCGGCGTATTTCTTCCTTGAAAGTCAGGAAATCCAATTCTATCATTATATCCGGCTCGAAGATGTCTCTCAGCAGCTTCAATCGGAACTACGTGAAAATAAGCACCATCATCAAAAACATCGGAAAAAAGTTAACGAGATGTCCAATATTACTCCCGAAAGAGAGCAGGTTTGATTGCGAAACAACGAGTCTAAATCTGAGATGATCCATAGTCAAGCAACAACACGGTGCTTAGTTATATTCTCAATAGATTTTAATTTTCACAAATTGTCTTTTTTATTTTGCCTAAAACGCAAATTCAGTAAGTTGACAAAATATGTCCTTCCGGAACAACTCAAATTTGCGATTCCTTTTTTTCAGAATTTACGCGAGAATTTTGATGATTTTAGAAAGTGTTACTAGAATCCGTGAAAAAGCATGTTTCTAAGCTTGGCAATTAGGCGGAATTGCTGATCTGGCTTCAGTGAAAACGTCGATTTTATGCGACGAGTAGGGAAGGGGGCAACCACAGCAAAGTGGCGACATGCCGGGAACGTCTTGAAATTCTGACGCGAGTGAAGAACTTAGCCATAAAAGATAAGCCGATTCGGGTGAGTGATAACGAAACTGCATACGGCAGTCGTTCACCAGACTCAGTACTTATTCTGTTATTCATGAGTACTGCAATTCCAGTACTTTAACTTGTTCCAGAAACCAAGGTCCAAGAATCCTTACATAATCAAAAACCTAACCCTAACCCTAAGAAAGAAAGCCTTAGCCTACTTACTCCAAATTCAGACGCTCACATTGTAATGAGATCAAACTTTGTTTTAGCCATTTTCTTGTGTTTGTTGCAGCATTGCATAAGAATGTGGCCTGGGGTCGTCCGGGCATTTTTTGCTAAACAAGAGGAACTCGGAGCTTCCCAGAAGCTCCTTCGCGCTCATAAAACAGGTACTTGTTAGAAGTGCTTTCCTTCCTGTTCATTATTCCTCGAAGCATCCACATTAGTAGCTCCAGAAATGAGCATTTCTCGGAATGCGACTCGTGCAGGAAGCTACAAAGCAAGGTTACTCCAGAGGGACAAGTTAATTTGAATAATACGACAATGTCGAATGGGTGCACCCAAATCCGTGACGCCAGTACTGTGCTCTAAGCGTAATAAGGATTCTATCGCAGCCGCAGCTACCATGTAGTTAAATATGTTTTACATTCGACTTCAGGAACAATTATGCACACAGGCGCCGCTATCCACATTTTTGACTGATAGACAGAAATTGTTTCTTTAACATTTTACGAAGAATTACAGGAAAAAAACAATAAAAATGGAAAAATGAGGCACAAACCAAGAAAAGAAAGTGCATTTTCGGAAGATCAATAAGCTTGCTGTATTTGGTCTATCGGCCAATCAAAACTCAATTCATTAAAATTAATTCCTCTTCTTAGTTTGGCCCAAAAATAAAGTTCAAGAATAAAGTGTTTTAGTCAAAAATAACTTCAGGAATTCGAGTTCACAAAAGCTCATTTTGTACAAAATTCGGATGAAGCGTACGCTGCATAATTACATTAACGATTAAATCCACTTTCTCGCCCAGCGAGTCTCGACTCTCGCCAAGGACTTAGCTTAACCTGCGCGAAATGAAAGAAACTTGTTGTGACAATAATCTGGACCGAAAAGAGCTTTGCTTTCATAGAATGCTCTGTTTTGTATTTCAACAGTGCTGCGTAACAAATTACAACTGATAAAATTAGGGCTAGCCTTCAAAAAAAGGTCTGATCAAATCACAGACTTCAGTATCCTTAATGATTCTAGCGCAAATGGATATTATATAACCACATCTTATTTTTTCAATAATGACATTGATGGTGGTTCGAGAGGGGCCAGACGATATTTTTCTTCTTTGTTAACAAGCATTGAAAATAATTGAGTTGCGGCTCTTTGATATTGTGTGATAAATACGTCTTACATTGCCAAAACAATCGTATTAAAACGCATGTCTACTTTCGATCATCGCGAACCTAGAATTCCAGTTTATAATCAGAATAAACCTCGTTATCGTTAGAATGTGTCTACTTTTAATAATGACGCTTGAGCTTACTTCTTTCTTAACTTT